ATGTCACAAGATTACATGGGAGAATACACAAATGCTATCAATATAGGGTTTGTAGTTCGGTCTTTGATATTTTAACAAATTTCACAAAATTTAAAAAAAACGTTTACTGGCAATATGACTTAATTTAAAGTCTAAATTATTCATAAACAATAAATAAAGTGCATGCATTTATAATGTTGCAATAGATTTTTAATTTTCGTGCACACTTACACTTCATATCTATACTAGAAATGTTAAAGATTCTAACTTCAAATTGTTTTCTATATGCATTCCTGTATCAAACTCTGTGATATCACTTGTTAGATAACTTATACAATGTAATTTCCCATTTTTTTCTATGACAATAATGCATAAAATAATGTCAAAAAGCAAGATTTGACAATATTTACGATTGACCTTTGACAATATTTACGATTGACCTGAGTCAGAACGCATACATAAAACAACTGTCACACAAGCATATTAACCAACCAGCATGGATTTGAACAATATTTGAGTAGTTGATATATGAATAAAATTGTTCCTCATAAAAGTTTATACCCACAACCAAATATCCATTATATGGACATATTTATACATATCACAAGACTGGAGACATGTTTAACAAGTTTGGCAGTAAAAAAGTCTTATAAACACATATAAGGTTATACAATAAATTGTTATATATTTTGATGGGACAAAGAACAAAGAGCATAACAATTGTAATTAGATAAAGCTACTAAACTTTCATCTTTCCAAAAATTATAGATATAAGTAAACATAACAGTTATATTACTGATAGTAAATACAATTAATACAAGATACTTTCCTTGTTAGTTACATTGTTCTCTTTTTGGGAACATGGTATTTCTAACCAAGTTTTACATGCTTGGCTGGGGTTGTCAATGAAGCAGAAGGTGCTTACCATTCCATAACACCTTATCTTATTTTTTTGTAATTTTCAGGGGTCTCTATGTTATTTTTATTTCCATATTTTGCCTAGTTTTATTAAATTTGAGTTTGAAATTAAAATTCTGTTGACATGTGGACATATTCTTCTCTGTTTTCAAAATACCATATTTATTTCCTACAGTAGTGTACAAGACTTTAGTCCTGGTTGGTAAAAAACTGAATCGAGATTGTAACACAAAAGTTCACAGTGTAAATGGACAAAATGTCTGGAAAACACAAGGTTCACTAGTACTTGGTATCTTTGTGCAAAAACTGGACCAATATTTCCTTAAAACATTACTTGTGAACCATTTCATAATGACTTCAAATAAAGAATGAGGTAGAGTTAAAAGAATCTGTATTAAAAATTCAAATAAACACAAAAAAATCTCATCTAGATTTCACCAAACAAAAACCCAATTCTTCCCTTCAACAGTACTTTAACTATTTGTATGACATGACACAGGGCGAAACCAGTCAACATGCATATAGAATGTAGATAACAGGCCACAAACCGTTTTTTTTTATTCCGTGCCTGAATCAGCTGTTGTTTATCAATGCCCTATATTCAGTTGTCCGGGCGCAGAGCCAAGGATAAATTTATCCATCACAACAACTGCTACAGAGATGGCTGTATCCTCCGTACTTAAAACTTTCTGATATGATCTTTAACATAAAAACTGAAACAAGAGGCCCATGGGCCTTAACGGTCATCTGACATAAAATACAAGATTTCAAATTTTGAACTTGAGAAGAAGTCGAAAATGTGTTTTCAAGATGGCGGCCATGTTGGATTTCGGACCAACCCGAAATTTACAAACTTTGGTCAGGATCATGTCACAATCATTTCTAGTAAGTTTCAGCTCAATCAGATATGTAGAACTTGAGAAGAAGTTGAAAATGTTTACGACAGATGACGTACGTCGGACGATGCCGGACAAAAGGCGATCGCAATAGGTCATCAGACCCTTCGGTCAGATGACCTAAAAACCATTATCAGTGGATTTCAACATCTTGATTTGTCTTCACAACAAAATGTTGGTATGAAGGTAGAATATTATAATGAAGAAAATACAAAATGTAATTCTTACCAAACTATTGAAAGTCCAACATGGTTTACCTAAAAAAATACTTTTAATAAAAAAAGTAATCAAAATCACATCTACTTGTTAAAAAAATTGTATTCAGAGTTACTACAGATGATTTCTTATATTCAAACAATCATTAGTATGATAACTATCAATATTTCAGAGAAAATGTAAACAGAACACAATAGAAAAAAAACATTACATGAAAATGTCAAATTAACACATAGCTTATGCAAAAGCAGTTGTTTAGCATGAAACCTTAACCAAAAGAAGCTTATACAACATCTCTTACATTCTTCTTGAAATAAATAAGGTACAACACTGAAAATTACCATCAGTTTTTCTTTCTTTTTTTTTCTCCTTCTTTCTTAATCATATCCACCATCATTTAGTGCATCATTGATGTCACTTTATTAGAATAACTGATGCCCATAATGATAATCTTTTCATTCTAATTTTGCTGAAGAGAAAAAAAAATCACACAAATTAATAAAGTTGAGTTTGGACATAATATCAATAGTAAAATTGCAATACATGTACCAAATACTGGTAAAATCAGTAATTTTAGTGGGGGTTATTTTCATTGGATACTTTCAATTCACAAGTTCATAAGTCAACAAACTGTTAAAATTACTACCAGGGGCTGTTTCCTCCATGAAATCGAGTTTTCGCAAAAAGTAAAACAAGAAATAAACATGAAAATTGAGCCCTGCGAACTATATGGTTTTACAACATTACAAATCCACTTAAAAGAACATATAGAAAATCTCAAAAATATTGCACCTAACCTGATACAAAAGTGTGCAAAAAAATTTTCTATCAGGAGGACCAATGTCTTTAAAACTCATCAATCTCAAAACACCATGCTTCCTAAAGGACCTTATAACACAGCCATTCAGAAAGTGTAGTGAAACATACAGGACTTAAAGACAATCATTAACTAAGTTAGGAAATATTTTATAGTACATATAGTTATGAAGGCTGATGTTCGTTTGTTTGTTTGTATTAAATATTAAAATGTATTGAGTTTGGCAAAAGTGAAGTCAAAAAAAAAAAAAAAAAAATGAAAAAATTGAAATTTGACATGTTCATTTTCCAACACCTGTTATACACACACTGTAAAATTATTAAATTTCGAAAAATTAAAAAAAAACTTTAGCACATTATCACTATTTGGCAACAAAGCAAAATCCTGAATGTGTTAAATATATAAAAACTGCTATAAAATCAATATACATGTACATAAATTGCAAATAGCACTACATTATCATATTTTAGTACTAAATAGTTTAAGAACAAAAAATACTTAAATAAGATTTCTGCTAATTTTTTTGTATATAAAGTATATCGATAAGCCTGATAAAAGTCATCACAGCAAGATTGTGTGGATATTAAACAATGTTAACAAATTAAAATGTTCCCAATAAACCACTTAATGTTGGCATTTACATCAATATTGTGGCTCGGTAAGTGTTCTTACAGCGAGACCATATAACAACACCACAAGAAACAAGTAACCGTTTTTCAACAATGTAATCCAAGCCCCCTAAACAAGTACGTACATGTACATATGATGTATCCAAGCCACGTTAACGCCCACTACTGGAAACCAAGATGTATGCATTTTTAAAAATTTTAGTGTTTTAAGATAAACACTGGAATGCGGCAAGGCTCTTCAATTTTAGTATCATTTTTGAGATTTTTTTTTTTTATTAAACTCTAAATCTTCCATGGCCATAACTCTGAATAAATTAACTGACCACAAGCAAATCAGAACATAATCTATTTTTATCATAGGGGTAACAGGCAATCGCAACAAGCTCAGAATTCTGAAATTGTTATTTATTATTCTTCATCAGGACCTGAAGAAACCCAAACGTTACAGGCGAAACCGGTAGACGAAGAATAATAAATAACAATTTCAGAATCCAGAGCTTGTTGCGATTGCCTCTTACCCCTTAGTTCCTTACTACTCTACAATCGCCCTGCATACCTGGAGGAATCTAAGCAAGGGACCACGGAACCTACTCGAACTTTACTAGCAATACGGCGTTGTCTCTGCACCCTTTCTGCTATTTTTATCATTATACAGCCACACTCCAATTAACAGTCTTACATCCAATTAGCCGAAATAATGACAGAATGACAGCCTAGGATGTATTATATGCTCCGAACATGAAATGGTATTATACACTTGCCCCTAAGGTATATCCCTGCTAATTTATTTAAACAAAATGATTAGTTTACTTAATCAAATCCTGTTAAATAGTTGCTTGCTAAACTTATAAATATGTTTCCAATTAAGTATTTACTAAACCACATGGCTGATATTTACATCTCTGTTTCAAAGTCAAACTGTATTATCTTCCCAATACAAAAGATACATAATTTTCAGTTTTGAAAATGTGTTTCATTACCAAAATTGTGCGTCTCAAAAATATTTCAGATCTTGCTTTGCAAAATCGACTTACCTTATAGTTGTTTTTTTCACTTAGACCAATTTTTTGCATTCTTGTCAAAAGAAAAAATATGTATTTCTAGCCTTTTGGCAATGAAGAGCAGGAACAGACTATTTTTCATTGTAAATTTACCAGTTCATTATTTGTCCAGCAATTCTATGTTGAGAATGCAGAAATTCCAAAAAGTGCTAAAATTAGATTTCAATTAAAAATAGAGAAAATTACACACTTGCAAAAATATTTCTTATAATATGTAAGTTTGGATATAGAATGAGATAAAAAAAGAAGTGTTCTAAACAATTTCCCTTCGAAATAGGTTGCTCAAAAAACAGATCAATTCATCTTAGGATCTAAATCAATAAAACAATATTCAATAATTTAATGTGTACGGTTTGCGTTATTTAAAGTTTTGTATTACAGAACGAGAAATAAATATTCAAAAGTGAATTCAAATATTCAAAATTTGAACAAATCATTGAATACGAAAAGTGAAAAAAAAAAACTTTCAATGAACTTTTAAGTATTAGCTTGAGTGTACATGTTCCATGGGTATATCTGGTGAGTGATCTCCCTTGGTGATGAGCCCTGCAGTATCATTATCACTTTCATTTGATGCAATATTACTGTATTTGTAGAAATACGACATAAGCATGAATATGAGGGACACAAATGTCATTAATGCAGCAAAAAAGAAGAATTCAGCAGTCTGAAACAAAAACAGTCTTCATATTAGAAATTATTAACTCATTACTATGAAATCGATAAAAATTCTATCAGGAAAGATAATTTGTTCAACGCAACAATATATGGGATATTTTCAGCACAATCAGCAGAATACAGGTCTACCTGTCAAACCAATAAATGAAAGTTTCCATCATATCAACAGAAACACAGAAGACAATGAATAGTCTGAAGTGTCTTATTTGTAATTGGAATATGGATGTTAAGCCCTAAAAACCATAATTATATACACATTGTGGAATTTTTTTTATAGACTGAATAAAACATTGTCTATCAAAACACTAAATATTAAATTTGTGTTAAATTCCTAGAAATTTTAAAAGTACATTTTTTTTCCCATCCACTTGATGGCAGAGAAAAATATAACACAATATGCCTGGATAAGCTGAACGTTGTCTTTGATGAATTTGAAGAAAAAAGTATAAATGCAGTGAAAAACTTAATTTATCCAAAAGAACAATCATCAGTGAATCTGATATTTACAAAAAAGAAATTAAATTAGCGAAAATGTGTATTATGGACTTTCAATATTTGCAGTAGATATAAGATAGAATACATTTTGTTTGTCTCTATACTTACCTGGCTAGGTAGGAGCTGTGCCTCGGCCACTATTACTACAATGAGATCACCAACTGCTGTCGTAAGTAGCCAGGCTGCCTGTACAACAGACTTCATGGATTTCGGAGCCTGAAATGTTTACAATTAGGGGATAATTCTACTGTTTTGGAAATCTGAACCAAAGGGAAAGACAGCTGGCATGGTACGCTGCATCATCATCATTTTTGTGTTGGTAACCATGTTGGAAATTGATTACACCACAAATTTTGACGGGATTTCATGGGACATTATTGATGGCACAATGAATAGCATGGATTCAAAATAGCTTTCAGTTTGTTACAGTAGTTTAAAGTATGTGAGAGAATTAACCAAATGTGGATCTGTTTCATGTACCGGGATATTTCAAGCTTTGTCTTGATCACCGAAACTCTTACAATCTGGTCGAGATATCTCTGTAATCGCAAACTGAGTTTTCCTGTGAACACATAGTGACAGATCATGAAGGTTATATTAAGTTTGCCTTAAAGTCTTATTAAAATGTGAAATCTTACCTCTGAGTATGCAAAGGCAAGTCCAGAAACAGAAAAAAGGATTTCTCCAACGGTGATAATCACGTACTGGGGAACCATCCACAAGAGAGACACTGTATTGGCTGTAACACTGCTATATACCACAGTGTGGATCTGGTCAAGTAGAAAAACACAACTTTATAAACTGGGTTTAGTATAAAATACCACAGTAAGAATTTGCTCATGAAGAAAAGACATCAGCATCGCTATATCACACATCACAAATTAACTGCATTGAGAAAATACTTTGGGCTGAAGTGGATAAAATATTGTGTTTCTGTTAAATTTAACTTTATTTTACAACAATTGCAAAACAAGTTATTCCAATTTATAACAATTACTTTTGAGAGCCTGGATAGAAATATCTGAATGAATTAACTGAGGTAGGAAACCAGAATACCCTAGGAAAACCCATGTCTGTATACCTCTTCATGTCCATTCAGGGAATCGAACCTCAAACACTTAGTGCATTATCAATATGCTGTGTACATGATACAAATTCATGTAATCACCTGGGTCTGTTACAATGTTTTAAGGGGATGAGGGTTTGTATGGTATACAGGCCGCTGGGGAGGAGACTTACCATGTCAGTATTGTTGGTATACAATAGAACTGTGTACGAGGGCTTGTATGGTATACAGGCCACTGGGGAGGAGACTTACCATGTCAGTATTGTTGGTATATAATAGAACTGTGTACGAGGGCTTGTATGGTATACAGGCCACTGGGGAGGAGACTTACCATGTCAGTATTGTTGGTATACAATAGAACTGTGTACGAGGGCTTGTATGGTATACAGGTCGCTGGGGAGGAGACTTACCATGTCAGTATTGTTGGTATACAATAGAACTGTGTACGAGGGCTTGTATGGTATACAGGCCGCTGGGGAGGAGACTTACCATGTCAGTATTGTTGGTATACAATAGAACTGTGTACGAGGGCTTGTATGGTATACAGGTCGCTGGGGAGGAGACTTACCATGTCAGTATTGTTGGTATACAATAGAACTGTGTACGAAGGTATACAGGGCTTGTATGGTATACAGGCCGCTGGGGATGAGACTTACCGTGTCAGTAATGTTGGTATACAATAGAACTGTGTACGAGGGCTTGTATGGTATACAGGTCGCTGGGGAAGAGACTTACCATGTCAGTATTGTTGGTATACAATAGAACTGTGTAGGGCTTGAGGGCTTGTATGGTATACAGGCCGCTGGGGATGAGTATTGTTGGTATACAATAGAACTGTGTACGAGGGCTTGGTATACAGGCCGCTGGGGAGGAGACATGTCAGTATTGTTGGTATACAATGTCAGTAATGTTGGTATACAATAGAACTGTGTACGAGGGCTTGTATGGTATACAGGTCGCTGGGGATGAGGGCTTGTATGGTATACAGGCCGCTGGGGAGGAGACTTACCATGTCAGTATTGTTGGTATACAATAGAACTGTGTACGAGGGCTTGTATGGTATACAGGTCGCTGGGGATGAGGGCTTGTATGGTATACAGGTCGCTGGGGAGGAGACTTACCGTGTCAGTATTGTTGGTATACAATAGAACTGTGTATGAGGCTCCTGTGCCTACATTCATACTAGCATTAGTTAGCTGCCAGGAATCACTGGAGTTTACATCTGCTTGGATCTGCTGCCATATATCGTATCTGTAAAATTTACATCAATCTCTCCAGGTAAGCTTCAGTATTATTGTAAATGATCTGAAGAAGATTTTAACATGTTGATTATTGGTGATTTTTGTTTCTCGGAAAACTAAGAAATCAACTGATATAGTTGCATCCTTGGGAAAGACATGTTCCCATTAATTGCTTTGGATGGCATGCAATGGGCCTTCCATATGTTGATCAATGAGTTAGCCACCAGCTACTTAAAGGAGACCCTGCCACTCTGGCTGTTAATGGAGTGATCAACTCGGTAAATAACCTTTTAATAATCTAGACAAATTGTGTGAAGTCATTTTATATTTATCAAATTACACAAGACAATTAACAGCACTTATTCTGAAATAAGCCCACAGGGTGTAGACAACCCCTTGACACCAAGTCAATGGAAATAGTCTCTAGGTCATTTATAATTTTACTGAATAGCAGCAACAGACATGAGTGGGTTCATTACTAGGTAAGTATTTGTTGCAAGGAACTGAAAAAAAGTAGTTTATGATATTTCAATATCTGCAGTTTTACCAAAAATACAAAGACGTGTAGGCTATTTTCTGATCAGTATAAAACATAACAAGAAACCCTGAAGAACCTACACATGGAATCTGAAAAAGATTTTTGCAGTAGATCCCAAGAAAGAGCAATAATAAACTTTCAAAGTCAAAATCCAAGATGGCCACCTTTAGGCCATTTTTTTTTCTAATCAGACCAAAATCACATGGGCACAACTAGGGACCAAGGGAAACCTACGTCGTAATTTGAGAAAGACCATCCAGTGCTTCTCAAGAAATAGCGATGACAAAAACTGTTTACGGACGAAGGATGGACGTAGGATGATTTGAATATGGTGGGGTTTCTTGAGAAATAAAACCAAAACAATTTGAAAATAACATTACATTACAGAAAGGGATCGATTTATCACCATTTTATAGGAGAATATAAATCTGTGAAAAATCGATACTTCAATATGATATCAATAATTAGAAATGATGGTCCATTTCCTGACTCACACAAAATAAACATCCCTTCTTGATCCAACATTTTGTACAACTGTGAGAATTTTAAAATTTGAAAAGAAGAAAACAAATTTGATAGTTTGTGATGTTTCTGTCAATGATTTAATTGTTAGCAAGAGTAATACTTACAATCCAGGGTACACCTCCTTATAGACTGATGGTTCAGAGCTGGAGACAGGAAAAATGATCCCTGGAGACCCAGGATTAAGATTGTCCTTGAAGTGGGAATGCTGCACAAGCTTAACCGTCATCTCTGTTCGTGTGTCCATTGACATTATAAAACTACAAAACACAATTTTAGTCTGAAGATTCACAAGATCCTGAACTTACAAACAAATAAAAAGCAAAGCAAATTGAACAAAAACATCGCAAATATCCTAAATTTAAACATTTCAAGATTTAAAAAAAAAAATATCGTAAATTTGTTATCATGTTCAAATACTGATGTATTGTAAAACATTAATTAAAATCATACCTGATAAGAGAGTTACCTTCCCTTGGTTTGCTCCTCTGGTCTTCTGCCTACAAAAATACACAACAACAGATCATTCTTAAAACAACAAATAAAATTTAATTACAATTTCATCCTTTTGTTTATTTCTAATTTTCTTTTGTGAACCATTTTATTTCTAGCTTTCTTGATATTTGCAAATTAAAAAAAACCAAAGCAGTGGTACATAACATGAATATATTTGTCCTGTTGGAAGTCAGGATACATAAATGTACAAGGTAAGTGAACGAGAATATTCAAATTTAAATTTTTTCAAAATATTTATCCTCAGCAGAAATTTGATGTCGGGAAATTTCACATGCAAGCTTTCACAATACAAAACAAATTTTTCAATTGATTGATATCACAAAAGCTTAAATTGAGCTGCAAAGCTTGTTGTTTACGGGAAATATATGAAAACTGTAGGTGAAAGTGGGTAGCTGTTCTTTCTATGAATTTCCAACAAAGCTATACAGAACATCTAGTAATATACAAAGATCTTGCATTCACCTTTGTTGAATTCTGAGTAAATACGCTAAAAAAATTACCCTGTTTATATCTAAATTTCTTTTGTCTGCAGATTTTAAGATGAAAATTCTATAAGCAGAACTTGTATCAAGTTGAACATCTTTTTTTATCGTCTCTCCAGTACAGTTGGCAGTAACAGAGATGGCATTGGACCCTGTTGGTACTCTCAAATAGTCAGATTCCTGAAATACAGAAAAACAGTTATTTTCTTGGGGTCCTAATTAAAACAGGTTTAATTCTTTCAGAAAAAAAAGAATACTGATATTAAATCTAAATGATATTCCCTGGAGTAGATGGAAGGTGACCTCACACTTACCTGTGTAAATGATAGGTCCCTGGGGTAGATGGAAGGTGACCTCACACTTACCTGTGTAAATGATAGGTCCCTGGGTTAGATGAAAGGTGACCTCACACTTACCTGTGTAAATGATATTTCCTAGAGTAGATGGTAAGGTGACCTCACACTTACCTGTGTAAATGATAGGTTCATGGGGTAGATGGAAGGTGACATCACACTTACCTGTGTAAATGATAGGTCCCTAGAGTAGATGGTAAGGTGACCTCACACTTACCTGTGTAAATGATAGGTCCCTGGGATAGATGGAAGGTGACATCACACTTACCTGTGTAAATTACAGGTCCCTGGGGTAGATGGAAGGTGACCTCACACTTACCTGTGTAAATGATAGGTCCCTGGGGTAGATGGAAGGTGACCTCACACTTACCTGTGTAAATGACAGGTCCCTGGGGTAGATGGAAGGTGACCTCACACTTACCTGTGTAAATGATAGGTCCCTAGAGTAGATGGAAGGTGACCTCACACTTACCTGTGTAAATGATAGGTCCATGGGGTAGATGGAAGGTGACCTCACACTTACCTGTGTAAATGACAGGTTCCTGGGGTTGATGGAAGGTGACCTCACACTTACCTGTGTAAATTACAGGTCCCTGGGATAGATGGAAGGTGACCTCACACTTATCTGTGTAAATGATAGGTCCCTAGAGTAGATGGAAGGTGACCTCACACTTACCTGTGTAAATGATAGGTCCCTGGGATAGATGGAAGGTGACATCACACTTACCTGTGTAAATTACAGGTCCCTGGGGTAGATGGAAGGTGCCCTCACACTTACTGTGTAAATGATAGATCCCTAGAGTAGATGGAAGGTGACCTCACACTTACCTGTGTAAATGATAGATGCCCTGAGTAGATGGTAAGGTGACCTCACACTTACCTGTGTAAATGATAGGTCCCTGGGGTAGATGGAAGGTGACCTCACACTTACCTGTGTAAATGATAGGTCCCTGGGGTAGATGGAAGGTGACCTCACACTTACCTGTGTAAATGATAGGTCCCTGGGGTATATGGAAGGTGACCTCACACTTACCTGTGTAAATGATAGGTCCGTGGGGTAGATGGAAGGTGACCTCACACTTACCTGTGTAAATGATAGGTCCCTGGGATAGATGGAAGGTGACCTCACACTTACCTGTGTAAATGATAGGTCCCTGGGATAGATGGAAGGTGACATCACACTTACCTGTGTAAATTACAGGTCCCTGGGGTAGATGGAAGGTGACCTCACACTTACCTGTGTAAATGATAGGTCCATGGGGTAGATGGAAGGTGACCTCACACTTACCTGTGTAAATGACAGGTCCCTGGGGTAGATGGAAGGTGACCTCACACTTACCTGTGTAAATGATAGGTCCCTAGAGTAGATGGAAGGTGACCTCACACTTACCTGTGTAAATGATAGGTCCATGGGGTAGATGGAAGGTGACCTCACACTTACCTGTGTAAATGACAGGTTCCTGGGGTTGATGGAAGGTGACCTCACACTTACCTGTGTAAATTACAGGTCCCTGGGATAGATGGAAGGTGACCTCACACTTACCTGTGTAAATGATAGGTCCCTAGAGTAGATGGAAGGTGACCTCACACTTACCTGTGTAAATGATAGGTCCCTGGGGTAGATGGAAGGTGACCTCACACTTACCTGTGTAAATGATAGGTCCCTAGAGTAGATGGAAGGTGACCTCACACTTACCTGTGTAAATTACAGGTCCCTGGAGTAGATGGAAGGTGACCTCACACTTACCTGTGTAAATGATAGGTCCCTGGGATAGATGGAAGGTGACATCACACTTACCTGTGTAAATTACAGGTCCCTGGGGTAGATGGAAGGTGCCCTCACACTTACTGTGTAAATGATAGATCCCTAGAGTAGATGGAAGGTGACCTCACACTTACCTGTGTAAATGATAGATGCCCTGAGTAGATGGTAAGATGATCTCACACTTACCTGTGTAAATGATAGGTCCCTGGGGTAGATGGAAGGTGACCTCACACTTACCTGTGTAAATGATAGGTCCCTGGGGTAGATGGAAGGTGACCTCACACTTACCTGTGTAAATGATAGATCCCTAGAGTAGATGGAAGGTGACCTCACACTTACCTGTGTAAATGATAGGTCCTGGGGTAGATGGAAGGTGACCTCACACTTACCTGTGTAAATGATAGATGCCCTGAGTAAATGGTAAGGTGACCTCACACTTACCTGTGTAAATGATAGGTCCCTGGGATAGATGGAAGGTGACATCACACTTACCTGTGTAAATGATAGATGCCCTGAGTAGATAGATGAGGACAATGATACTGGACAAGGATAAGTGTTGATGAATGTCACACCGCTCTCTGATAAGGAGAGTGGAACTTCTTTCTGCACCTATAAAGTAGAAATCCATCACTATATATCTAGGCATACTTGTACCTACTGGTTAAATTATTGTTGTTTACTTCTTATAAATATACAGTAATTCGACTCTACAGGTGTAGGTAATTTAATTTGATGTAACACAAAATTACACGATTAATAGAATCTTTTATTTCTTTATGTCGGAGATCAATTCATCTCAATCATGGTCTAACTGTTTGTAACAAAACCTCAATTAAGGACAACATTCTGTTTTATCCCGAGTGAGGCCATTCCAGAAAATGAGCCAGAGACTGAGACAAAATCCATTTCAAATATGTATACCTGTAACTGTTTCTCATACCTTATTGCATTGAAATTGCATTATAAACTGAATTAATCATTTCTAAGTGCTTTGCTTCTGCTTATTTGGAATTATCTCCCTTTTCGAGAACACTCGGGGAGGAGAATACTAGGGAAGGAGGGGAGGAGAATACTCAGGGAGGAGGGGAGGAGAATACTCGGGGAGGAGAATACTCGGGGAGGAGGGGAGGAGAATACTCGGGGAGGAGAATACTCGGGGAGGAGAATACTAGGGGAGGAGAACACTCGGGGAGGAGAATACTAGGGGAGGAGAAAACTCGTGGAGGAGGGGAGGAGAATACTCCGGGAGGAGGGGAGGAGAATACTCGGGGAGGAGGGGAGGAGAATACTCGGGGAGGAGGGGAGGAGAATACTCGGAGAGGAGAATACTCGGGGAGGAGAACACTTGGGGAGGAGAATACTCAGGGAGGAGGGGAGGAGAATACTCGGGGAGGAGAATGCTCAGGGAGGAGGGGAGGAGAATACTTGGGGAGGAGAATGCTCAGGGAGGAGGGGAGGAGAACACTTGGGGAGGAGAATACTCAGGGAGGAGGGGAGGAGAACACTTGGGGAGGAGAATGCTCAGGGAGGAGGGGAGGAGAATACTCGGGGAGGAGAATGCTCAGGGAGGAGGGGAGGAGAATACTCGGGAAGGAGGGGAGGAGAATACTCGGGGAGGAGAACACTTTGGGAGAACAATTGATGTTATTTTAATAATAAGATCACCTACCATGGAAAGTCACATAAAGGAACAAGAAAGATCAAACAACAAGGAAATCAGGGTCATGGATAGGATTTCCCTGTGTCTCTGAGATATCCAAACCCCAAAATAACTACGTTAGAATCGAAGGAGTTACTGTAATATGTATGAAGACATAACCTACTTTCATAAAATTTGAAAATTAGATGCAGCTTTTAACTCATCATCCTCAACAACCTAAAACATCATCTTTGGAAAAAAAGTTTAGTTTACATATGGACAGAAGACATTTAGGAAAGGGATAAGAAAATATGGTTTTATATCAAAAGATTAATAATAAAAAAAAATCTTACGTCGAGCTTCATTTGCACAAGTGCAGCTACCACGAAAGCCACACCTGTTAGGAACATTCCGGACACCATCCTTTGCAGGGGACTGAAACATACAAAATACCAAAAATATTCTGGATTATTTAATCAATGTTTTTGCATAGTGATAATTTTTTTCTACTTTATGTGCCTGAAGTATAATTACAATGGAGTAACAACACATTATATTACTTAGTGCACTACCCTATGATGCACATACAATAATAGATATTGATCTTTAAATCTTCATTTGAAAACCAAACATTTTTATAAAATATTTTACAAAAACTCAATAACTTACACACATACTTAGAACTGTAACCAGTTCAATTAAACAAGTCTTATACAGGAAGCCTTAGGGGGTGCCACTTTAGTATCAGTGACAATGCAACCCACATAAAAATTCCAAGATCAAATGATGCTTTTATTAATATTTTACAAATATACACATCTCATGTATATTATGACATCGAAATCTTGTTAATATAAAATTTAGCAATGTCTGCTTTCATCCAGAAATTTGAAATAGACATAAGTAATGACTAGACTGTATCATCTCTGTGTATAAGTCTGATCACTATGTATAAACATTGATAAACAAATTGTTTATCTACAGACGATGTAATACAGGTGCAAATATTACTCAATGTTATCGGAAATGATCTCACCCAACAATGAATACATTTGTCAAATTCTGTAGGATTCCGCAAAAAGACAATGACGCTTCAGAGAAATATTCAAGACTTAAAATCAAACATTGAGTTCAGAGCTCAACATCTGAAACAGGTACACCACAGCCAATGTCTTGCTTACCTTCGCAGAATTTTGCATTTGTCACACAGTGGATATACCACTTGTTCAAACAGAGGAATCAAGATGATGATAAGAAGGGGGTTTAAAGCCTGAAAAATAATAGACACTTCATTTACTCAATGAAAAACAATTATCTATAATTATTTGTTTCTATTTTCATCAAAATTATCTGTTCACATTTGCTTCTCGAATTTTTATAAAAATTTCTTTCAAAAATGATTCATAGCTTCTTGTTAATGTTTTGAACGAAGATTAGTACTCACCATCACCTGGTCTGGTTTCACTCTACCAAGTACGCCCTAAAACAAGAAATGTGTACCCATTAACCAACCAGTCGTCTCATCTGACAGGATGTACGTTTTGTACAACCAGTTGTCTCATCTGACAAGATGTACATTTTATACAGCCAGTTGTCTCATCTGACAGGATCTACATTTTATACCACCAGTTGTCTCATCTGACAGGATGTACATTTTATACAGCCAGTTGTCTCATCTGACAGGATCTACATTTTATACAACCAGTTGTCTCATCTGACAGGATCTACATTTTATACAACCAGTTGTCTCATCTGACAGGATGTACATTTTATACAACCAGTTGTCTCATCTGACAGGATGTACATTTTATACAACCAGTTGTCTCATCTGACAGGATGTACATTTTATACAACCAGTTGTCTCATCTGACAAGATGTACATTTTATACAGCCAGTTGTCTCATCTGACAAGATGTACATTTTATACAACCAGTTGTCTCATCTGACAAGATGTACATTTTATACAGCCAGTTGTCTCATCTGACAGGATGTACATTTTATACAACCAGTTGTCTCATCTGACAGGATGTACGCTTTGTACAACCAGTTGTCTCATCTGACAAGATGTACATTTTATACAGCCAGTTGTCTCATCTGACAAGATGTACATTTTATACAACCAGTTGTCTCATCTGACAAGATGTACATTTTATACAACCAGTTGTCTCATCTGACAAGATGTACATTTTATACAGCCAGTTGTCTCATCTGACAGGATGTACATTTTATACAAGCAGTTGTCCCATCTGACAAGATGTACATTTTATACAACCAGTTGTCTCATCTGACAAGATGTACATTTTATACAGCCAGTTGTCTCATCTGACAAGATGTACATTTTATACAACCAGTTGTCTCATCTGACAAGATGTACATTTTATACAACCAGTTGTCTCATCTGACAAGATGTACATTTTATACAGCCAGTTGTCTCATCTGACAGGATGTACATTTTATACAAGCAGTTGTCCCATCTGACAAGATGTACATTTTATACAACCAGTTGTCTCATCTGACAAGATGTACATTTTATACAACCAGTTGTCTCATCTGACAAGATGTATATTTTATACAACCAGTTCATTTACTTGCTGGGTTTATTATCCTGTGATCATCCAGATTCATTTTGAAGTGGGGTCTCCCTACATCATTGGTGACAACCTCACTGAACAAAATATGGGAGGTCCGTTACATTTTGTCTACAGCAATTTGTGTAAAGTGTCTAACCCAAGGACACAACTATAACTAAACAGACTGGTCAATAACTTAGTTTCCTAGGAAACACAAACTGCCATTGGTAGGAAGCATCATACCAAACACCTTTGATCTTCACCTAAGGTCACATAGGCTTATGTTTAGATCAACTGAGGTATCCCTGCCACACTACCAGATAAGAGATTCTATTTCTCATTACTATGTCTAAATTTTGTGTCTTTTTATATAGTTCCCAACACATTGAAATTAAAACACTCTGAAATATTGATAGGATTCCTCTTACTCTCTCATATCATAATAATCTGAGTGAATTAGGAGGAAGAAAAATTAAAAAGGATTATGCTGTTGAAGAAGATATCTTGCATGAGGATAAAATTGAATTGTATTTGTCTTGGACAATACAATATTGATTGAACTGTAAAAGAATTAATTTTTCATCCCCAACAATTTATCCCCAGAAATTGCACAGAATATTTTTAAAGAGTGTAATAATCCACAAAAATATCATTAAATGATTCCACCATACTTCAAATTAGAAGTAGAATGGACACTATGGGAGATCCTATCTCTATCATCGGTCAGTCAAACTAGAAGTAGAATAGACACTATGGGAGATCCTATCTCTATCATCGGTCAGTCAAACTAGAAATAGAATGGACACTATGGGAGATCCTATCTCTATCATCGGTCAGTCAAACTAGAAGTAGAATAGACTCTATCGGAGATCCTATCTCTATCATCGGTCAGTCAAACTAGAAGTAGAATGGACACTATGGGAGATCCTATCTCTATCATTGGTCAGTCAAACTAGAAATAGAATAGACACTATGGGAGATCCTATCTCTATCATTGGTCAGTCAAACTAGAAATAGAATAGACATTATGGGAGATCCTATCTCTATCATCGGTCAGTCAAACTAGAAATAGAATAGACACTATGGGAGATCCTATCTCTATCATTGGTCAGTCAAACTAGAAATAGAATAGACACTATGGGAGATCCTATTTCTATCATTGGTCAGTCAAACTAGAAATAGAATAGACACTATTGGAGATCCTATCTCTATCATTGGTCAGTCAAACTAGAAGTAGAATAGACACTATGGGAGATCCTATCTCTATCATCGGTCAGTCAAACTAGAAGTAGAATAGACACTATGGGAGATCCTATCTCTATCATTGGTCAGTCAAACTAGAAATAGAATGGACTCTATGGGAGATCCTATCTCTATCATTGGTCAGTCAAACTAGAAGTAGAATAGACACTATGGGAGATCCTATCTCTATCATTGGTCAGTCAAACTAGAAGTAGAATAGACACTATGGGAGATCCTATCTCTATCATCGGTCAGTCAAACTAGAAGTAGAATAGACACTATGGGAGATCCTATTTCTATCATCGGTAAGTCAAACTAAAAACAGAATAGACACTATGAATGATTGTATTTCAATTATCGTTCAGTCAAACTAGATGAAAATGGACTCTATGGGAGATCCTATCTCTATGACTGGTCAGTCAAACTAGAAATAGAATGGTTCTATTTCTATCAATACTAATCATGAATATATTATGTTTAACCTCACCACATCACCATCCATCTGAGCAGCTTGAAGAGTCCATCTTGATCCCTGAAATCAAATTACACATTTTCGTTCATGTTTTCTTCTATAAATATACAAAAGACACACAATAGAATAACATCTTTTAATACAAATTTAGATAAGATATGATAGAACCAAACAATGAATTAAACTGCATCATACAACTGTTTTGTCCTCCTTGGACACATCAGTCATGCTACATCATACAACTGTTTTGTCCTCCTTGGACACATCAGTCATGCTACATCATACAACTGTTTTGTCCTCCTTGGACACATCAGTCTTGCTATATCATACAACTGTTTTGTCCTCCTTGGACACATCAGTCATGCTACATCATACAACTGTTTTGTCCTCCTTGGACACATCAGTCTTGCTACATCATACAACTGTTTTGTCCTCCTAGGACACATCGGTCATGCTATACCATACACCTGTTTTGTCCTCCTAGGACACATCGATCATGCTACATCATACAACTGTTTTGTCCTCCTAGGACACATAAGTCATGCTAAGGGCTTGAATACTGAAACCTAAGAGGCGACTGATAAGTATCAAAAGTGATTGAAAATCCAGACAGGGAAGTGCACAAACCCCATAATTAAATACATTTTGTAATTTTTGTATTTCATACAATTTCAGAACAGCATCAAGTACATGTATTTTCTGAGAAGTGTCACTATTCAAATCAATTAAAGTGTGGTATGTAGGTTGCAGTAAACCTCAGGGACTTAAATGCCACCAGCAGTGTCTACCACCTGTTATCCTAAAGATTGTACAAAAGACACACAAGTGAATAGCACCATTAAAACAGATTTAGAGTCAGATACAGTGGAGCCAAACAATTAATTAAACTGCATCATACAATTGTTTCTATCCTCTGTTATGTTGTAGATGTTGTATTAAAAGCTGGATTTCCTGTGAAAAAACCATGAACATGCAGCTAGAACCTATGTATAGGCCTTCAACCAGCAACCCAGAGGCGGAAAACTAGCAATATGTCAGGTGTCTTAACTACTTGACCAAGTTGATAAGTCAGGTGTCTTAAAAATTTGACCCGTATAACTACAAGGGAAACCTACAAATAAAGTAAAAAGGTGATGTCTTCTCAGGAAATAGCCATAACAAACTTAACAGTCAAAATTCAAGATGGCCGAATTTGACAGAGTCCAGAACAAAGAGTAAATGATTTTTATATTTTCTGTGTTACCTGTTGATCTGACAGAGCCCAGAACAAAGGTAGTGGTAGAAATAAAGTCAGCACTTTTAGCAGATCCTTCACCTCTTCAATGAAATCAGGCTGAAAATGAAAAAAGTATGCAGCTTTATACAACTTGTATTTTTTTCAAAATTATTCAAAATTAAATACACATTTAGCATTTTCTCAATATCCAGCATTAAAAGCTACACTTGGAATTAACATATTATTTGTCTTGCCCTTGATAATGGGGAGAGGGTCTGTGTACATACCTCCAAATTCTCCTCTGCGTCGTCTAGCCAAATAGTGTTAATGCATAAATGGATTTGTTAGGACATTTCAGATAGTAAATCATGTAGGGACAGAGTGAAGCATCGCCAAGATAATTTGAACTTGTCCTTACCTCAAATTTTTCCTCTGCATAGTCAAGCCAATGTTGCATTTTCACCTTAGTTCTTCTACTTTTTACTTTACCCACAATTCCTGCCTGTAAAAAGTAATAGATAATTTACAGAGTGATCTCCCTTACCATGACAATCTGATATTGCTAGCAATACCATTTTCCAAAGTCAAGCCATTCAGTGTGATTATATATGGCAGTAAATATCACACATATGTAGACAGAACATTAGTTGCTGAATATATGACTGAGCTATAATTGTTTATACACATGAGTTTTTGATGGACAAACTATTAAGACAGCATTTCAAAAGACGCAGGTTAATGAAAATTATGGGGAAGTTTTGTGGTCGTCATAGTGATGTCATTAATATATATTCTATTTCTTTGTGCAATATGACGCTGGACATGTTTGATTCTTGTTGGTTCCGTTGTGTATACCTTGTTCTCATTTTGAGAACATGACATTTATTTACTTATTTGGATTGACCAACATTTACATGGCGGAACACCTGACCTTATTCTCGTTGTACTTTTTCAGGAGTCTCTCTGTAAATCTTTCTTTTGTTCATATTTTGCCATGTTTTTATTTTAATTTGAGTTTGGATTATCTTGGCAAGTTGGTATTTTCTTGTTGTTTTCATACCTTCTTAGACCTTTACATTTACAAAACCTTTCAGGCATAATTCGAGACAGATCTACAGATACTGATTCAAAACATGAAAACCTTTAAACCAATTTTGTCAAAATGGCAGAAAGATAAAACTATCATCAGTAGGTCCATCCTTATTTGATACACAAACAATTACCCTGGTCCGAGTGGTCGATTTGATAAACAAAAATGGTCCAGTTTCTTCTATACATGCACATCACAAGTTACCAGTCTGAGTTTGAGAAACCTAGGATCACTGACAACAATATCACTGGTAGTGGATGTCTGAAGTTAGGTGTATACTTAATTGTGAAGTGAAGCAATATTTTTGTATTTTGAAAAAAAAATCAAATAAAAACACAGTTTTGATAAATTGAATAGTAAAATTTGAACGGTGTAATACCTTGATACAATTGTAGACTCTTCCTACTAAATTACCAGCCGGAGGTGTAATCTTGTACTGACTTTTCCCAGCAATGAAGATAACTATAATGAAAAACAACAAGTTTTATAAATTTTTGCTTAACATCCTGTTAACAGCAAGGTCATTCAAGAGCATGTGAGGTGTGGTTGGTGGAGAAAAGCCAGAGTTCAAGGAGAAAACCTTCGACCTGTGGCCAGTCAGCCAGCCTCGAACCCACAGGCTTTCATAATACATATGATATTCAAATTAAAAAAATCAATGTTTTTAGATCTTTTCACAAATAATTTTTCTTCTATAAATTATAAGCATAATAAAAAATTATGCCTTTGAAATATATTCATCAAAAAAGTTGCAACTGAATCTTGAAGATGAAAACATAGAATTTACTGTAAAGTATGGTCTAATATTTGATCTCCAATAGAACCAACTTCCTTTAAAAAATTGAAGAGAAGAATTTATTTAGTTATAAAGATACAGTAAAAATTAACTTATCTAAGAAATACTGAAGACAATTTTGACTATTGGTGTTGATGTAAAAGCAGTTGAAATTTACTTTTTGTAAACAGACCTCTATTTGCAATTTTTGCAAAATGACAATACCCCTGCATTAGTAACATACTTTTCTTGTAGTGATCTTTGAAACTTTGTAAAACATTGGTTTATATTCTCAATTGACCCACTTTTCTCAATTCTGATTCTTAATAATTTCAACATATTTTTTATTTTATCTTTACATATTTATCAAGTGAAAGTTTTTCCAGAAATTAAGTAATTTTGCCAAATGATGCATATATAGGGACTTCAAATGTTTAAATGAATAATTGATTTATTGATTAATATCGTCATCTTCAAATCATTTTCACCACAGCGTAAGACATTTTGTACAAAGCACCAATAACAATTTCTTACTTACTTGTAGCAATAAACATAAGTATTGCTGGTACACCAAAAGCTAAAGGATAACACTCTCCCCCAAAACACTGGACATCAGCTGAAACCAAGTCAATAAGCAATCTATTTCAATCACTTTTAGCACAATGTTTTGTTTGTCTGTTTTATCAACACTAGAAGACAACAGAGATGTCATTATACTCTGTTCTGATAAAATACCTATATACAGGTAGATTATTTACCTGTAATGTTCTGATAAAATACCTATGTACAGGTAGATTATTTAATTGTACTGTTCTGATATAGTACCTACATACAGGTAGATTATTCACCTGGACACTTCTGATATACTACCTATATACAGGTAGATTATTTACCTGTACTGTTCTGATAAAATACCTATATACAGGTAGATTATTTAATTGTACTGTTCTGATATAGTACCTACATACAGGTAGATTATTCACCTGGACACTTCTGATATACTACCTATATACAGGTAGATTATTTACCTGTACTGTTCTGATATACTACCTATATACAGGTAGATTATTTACCTATACTGTTCTGATATACTACCTATATACAGGTAGATTATTTACCTATACTGTTCTGATATAGCACCTATATACAGGTAGATTATTTACCTGTACTGTTCTGATATACTACCTATATACAGGTAGATTATTTACCTGTACTGTTCTCATATACTACCTATATACAGGTAGATTATTTACCTGTACTGTTCTGATATAGTACCTACATACAGGTAGATTATTTACCTGTACTGTTCTGATATACTACCTACATACAGGTAGATTATTTACCTGTACTGTTCTGATATAGTACCTATATACAGGTAGATTATTTACCTGTACTGTTCTGATATACTACCTATATACAGGTAGATTATTTACCTGTACTGTTCTGATATACTACCTACATACAGGTAGATTATTTACCTGTACTGTTCTGATATAGTACATATATACAGGTAGATTATTTACCTGTACTGTTCTTATATAGTACCTGTATACAGGTAGATTATTTACCTGTACTGTTCTGATATAGTACCTATATACAGGTAGATAATTTACCTGTACTGTTCTCATATACTACCTATATACAGGTAGATTATTTACCTGTACTGTTCTGATATAGTACCTACATACAGGTAAATTATTAACCCTGACACTTCTGATATACTACCTATATACAGGTAGATTATTTACCTGTACTGTTCTGATATAGTACCTATATACAGGTAGATTATTTACCTGTACTGTTCTGATATACTACCTACATACAGGTAGATTATTTACCTGTACTGTTCTGATATAGTACCTATATACAGGTAGATTATTTACCTGTAGTGTTCTGATATACTACCTATATACAGGTAGATTATTTACCTGTACTGTTCTGATATAGTACCTATATACAGGTAGATTATTTACCTGTAGTGTTCTGATATAGTACCTATATACAGGTAGATTATTTACCTGTACTGTTCTGATATAGTACTGATATAGTACTGATATAGTACCTATATACAGGTAGATAATTTACCTGTACTGTTCTCATATACTACCTATATACAGGTAGATTATTCACCTGTATACTTCTGATATACCACCTATATACAGGTAGATCATTAACCTGTAATGTTGTGATATAGTACCTATATACAGGTAGATTAATCTGTAATGTTCTGCTATTGTACTTTAAGTTTTATAAGAACCATTGATACAAAGCCGTTAATGAACATATTGTGTAACAAAAGTAATGACAATAAAGGGAATATGTAGCACAGATTTGTATAATTAGCATATCTTTGTAATACACACATTCATCAGACACCCAAACAATCATATCTAATTCATATACTAAATCTATTGATTAATTAAATGACTCTAGGCTTGATGGTTCTGTTGAAGTGTTTTTGTTAAGATCTTAACACATTTGACCCCGTCAAAATCAATGTGTGTCAAAAATGTATTATCAAAAAGTATCAATTTGAAGACATTTAAATCCCTAACCATGCAAAACAAGATTTTCTTTCTTAAAGCAAGCTTCAGACTCAAATATTGAAGCTTTAGGCTTAATGGTTCTTCAGAAGAAGTAGTGAAGCAAACTGCTGACAATACTGTATGGTTGTATATGCAAACTGAGCCATGAAATCTCACCTCGTAGTACTGGTGTAAGGAAGATTGACAGCATACTGCCCAGGTTAATCATGAAGTAGAAAGCAGAGAAAAAGGTGTTCCTTTCCTTTTCCTGAAGATATGAAAAGACAAACTCAAATTAATAAAATGAATCAGTAATTCTATCTCTGCGAATGACTCCGAGGCAGCAAACAGAAAAGTCATCTGCTTAATCAAGAAATCATATATAAGGAATGTTAATGATACTGACCTGTGAATATATTGATGATCACACAAAACTTACCTGATCAGGTCTGAACTGGTCTGCACCAAATGCTGACACACATGGCTTAATTCCACCTGTACCAAGTCCTATCAGAATCAACCCTATCATAGGACCAATACTAGACAAGGATAGAAAATATTTAAATCAAAAACAGACCAATCCCAGACAAGGGTAGAAAATATTTAAATAAAAAACAGACCAATCCTAGACAAGGATAGAAAATATGTAACTCAAAAATAGACCAATCCTAGACAAGGATAGAAAATATCTGAATAATGAACAGACCAATCCTAGACAAGGATAGAAAATATCTTAATCAAGAACAGACCAATCCTAGACAAGGATAGAAAATATCTAAATCAAGAACAGACCAATCCTAGACAAGGATAGAAAATATCTAAATCAAAAACAGACCAATCCTAGACAAGGATAGAAAATATCTAAATCAAAAACAGACCAATCCTAGACAAGGATACTTAATATGTAAATTAGATATATATCACTGGATAAGTGATGTATCAGGTCAAGGAAGAATTCTGTATCAGGTCGAGGAAGAATTCTGTATCAGGTCGAGGAAGACTTACATTTCAGGTGGAGGAAGCGCAGTGAGAGCCATCACTAGGTTTCCAATGGCATAGATTATTGAAACATACAAAATGGTTCTGAAAAGAGGAAACAGAAATTTTAGACATTTTTTATTACGAGTTCATACATTACAGACTACTTAAGACATATACCAGTGACAGCCTGAACATAACTCCAAGACAATGATACACCTACATGTCTAAATTACTGAAGCTGGAGAATTTGACTTTTTGAACTCATTCCTTAAGTAAGGTAATTATTATCATATTGATGTATTTATTTATATGTCAGCTTCATGTAATCGCTTGATATATAAGGTTCATCAGAAATATTTTGTTTTCCTAGAGTTACTCTATAAGGAAGAAACATATTGCCCTTCCTACACATTGGTATTACAAGTAAAAGTTTGGACTTCAGGTTTTTTTACTTACTTGAGCCTCCCAAGAAAACCATCAGCAATGATGGCTCCAAAGAGCGGACTGAAGTAGCAGAGCATCACAAAGGTATGGAATGTCGCTGTAGCATGATCGTCTGTGAACTTGAGCCATCGTGTCAGGTACAGGACCAGAATGGCTAAAGACATGAGAGATCAATCACGTTGTACATACACTGTTTAACATTAGAATTCGTGTCACCAAAAGGTTTGAAAGGCTTGTGTCAAATACCACTTAAAATATGATATATTTTACAGTATGCCCAGTGTATAAAGACCATCTGTCTATATAGTTTTCCTGTTCTAGTTCCAAATTATACACAGTTCTAAGGTACTGAACCTCTATATAAAGGTCACCTTTCTATACAGGCCACTTGTTCTAGTTCCAAATTAAACACAGTTCTAAGGTACTGAACCTCTATATAAAGGTCACCTTTCTATACAGGCCACTTGTTCTAGTTCCAAATTATACACAGTTCTAAGATACTGAACCTCTATATAAAGGTCACCTTTCTATACAGGCCACTTGTTCTAGTTCCAAATTATACACAGTTCTAAGGTACTGAACCTCTATATAAAGGTCACCTTTCTATACAGGCCACTTGTTCTAGTTCCAAATTATACACAGTTCTAAGGTACTGAACCTCTATATAAAGGTCACCTTTCTATACAGGCCACTTGTTCTAGTTCCAAATTATACACAGTTCTAAGATACTGAACCTCTATATAAAGGTCACCTTTCTATACAGGCCACTTGTTCTAGTTCCAAATTATACACAATTCTAAGACACAGAACCTCCATATAAAGGTCACCTATCTATACAGGCCACTTGTTCTAGTTCCAAATTAAACACAATTCTAAGATATTACACCTCTTTATAAAGTCACCTATCTATACAGACCACTTGTTCTAGTTCTAAATTATACACAATCACAATTATAAGAAACAGTACAGGTCACCTGCCTGTAAAGGTCACTTTTCTTCTGTTTTCTTAAATGGAAATTCTAGACAGAATTGACTGTATTAGAAAATATACAATATTTCAAAGAAGTCATTTGAAATTTTAGAAACTTTGAGGATATGATGCTGAATATAGATTAAAGTAATATATCAGAATTAACGTTCAAAGACCTTCATCTTGATATCATACAAATATCAGTACTTCAGACCTCAAAGACCTGCAGAATTCTGTTAATGAATGATGCACATTTCTCTTTAACTTTTAACACAGATCAATATCACAAAGTGCACATCTAAAAACCATCTGAAATTATCTCTTCATGAGACACATAAATTATAGTTCATTAATTTTTATATTTTAACAGAATAAATATTAGTAACAAACGTCAGACACGACGGATTTTGCAGTATATGTGATGTCTGGACAAGCTGTGCCAGGACATCAACTACACAGCTCTACTAACTGATATATGACTTTGGTATAATTTCGAGTAATTACTGTTGTGTCACTGTGTAAATGTAGCATTATATCATTATGCTGTAGGCAGTGATTATGTAGTCTTTGTTTACTCTCCAGGCCAGTCACTTATGTACTACAGTTTAGCTTTCATTGATAACCATATAGAAACACATGGTGAAAGTTACATTTAAGACACAAACTTTTCACAAGCTAAATGACTGTCTTCTTGCAGATTATATTCTCCACAGAAAAATTAACATCCATCAAATAATTTGTTGAAATTTGTTAAAAATTAGTTTTGTGAACATGTACAAAATCCAATCTTAGCAACTCAATTTGAACACTGTAATACAAGAGGTCCAAGGGGCCTGCATCTCTTACCTGATTGTCATTGCTTTATACAACAAACTTACGTTTGAAGTATTTTACCTTCTGTGCTGATCAACTAAAAAAACTTTTCCGGTATTTTAGTTAATTAGAAATGTTAGGATTCAACCAAACAATTCAGCTAAATGTACATGATTCAAGGTTTTTCAATTAATCAGAAGAAATTGCTTGGGTGTTGTAATGATTCAGAACCCTTTAATACGGCTATTTTGTCATCTTTTTTTTAGAAGCTGTTCAAACTGAAAGTATTGTACTCAAATATTAGTGAACTAATTGCAGTTTATATTCAGAAATTTATCATTGCACTAATTGGCAAAAACATTAATCATGTGTTTAAATTTGTTTGCACCAAATTAAGTACGTTTCTAGGACATCATGATTCTAGGTGTTTTAGTTCATCAGAAGTAGGTAGAGTACTTTAAGATGTTATATCCTAAAGATGTTGAACATTGGTCAACATTGTTTGCTTTCTGAACCGTTCCCAGGATTCATCCCAGAAATATGCTGAGAAAATATCAAGATTACACAGTTTTTGGTCATTCAAAAGAATTCTTTGGAGAGTTTTACCAATTTTGCATCTGTGACCTTCATATGGGTCAAGGTCATTTCTCTTTGCAAACTTTATCAGGTTACACATAACTTTACTCAAAATGACTCTTCAAAAAAGTTATTTAAAGAAAAAAGTAATTAAAAGACTTTGCACTGTTGTCCTGATAAGTTAAAAAATATATTAAACAGCACAAAACAACACCATACCTCTCATTCCGTAGTAGGAAAATCTCTCACAGAATTCATTTCCAAGGATGAAAAATATACTGACGGGATATTTACGTCTTCTCGTGAAAACATTCTGGAAAGATAATAAATATTGATATCACAATTAGTAACAAGTTTTATAAGAAGACAGCTCCACATGCTTTCAGCAGATTACGAACACAACAAATGTTCTATTTACCTCGACAACAAGCTGTCTGTTACCTACCATATTTTCTGGGTTATAAGTCACAATGGTATATAGACTATAAAGCCAATTTTTATTCGATTTTTACGATTTGGTCCACATATAAGCTGCACCTTTTATTACAATATGGCAACATTATGTTTACCAAAGTTTGTTGATATAACTGACAACAGAAGGCAGTTTATCATGATTGTCAGTGAGACATTTGATAAAATTTGCAAATTAATTATGCACAACTAATCTTTTATCCTACTAATGTATTTTTTAAAATTATTCTGAGCTTTTAAAAAAATTCACAAAATAGTAAATATTGTACTCGTTTGGCATGGGACTTTCTGCTTAAAACTTTGCCCCTCATTCAGTGAAAATTACAAATCAACTGAGAGGACCTAAAATTGAAATATCAATCACAACTAAAGGATAACTGTAAAATCATCAAAATTGATAAAATTATGAAATAACATCAACAGAGATTTTATCAGTAGTCTGTGGATTTTTTAATCCAGACAATGATTATTTTTAACATTTTCAATTTTTGGCAGATAACCAAGATCACCATGATGTTTATTCCTGAAGGTTATATATAATATTTGTTAAATTGTTACATTGCTATTGGTGATAAATTCCATGTGTGGTTTTGTTTGATTTCTAGCAGTTCATATCACCTATTAAAAACCTAGAATTAAATCCACATACTCAGCAGGTTTTTTTGGTAAAATTCTGTTACAAAGCGGCAACCTTACCTTCACTCGTCCCCACGCTTTTCCACTTATTTTCTGATCTGTGTTTGCATTCAGTAAGCTGTCATCTGTTTCACCAGAATGAAACAAAAAAAATCATAAATGAAAACAACACTCATTCAAGCAGAAATCTGGAAGAAAACAAAAAATCTGTCAGGTAGAATAATTCAGAAATTAGGATAAGTTTTAACAAATGTTGATGGTTTATTGACCTGAACAGGCAACATAAATCACATCTGTCCCGCAATGCGTACTTTAACATCTATTAGATATATATTGGACCTTGCATGTGTTTCTATTTGAAACAGGATTAGGAGAATTTTTCAGCAAATAGATACAAAATTATCAAATGAAATTATGTGAAAAAAACAACATTTTTATATAAAAAATTTATCAGTTGTGATGGCTAATGTCTCAATATATATATATATATGTCAAAATGCAATCTACAAGTGTATGATGTCATTATCACGACCTGACATCACAACAGATTATATTATAAATGTGTAACATGCGAAATCTTATAAGGGTATATTCCCTGAATAACAAGGTCATCATTTGAAAAATATTAAAACATACCTGAAATGATAATACATACTCTGTGCAGCCGTAATCGTAAGCTGATTCACATTTTAATGGTGGATCAAACTTGCATTAAATCAAAATATTGCCATTTCTTTTTCATATCTGCCTTTTATTTATGAAAGAAGTTGTCATTTCAATATCTGTATGTATACAGATGTTTTTCAGAATTATCTCATTGTATACTTTTCACTTTCTCTATGGCACAAATGAAGTTTACCACAAATTTTTCAGCTCGGCTCAGCATAGGATTGCTAATGTTCACACACATACCAGGTTTTGTAGATGGCTTATCATTAGGGTAAGGGAAAAATGACAGGAAGGGAAGGTTGTGTGGCCTTGATATAGATTTTAAGTTTACTATTATACCTCATGTCAGGAAAGGTAGAACAATTTAAAGATATTAGTGTAGTAGAATCAGACTAGAAACATGCTTCCAGGGTTTACAACATAATATATATATTTTCTACAAATGGTAGAAAATTAAAACAGCAGAACAGTGTACATATATATTATTGATGTGTAGTTCTGCATCCATTCTCATTGAAGATCTACATTAGAAATCTACCGCTACATCTAAGTAAATAAAAAAAAAAGAAGGAATTGAAAGTAGAAATGATAGTGAGATTGATTCCTGTTAGGTAAGGTCTAACTTACTGTACTGACAACTGGTTTATAAATATCACATGATGTTTTGACTGACATTTACATAAAAAAATTTCCATTGTTTAATAAAATAAGTAGTTCATTTATAGATCACCTATTCAGCGATCGTATCAACATTCTGTTGCTCGTCTGACAAGGATATCTCACTTCCTTTTTGGATTAAAATATATATATAAAAAAAATGAATTTTTTTGACGATCTTTAACAAAAGTCCCAACAAACTTCATTTACCTGTTTCGCTTGTATCAGGCTTTTACAAGAAGTTAAAATGTGTGTGAATATTTAAGGCTACAGTAGACTTCTAAGATTCTGAATTACTAACCCGAAGAATTCATACAATAATGTCAATCGCTTGGAGAGGGCAACTACAGAATTATTTACAAAGATATTTGATGAAATTAAGTCAAATCAGAGCACAAGGCAGCTTTTCCATATTTTGTTTCATTCTTAACTAATAACACATGGTCAGGACCACAAAATGGATTTCTGACGAGGGGAACGTTCGGACCACATATTCCATAATTTGTGAAAAAATCTTTCAAAGATTCAGACTCAAAATTAGAAGCATGAATAAATATAATTAAGGATCTAAAACTAACTAAGTATACCTGAGAATAAACATGTAAGTCAAAATAACTCATGTACTGTAAAATCAGTCATTTTGGTGGGTAATTTATTTTTGTTAATTTTATGTGTACTTTTATTCCACAAATTCATATGGCCACAGACTGTTAAATAAATTGGTATATGTATTGAGCTGCATTTATCCGTAAAATCAAATGTCATTGAAAAATTGTTCTTTGATAAACTACGAAAATTGGGCCCCATATGTCAACGAAAAATTATTCTTTAATAAACTACGAAAATTGAGCCCCACGATAAAACATTTATAACTTTTCAATAAATCTTGAATCTTGATAGACAGAAGAGATATACAAATGTACTTCCATCGATTTAAGAAATATAACAAAAAAAAATATTTAATTTTCATACAAAATCTTTGAAGTGACATTTCTTTTTAAGACCTCGTGTAAATACTAAGAGTTTTCTGAAGTACAGGGGCTAGTGACGATTAGCACTATATACATGGACTGAATTACCTGCCTTAGTACAACTTTTCTCTATTCAATATTTTAGTATAAATTGTTAATTTATTTTATTAATCCATTAAAATATTTTTATTTCCACATGAATTCTTGAAGAGACGTTTTGTAACAAATCAAAATACTGGAATTAGATCAAAATTCATTATGTAAAAAATGAAGTAAGCCAGCTGTTCATCACTATATGATCTCACATAAGCAGTTTGTTGGTTTAAAATGTTTGGTTCCATATCTGTTCACATTTTGAATAATTCCAGTAACAAATTAAACATGTACATTTGTATGTACATATATTGCTGTTCCAATATCCTATCAGTATATCTTGGTAATATAACATGGATATATATACATGGATGTACATTATACAGATGTACGCATGGAAAGCGATAACATTTGTATAACTGGTCCCGACTAACATTTACATCGAGATACACACTTTATCAATTTATTGTCATGCAGTCATAATGAAATCAACAGACCATGACCAGACTTTGAAACCCTGAAAAGTAATTCACAGAATGGTTTAGGCAAAAATTACTTGAGGGTCCCTTTTTAGAATTTTGTGTGGGCCTTTGATGCACAGTTTACACTGAATACACAATGCTGTCAAACTAGGAGTGACACTTTCATTAAACTATATACATGTTAAGGCATTTTAAAGTACATGTATAGTGAAAAACTATCATCTTTTTAACAATATGCTAATTTTACCCAACATGTGTAACTTCTTAAAATTGTTTTATCTGTAGCAAAATTAAGTGGCTTATAAGAGGGTTTTGCTAAGTGAACTCTTTACAAATATATTGTAGACCAATTTTCATTCAGTTTTCAATATATTAAATTTATACATGCATCTATTTGATAAAAAAATATATATTTCCCTGAATAACAAAATTGAATAAATCTGTTCATTCTTAAGATATTGAATAAGGAGGCTATGGAATATTGACAAAAGGAAAGGAGGTCTTGTACTACTTGTAAATCTGAAATCGAGGACAAATTATCTCTTCAGTGTGAAATGTAATTCAGTTGAAGAGATTTAAGATGACGTTATTGAAAAGACAAAAAAAATATTGGTTATAGCAATTTACAATCATACTTATAAAAATACTCTCATGTATTCTTTTTAATACAAAGGAATTACACCTCCCTGTAAACTCATGTTTGATACAAATAAACTAAGAGAGCATTTTTCATAATTCCCAATATTATGACTGCTTGTACTCATGGTCAGAAATGACTAAAGACAACAAATGAATTCAACTGATTAAGATCTATACAGTTAGCTTAATAAGCAGAGCTACTACAAAATAGTTCCCTTGTGTTGTTTAGAAATATTTAAAAGAGACAAATTTATTTGTAATTTAGCAAACTCGTTCCGTAAAATCCTTAACTTTCACTGGAGATTTGTTTTCCTTGATGTTAAACCAATAACAACATGTCAATGATAATCAGTTAAAATAACTTTCTTTTTCTGTGTACTATTTCATCACAAATCAAATGCCAGCCATACAATATCTTTTTTAAAAAAATGAAAAATTTAAGTTCTATGAAAATAAAGATGCTGCTTTTAACATTTAACCCACGAATTCACAAAAAAGGTAAAAAGGGCCTATATGGTGACAGTCATATCTAAATTTGTAACCTTCAGGATGGTTATGAGCACATTTATTATTCACTTTTTATATAAAGTCATTTTTAATTCTTACCTTGAATGTGATATAAAGATTGTATCTAATTGTAAACTTAATAGTCGTAAAACTCAAATTTTATTTCTGACCTTCAATGTAATCAACGTCTTGTTTATTTATAAGCTATAATGTAGTTAAGTTATCATTCCTTTCAGACCATCTTTATTACAAGAAAGCTTATACCAAACAAAAAATAACATTAATTATTCGTATCCTTTATTTACCTTTCAACACAGGGAGGTGGAGGCACAACGTCCCAGAGAGTTCAGTGACTTCCGCCAAATCTAACAGATCATTACGTCACATTTCTACCATTATTTATGACGTAACCAACTAATGTTGTTGTTATCAATATATGATGACGTAACAATCTGGGACTGTTGTTCTGAAGACGGGTTGCTTGGACTCGAAACATGTAAACAACTGTTGCACGAATAAATTGTGAATTGGAAAGGAGCTGCTCATGTTGTCATCACTCTTGACACGCAATTTACTTATCTTTGATTGGTTCAATCTCAATCATTTCAGTAATAGCTTTAATCAGGATATGATTGACGTGGTGAAAATAAGTCTAGTTTACCGAATTTTATTATTTTAAAGATTTTCTTTATCATAACCGTGAAATTTATCTTACTTTACTTCTTTTAAATAAAATAAAAATCATCTACCTTGATAATTTTTTGTCTGAACATGCTAAAGAATTGATCCCAAAATACTACTGGCTTGGTGTCATAACCTCAGGCTTTTTCAATATTCTGAAGAAATTATTAACATAAAAACAATGATAACTTTAATTTATGAACAATTTTCACCAAGCATAACCTTGCTTGTACTCAAGGTCACAAATACCTCATATTAATACACAAAAGCAGAAAATCTAAAGAAAGCCGTCAAGCATGAGAACTTATAAGCTGCAAGGAAATTAAATGTAAATGAGTGTGCCAGAATCTAAAGTGAAATATCACACTATAAGTTAAAGCATTAAAATTATTTAAAGCATTAAAATGAGTTAAAGCATTAAAATGAGTTAAAGCATTAAAATAAGTTAAAGCATTAAAATAAGTTAAATTTAACTAAGAGTTAAGGATGATGTGCATTGTCAATTCAAGTTGAGTTAAATATAACTGAAAGTTAAAAGTTAAGCTTAATTTTATATGAAGTCCAAACTTGAGTAACTATGGAGTTCAAACTAGAGTTGCATAAAATAATTTGTAGATTAATAAAACTGTGAATTAATGATTGTGTCGAATATGATATTATTAGAAAAGGGAGATATATATGGTGGGTGAAAACAGGATATTTTTTTTATAATTTTGGGAGGGAAGGAAAGCAGGAGTACAACATACATTATGATACTAAAAGAGTATTACAGACAAACACCAACAGTGTAGTGGTCAAACTCAACTGATAACTCTGTATAGTGGTCAAATTCAACTGATAACTATGTATAGAGGTCAAACTCAACTGATAACTCTATATAGTGGTCAAACTCAACTGATAACTATGTATAGAGGTCAAACTCAACTGATAACTTTATATAGTGGTCAAACTTAACTGATAACTCTGTATAGCAGTCAAACTCAACTGATAACTATGTATAGAGGTCAAACTCAACTGATAACTCTATATAGTAGTCAAACTCAACTGATAACTCTATATAGTGGTCAAATTCAACTGATAACTATGTATAGAGGTCAAACTCAACTGATAACTCTGTATTGAGGTCAAACTCAACTGATACTTCTGTATAGCGGTCAAACTCAACTGATAACTCTGTTTGTGATCAAACTAAACTGATAACTCTGTATAGTGGTCAATCTCAACTTTGACCTCAACTGATAACTATGTATAGTGGTCAAACTCAACTGATAACTCTGTATAGTGGTCAAACTCAACTGAAAGCTCTGTATAGAGGTCAAACTCAACTGATAACTTTATATAGTGGTCAAACTTAACTGATAACTCTATATAGTGGTCAAACTCAACTGATAACTTTATATAGTGGTCAAACTTAACTGATAACTCTGTATAGCAGTCAAACTCAACTGATAACTCTGTATAGAGGTCAAACTCAACTGATAACTCTGTTTGTGATCAAACTCAACTGATAACTCTGTATAGCAGTCAAACTCATCTGATAACTCTGTCCAGTGGTCAAACTCAACTGATAGCTCTGTATAGAGGTCAAACTTAACTGATAACTCTGTCCAGTGATCAAACTTAACTGATAACTCTATATAGTGGTCAAACTCAACTGATAACTCTACATAGAGGTCAAACTCATCTGATAGCTCTGTATAGAGGTCAAACTTAACTGATAACTCTGTCCAGTGGTCAAACTCAACTGTCCAGTGGTCAAACTCAACTGATAACTCTACATAGTGGTCATACTTAACTGATAACTCTGTATAGAGGTCACATTGACAACACAGTTTTTTCAAAGGTTAATTGTTTTTCTATCTACAGACAACACAAAGTGATCACATTCTATAAATAGGAAGGTTTCTAACCACAGGACTGAACACAAGCCAACCATTATCAAGCAGATGTAAATATGACAGCCTTACCTTCCCCAGAGAGCTGAGAATAGAGCTCAGACTCAGACTCAGACTCTGGCACTAGCATCCGACTCATAGTGCAGACTAATTCTAGATGTTAATCTACACAGTGATATACCAAGGATGTTCCTATAGAAGAAATAGAAAGTCCCACACATAGTATTTGGTTGTTTACTTCAGCCATTTTGCATATAATGCAAAGACTATGAAGAACAAAATCCAAATTTTGTTACAAATACACTGGAAAAGTTTAACATTTAAAAAGCATTTTTTTTCCTTAAAAACTTGGCTAAAACACTAAACATATGTTTGTTAAACACTACTTACCAGAAAGAGCAGAAACACTATTTGTCTGAACTTAGTTAATATGTGTCAGCAATACAGCATGTCTTTTTCCTTTCTCACTTTTTTTACATGACAAAAAAACAGAATTTGTCTTTTAAAAAATAACGTAGCATATCAAAGACGTTTATCTAAATATGCGGTTTTTCATGCAAACAAACCATTACATACATGTAATAGACACACTATATAGCTTAAAAAGAGTGAGATAATTGCCAGGAAGTTCCCAACATGGCAAGATACACAAATACCATCACATATAAGTATATGTACATGAAAGATTTGCCTACTTAAAATATTTCTGAAGCAAAATATTTGTATAGATCTGCACACAAGCAAATTTACAAGTCAACATTAATTTAATCTTGACAATTTTATATTCATAAATAGTTGAGTGATTACTAGCTAATATTGCCAGGTGTTACATGGAACTTTATTCGTGTAACAGCTAGATAGGCAAAACATGGACTTTTCAACAAGCATATGGCTTAATATCAAGGAAAAATGACCTTCTTAACCATATACACAGATGTTGTATACAAATCTAATTATGCATAGTACGCGTAGTGTATCCCGTCGCCCAACCGCCGTATGTTAGTAGGACAAGTATAATAAATATATAGTACATCAAGATTAACTTGAAGTCCGTGCTGAACAGTGGAATATATGTCACACTAAGCATAGTCCTACCTGTCACTGTTGTCTTTGTTGGCTGGCCATCCTCTTCACCAATTATGTATGTGTTAATATTCGCTGGATCGACAGATCCATATGTAGGCTCCATCTTCAACAATACGCGTTTAAAACTGATAAATCAGAATGTAAACAGAACTCCGACACCTCCCAAAAACAGCCTGTAATTTCGCTCTCTCTCGTTTCACCGGCTGTTTTTCAAGTTAAATAAATTAAAATCATGGCATCAAATTCTGTTGGTATGCAAATGGGACACATTCACATTACATGTGTCAAATTATAATTCACCGTATGTTACATGACAACTTACGGAAAGTTGTGTTGGCAAATTAACTTTCATTTCACGCTCCAATAATTTTTCCTTAGCTTTCAAACATTTGCATGACTTAGAGATTGAATTGGATAAGGAGTTTACTAATAAAAGGATTTTGGAAACTGGGGCCCTTTCGTCTAGGCAGTGGTAACGGACAAACCGCTCGAACCAATAAACGAACTACCCGGTTTGTTTTCGTTCCGGACCGTTTTCAGAGGTTAATCTGGCACGCTTTGACTGAGGGTTCCGGATCGGACGGAAACAAGATGGCGGCTCGAGTTGGAAAGAAAACGATTGAAGCTGGAACCAGAGACGTATATACGTCTCTGCTGGAACTTAGTAAAATTTGACAATAATCCTATGTTTCTACATGTGTTAACATCAGTACGAAGAAAGTAAGGCTCCAACATTGATGTATATGATAGATAACTGTCGAGTTTGATGCTAATTTTTCATATTATTTAAATTATTTATTATTCTTGTTATATTGTGTCATGGTAAGAATAGATTTACAAAATTTTATTCAAGGAGAGGCCCAAAATATTTTGAACTGCCGAAAATCATTTTTATATTCTTAATTTTGAAGCAGGTAACTACTCCACAGATCAACATATAGAATAAAAAATATAACATCAATGTTTTGATTTGTAACCTGATGTTATTGCTATATTCATAATGATATATAGAGAATAAAAGATTGCAAACAAGAGTTTGGTTGTAGTTTTTTTTTTTTATTCCACCACACCAAGGCACTACTACACATGAATTACATTTTGTTTCTGGAATCTAACATTTTCTGTAAAACTATCAACAAATGTGACATGGAAATTGTTCTGTTAGTCATAATAAATGCATTCTTCCTCCACTTCCTCTATGATAATATATCACATATTGCACAAATTTGCATATTACTTGAATGTTCAAGGCATTCTCCATGTTTACGAGATAGATATTTCCATTGATAACTCAGGCTACTGGGTACACTTACAACATTTAAAGACTTAAGGTGTATACTGAAATATTTATGTGTAACAAAAAAAAACACTATTTTATCTGAAATTAATGATAACTCAACACAGTGACTAAAACAAATAATCTCATATTCCTTAGAATATTGCAGCTTCTTATAGAGCACAAATAGAACCTGCTCATTTTGGCGGACAAACCAGTTCAATCGGCACATCAAATGTTACATTTAAGTCATAAATTGTGGCAGACCTGCAAACACTATTAGAGGCCTTGAAATGGTTAGTACATGTTCCTCAGAAAGAAAAAATATACCACAGACATTGGCTTCTCAGTCTGCGGTTTGTCCTTATTTTGTAAACAAACAACTCTGATACAACTTGTCAAACCAACAAACATAAACAGTTCTATGATCAAAATAATGAGAAAATACCCTAATTTCTAGTGTCCAAGTCAGAAAAAGTGCAAGACTTTTTAGTAACATTACAGTCATAAGATTAAAATTGAATTTTTTAAAAGATAGCCATTCATTTTCTGAAACTCCCGCTTGAAATTGTCTAAGAATTTCATAAATCTTAAATAAACATTATTTTAGATGCAAGTACAATGTAGAAAATAGTTAATGCTTAAAGATAAGTTGTTTTAGAATTCAACTGTAAAGAATATAGTAACAGGTTACATATTTATCAGATGTTTTACAAATCACTTGGAAATATGTTTAGTGTATAACAAACAACTTGAAACGGTACATATAAAACAATAGCAATGTTTACCATTCTATGATAAATAGGAAGAGATAAACTAGATATGTCGAACAATTATAACATCAAGTTGAAGGCACAGCAGTAAAGTACAAATGAGCAATCTATTGCATGTATCACAGCTGTACAGTGTCTGACAAATGATTTACCATTACAATCAAGGTTCTTTGCATTCTCAGCAAAATTTCACTCTATTTATTTTAAAAAGATAACAAGATACATATAATGATATATATGTTTTTTGAAATATTAAATCTGTTCTGAACTTTCTACAAATATTACCTGTGAAAGAAGTTCTGAAGAAAAATGTATTCTTATATTTGGGGAATGGGGGGAGAGGGGGGAGGGGGGGGGTAAAATTTTGCCCTTTTGCCAATATGGCAAATAAGGAAGAATCATTTTTTATATTTACTTTTGGACGACCTTAACATTGGGCAACATTTATAATTCTGGTTGAATTTATTGGGTGAATACAAATTGTACCACTAGGTGAACTCAACACTGGACATAAACTTAAAGAAACTATCAGAAAATGTTTCCTAGAGACACTACAGTAATACCCCAGGTAACAGCAATATCAAATATTGGTGGTAATTAAAACATGACCAAGAACCTGAACAGGACGGACACAGAGTTAAACTCAACTACCCATCTGAAGTGAACTTGGTGAAACGGGTTTCAGGGACCTGTAAAATTTATGGTAATTTAAGATGGTTGAAGAGCTAGACATATCTACTGCACTTGCACATAAATCATATTTGTTTTACAATAATTGCGAAACAAAATATTTCAAAAAGCACAACAGAGGTCTTTCTGGGAGGAGCCCAGAGAATACCAGGGAAACTTGTAAGTCTTGAAGCAAGTAACCCCATCCCTTTTCAAGAGTAATACTGAATTCTGGATGTCTAGTTGAGAAGGTAAGTGCAATACCATTGTGCCTCTCTATCGCCCAATGGTAAGTCTTACTGGTATTGTAAGTATGAACAATCATACATTTTACTGGGGTTTAACCTTCGATTAGGTTAGAAGCAAAAATAATTTTCTAATAAATTTGGAGGATAGAGTAATAAAGGCATTTAGTCAATTTAAAACTCTTTTATGATATAGAATCACAGAAAAAGAAGGAAGTATGATTGAGGGTTTGTGTACAATATGATGCCAAACACAGGAATGTGAAATTAGACAAATGTTTTACCACAAGGTTGCAAACATGGAGATATGAAATTAGATCCATGATTTACCACAAGGCTGCAAACACAGAGATATGAAATTAGATACATATTTTTCCACAAGGTTGCAAACATGGGAATATGAAATTAGATCCATGATTTACCACAAGGCTGCAAACACAGAGATATGAAATTAGATTCATGTTTTATCACAAGGCTGGAAACATGGAGATATGAAATAAGACCCATGTTTTACCACAAGATTGCAAACACGGAGATAAGAATCAGATACATATTTTACCACAAGGCTGTGAACACGGAGATATGAAATTAGATCCATGTTTTACCACAAAGTTGCAAACACAGGGATATGAATTTAGGTCCATGTTTTACCACAAGGTTGCAAACCCGTAGATATGAAATTAGGTCCATGTTTTACCACAAGGTTGCAAACACGGAGATATGAAATTAGGTCCATGTTTTACCACAAGGTTGCAAACACGGAGATATGAAATTAGACAAATGTTTTACCACAAAGCTGCAAACACAGGGACATGAAATTAGACAAATGTTTTACCACAAGGTTGCAAACATGGAGATATGAAATTAGACCCATGTTTTACCACAAGGTTGCAAACACGGAGATATGAATTAGATACATCTTTTACCACAATATTGCAAACACGGAGATATGAATTAGATACATATTTTACCACAATATTGCAAACACGTAGATATGGAATTTATAAAAGGCGAGACTCAAACTGCTGACATCTTCAAAATTTATATCAATATAAGCGAAGAAATGACTATAAAATTCACTGATTGGTTCAAAATAAGTTTCATTACTAAACACTACTGCATATTCCTGGGAGGTTCAATGTTGCTCTATTTGCAATTAATAAAGATAGGGCAAAATCAAATACCCAGCAAACATACAGTGAAGCAAAATCTCTAAAATAAATGTCTGTTATGTCTTTATATATAGATATGTCAAAACACAAGCAAAATTAAATGCATTGTGCCTGTGAACCAGCTCAAAAACTGCAAAAGATCAGCCCCCCAAAAAATTATACAACCATTATGTAAGCATGCTCTAGGGTCACATGACCTATTTTTTGGTATTCTTACAAATGTTCTTTCAAAATTCAAATAATGATGGACATCTTTAAAAAAAAAAAAAAAAAAATTTTTTTTTACCTGTGTTAAAACGATGGCTAATATCAACTCGTTCTTAACAAAATGTACACAAGCTGAAGATGCAGGATATTAATTTTAAATAAATTAGATGGATGACAACGGAATTCCAGCAGAGTGAGCAAGGGGAGGTATCAGACATAACTAACCAGATATGTTCATATAAATATAAATTCAGGCAGCCTTAAAATATACTGTAGAATCATTCATTTTCAGAGAGTTTCATTTTCATGGATACTCTTAACCAACAAAGTCACATGTCAACAATAATAAACAGATAATAACATACAATTACTGACATTTCTTATAGGTTAATACATAGGTTTGTCAACCTCTGAAAGGTTATATTGGCCGAGGGCAATATCACCAATCGAAGGTTGACAAATCCTAAAAATTTGATAACAGTTTTGGTATAAGGTGTGGTATTTAAGATATTATAAGTAAAGACAAGTTTATAACTTTATCTTGACACAATTTGTGTCCTGGAAATTCCCTGTCACTATTTTTAGTCTATGTTATGAGTTTGCAATGATAAACTCTCGTGCAGGAATTGACCAGTTTCAGGTTAACAACATATTTTGTCGAAACCCGTTGGAGACCTCCTGACCAATCACAGAAAAGTTATTTTCTCAATTAAACAACAATAAATATTATCTCAACAGTTTTGGTTATTGTGAGTTCCATTTATCCACATAATTAGATGTCAACAAAAATGTATTTCGGACAGAAAAAACGAAATTTCAGCCCCATGAAAACACATGATTTTACAGCAGTTTTAAATAAAGCTCTCAATAGACAAGAACTTCCATATCACAGGCAAGATTGCATATGCTCAAAATGCATGTTGACTGGATCACATAAAATTAATCTGAAATCTACATTAACAAACATCATAGATAAACTCTGAAAAAGTGTAACATAGGTTTGGTGCTTTATGTTTTCTATAACATTAAAAAATGATTGATAAGAAAAATTGTATGTATCTTAATAAAGTGGATAAATATGTACGATATGGTCCTTGACAAGTTAACTTCAAGTCTGAGGCACTTAATATAACGCAGTATATACTTATAGAAAATAATACTTTCTTAATAATCCCTTAATAACATATTAATTATTAACGATAGATTATTATTTTTATAACAATGTATGAGTTCAAAATCAAGGCCACTCCTATATTTTCACAATGTGAATTTGGACTCAAGTATAGCACTTTTATAAATATCGGACCCAATAAAATTTGATTTTCATGCAAAATGAATTACTACATAAAATTTTACAATTAACATTTGGACATCATCTGCACATTGCAAAAAGAAATCCAATATATTTGCAAATAAATCGTAAAAGAATGCACTATTACTTGCAAGTGTCAGACCACATGGAAATAATGAGATAAGTTATTATATTCATTTTATGCTATATTTCAATAAAATCCATCGTGTTTTCACTAATTACTGAGCTTGTCAGCACTTTTGGTATACAAATATAGCAAGAAAGTGCTAGTATATTTTTAAACAGTAATATATTAGATTTCAGTCTTAATGTTATTTCATCACTTTCATAAAATTATGCATACTACAAAAAGCAGATTTTATACTGAATTAGACAATAGTGATTTTTGTTTATATAAATTCCTGTATCAAAAATTAGATTTACAGAATCACATTTTATATCAATGATTTCAGAAATGCTGATCTGGTTCAAATCAAAACAAACTTTTAACTTTAATATTGTAACAGCAGTAATTCAATGCAGTCTTAAAGACAAGTTATAATAACAGTACTTTTAAAAGTATAATATTTATGCAGATAAAAAAATAATTGATAATTATATTATTAACCCCTTAAAAAACAAACAAAAACAACAGAAAATATGACAGATTATGCATGAATGATTCAATACAGCTATAATGTGACTTTCAGTCAAATTGTTTAGTTTGAAATTAGTGTAGCTATTCAGTAACCAATACAACTGAGGTCAACTTGAATATCAAAATCAAAAAGGAAAAATTTAAATGAAATAAACTAAATTCAAAACTAAATTCAATTCATACATCTAAATATATTGCAAACATTCTGGGGTAGTCTTATGTAAGAGCTTTACACAATTTAAGTATTTCGCTAAAAATGAATGCATTTGTTTCCGTCGCCATAAATACAGAAATTATAGTGGATGCAGATGATGATACTGTAATATTTGACCGTGCCAACAAAAGTAAGTTTTATGTAAATGAATTCAAGTTATACTGACATTAAAGATTGTGAAAATAGAATGAATTGATGATGTAATGGAATTCTCTCTTCATCACTACTAAACGATGTTGTGATGATATTTGGTATTTTTTTTCCCTGTAGAGTAACTGTTACAAGACACCTGAGGATATCTACTATATAGTTTTCAGCACATTACAGGTCACAAAACATCCAATCTCTATGTATCACAACACTTTACAAACACATTTACCTAAGGCTCCGAATTCTTGATAACAACTGAAGACGGCTGACAACTCTAACACACACAGCCAATAAACATCCAAACAATATTCCAGTCTCACAAATATATTTACAACGGAGCTCAAGCCATACGGCACAAGACACAATTCACACAGTGATTGTATAACAGAACCTCTGCCGGTTTCACTTCCTTACAGTGAAGTCAACACTGTAATTATTAACTTTTTTCTTCTGTTGGATGCTGCAAAGGTCATCATTTTCAAGGGTTTCTATTTTTTGCCTTTTTCAAAGATGGAATATACCCTTAAAAACGTATACGTTAAAATAAGATTTTCATGAAAATTTCCATGATTAAAATAATTCATCACACCAGCGTACAGTTTTGTTACAGTTTCTTCATGGATTTAAAAGCATAAACATGACAATAACTGAGCATTCTTTTCTCTTACTTTCATTGGTGTAATGAATTCTTAAACACAGAGACAAATCTATGCTAACAAACGGCATATTGTACGCTATTGCAATACCTGGTGTGTTACCTTGACCTGCAAAGATGTGTCCTTTACGTCAGCTAAAAATGCCAAACTAATTTTTGCTGTCGTATACAAAAATTGTTTATTATTGACAGGTAGATAGTTTGATAGCTATTTGGATGGTATACATCTGTTGTTTCTTCAGCTACAAGTATTGGCAAATTTTTTTTTTTTTGAAGGGTTCCAATTTTTCATTATTTTTGAAAATGCAAGAAAAAATAGACACCTCAAAAATTAATTAATTAATCATAGTTGTCTCCTGTTTTCCAAGACAGGCACCAAGCACATATTCTTTTTTTCCTGGCAACAACTCTGAACCACAAAAACAATTTGATTCAGTCCTATAAAAAGGTTGTTGGGTCGTAAATCCTTGGGGCCAAACATCAGTATGGTATCACACTTACTGACTGTAATTATAACTGAAGCCAGCTAAAATCCATCTATACACCCATAGCTTTCACCATTGGTCAATATTTCATGTGCTTTTTCTTCGTCAACCTGTGACAGCTTATTTCTATCCACCAAATCCATAAACATTCTCCATCATCACTCCACTGACTAAACTTTTGACTCCCGTTCCAAGTCTGCATACCCAGTCGTCAGATTCTGTTTACGCACCACACTGCCACCATGTCGTAGCTTGAAACTCCCATAATGCCACACACGATTTTTGTCTTCCTCAACTAAAGTATGTAACTACAATGGAAGTAAGCAAAAGTTTACAAAATTCAGAAAGGAAATATATAAACATCTTCATTTATTTATCTGTTGAAAAAATTAAATATTGGATATAAAAAAGGATTACCATGGTCAGGTCAGATAAATACTTATCAGATATTTTCTAAGTGAAAGAGAAAAGAGTATGTTGTACATGCAACAGGAAATTTCAGCCTAACCAGTGCTCAATTTGGTCTCAGCTGATTTTCTTGTCTTTCTAAAGCAATAACAGAAAGGGAGGAAATTTAAACAAATCAAAGAAATTGGAAATGAAAATCGCCTGAGAGGGGAAAGTTTTTAATACCCAGTTTTGTTTCAGTTTAGTACAATTGAAATCAAAATAACCTTGATTTGTATAACCCATTGTCTACTTACTGATCTACTTCAGTTAAAATAACCCTGATTTGTATAACCCATGTGTCTACTTACTGATCTACTACAGTTAAAATAACCCTAATTTGTATAACCCATGTGTCTACTTACTGATCTACTACAGTTAAAATAACCCTGATTTGTATAACCCATGTGTCTACTTACTGATCTACTACAGTTAAAATAACCCTGATTTGTATAACCCATGTGTCTACTTACTGATCTACTGCGGTCAAAATAACCTTGATTTGTATAACCCCTGTGTCTACTTACTGATCTACTACAGTTAAAATAACCCCGATTTGTATAACCCATGTGTCTACTTACTGATCTACTGCGGTCAAAATAACCTTGATTTGTATAACCCCTGTGTCTACTTACTGATCTACTACAGTCAAAATAACCCTTGATTTGTATAACCCCAGTGTCTACTTACTGATCTACTACAGTTAAAATAACCCTGATTTGTATAACCCTGTGTCTACTTACTGATCTACTACAGTTAAAATAACCCTGATTTGTATAACCCATGTGTCTACTTACTGATCTACTACAGTTAAAATAACCCTGATTTGTATAACCCATGTGTCTACTTACTGATCTACTACAGTTAAAATAACCCTGAATTGTATAACCCATGTGTCTACTTACTGATCTACTGCGGTCAAAATAACCTTGATTTGTATAACCCCTGTGTCTACTTACTGATCTACTGCGGTCAAAATAACCTCTATTAGTATAACCTTGTGCTTCTTTGTAGTATCGTCTCTCCTTCTTCTTGTCCTACAAGCAGGTAATTACATTGATACAGGTCAGAAATCTTAAGGACATCATTTAAAACTGAATGCAGTTAACTTTTTAGATATTTTGAAAGAAAGAGAAAATGTTTCTTCTTGATTTCATTCTTCGATGGCCTGATACGATAAAATTATAAACTTTGCGAGGGATTTTATTTCTTTTCCTAGATTTTGTGGTTACACTTAATCCACAAATTTATAGATCCAAAAACTAAGTAAATATGTATAAGGAGATTTATTGAGCTAGGTATCAATAAAACAGATATCTTCAAAATAACACCCCCCCCCCCCCCACTTCATGAGCAGCTCTGTTTTGTGTTGGCAGACAGAGCTTGGACTGGACTCCTAAAAAATTTGTTTGTATAACTGAATTCAATAAATGTGTGATATACCTTAACAAAATTACAAACAAATAAACGTGTTTAATTACAGTTTCTGAAGAAGAATCCTTACAGAAGATGGAAACATGTAATTTTATTTGAATTACAGGGGAATTAAAGCATGGAGGAAAACAAAAAAGATTCTAATTAAAATATTTCAATGTGCTTTAGCTATTAAGCTATCAGTCGATATTAACCAGACTTACAAAATAGCTGAAAGTACAGCTGGCAGGAATCCACAGCATTAAAGAGAAAAGGATAATGGTTCCCACAATGTTGCTTCGCATGAAGGCCACTGTAATATAAACATCATGATATTGTTAATAGACATCACAGCTTCTGTAACAGGAAACATCCCCACAACGTCACTAGAGATGTAACAGGAAACATCCCCACAACGTCACTAGAGATGTAACAGGAAACATCCCCACAACGTCACTAGAGATGTAACAGGAAACATCACCACAACGTCACTAGAGATGTAACAGGAAACATCACCACAACGTCACTAGAGATGTAACAGGAAACATCCCCAAAACGTCACTAGAAATATAGGCCTTTGTAACAGGAAATATCCCCACAATGTCTCTAGACAATGAGGCAGCTGTAACAGGAAATATCCCCACAATGTCTCTAGGCAATGAGGCAGCTGTAACAGGAAATATCCCCACAATGTCTCTAGGCAATGAGGCAGCTGTAACAGGAAATATCCCCACAATATCTCTAGACAATGAGGCAGCTGTAACAGGAAATATCCCCACAATGTCTCTAGGCATTGAGGCAGCTGTAACAGGAAATATCCCCACAATGTCTCTAGGCAATGAGGCAGCTGTAACAGGAAATATCCCCACAATGTCTCTAGACAATGAGGCAGCTGTAACAGGAAATATCCCCACAATGTCTCTAGACAATGAGGCAGCTGTAACAGGAAATATCCCCACAATGTCACTTGACACCGAGTCAACTGTATCAGGAAACATTCCTTTGGTCTCACTAGTAAGAGATTTAAAAGAAGCTGAAAAATATACTTTCAGGGCTCTCGATCTGCCAGATTTTGGAGCGAAATAGTATCTTTTTTCCCAATTAAGACCCCAAGTTTTCCCAATTCTAAGGAAAACACAACTATTTTTCCGAATTTTAAGGGTCCCGGGCCCCAGTCCCAAAATAGAGTGTGAGAGCCCTGACTTTCTCCACAATGTTACTAGATGTTACTAGAGGCCACTGTTTACTTAGTGACAGATAATATCCTCACAATGGTAAGAGACATTAACACCACTTTAAAACATAAATATAAAGATAAAAAAAGGTATTATTTAGATTTTTTTTCTATTTCAAATTATTTTCATTATAATCTAAAGAAAAAAATCTTATTCAGTGAAATAATTCCATACCTAATTCATCTGCAGTAATATTATCTATGAGGCTGAAAAGCCGCTGTATGACATCGGCAATCTGTTTCTCACAGTGTCCCTGTCAACAAAATGAAACAAAATCATAACTACATATCACATGATCTGATTTAGACTAAAATGATATCACATCTTAACAACATTATGGTGGAAAATATAAACACTGTCATTATTAAAACTAAAAGTTAGCTAGTTTTCACTTTGGATTTTTCTCAGTGGCCTCCAAGACTTTGAAATTAGGTTCTCAGCATCATTGATAAGACCTAGAAGGAAAAACACATCTGTATGCTGTGTATTTTATTATTTTGCTGTATTGTATCTTTTCCTACATTTGTGTTAAAGTGTGCTATTCATTTCTGTGTATTTTGTTTAATTTCCAGGAAGTCTCATAGGTTTAGAAAATAAGAGTTTAACATATATTGCTGAAGATCTTCAAGTAGCCAAACAGACAGACCTTCTGAAATCAGTTTAAGCACAGGTTTAGGACCTTTACATATCAGAGTATCCATGGTAACAAGGATGACTAGAACCTTACATTGACACAGTATCCATGGTAACAAGGATGACTAGAACCTTCCATTGACACAGTATCCACGGTAACAAGGATGACAAGAACCTTACATTGACACAGTATCCATGGTAACAAGGATAACTAGAACCTTACATTGACACAGTATCCGTGGTAACAAGGATGACTAGAACCTTAAATTGACACAGTATGCATGGTAACAAGGATAACTAGAACCTTACATTGACTCAGTATCCATGGTAACAAGAATGACTAGAACCTTACATTGACTCAGTATCCATGGTAACAAGGATAACTAGAACCTTACATTGACACAGTATCCATGGTAACAAGAATGAAAAGAACCTTACATTGACACAGTATCCATGGTAACAAGAATGACTAGAACCTTACATTGACACAGTATCCATGGTAACAAGGATGACTAGAACCTTACATTGACACAGTATCCACGGTAACAAGGATGACTAGAACCTTACATTGACATAATATCCATGGTTACAAGGATCTCAAGAACCTTACATTGACACAGTATCCACGGTAACAAGGACGGCCATCAGGTAGTTTATCCATCTCTGGTTCTATTTCACAGAGACCATTGATGTCACTAGGTTTAACACAACATCGGAAACAAGCAGATTCTGAAAGAAAAATTTCAAATACAATACATCGTTTACCTGGTCTCTTGTTGAAAACTGTTATTGTAAAATTTCAAATACAATACAATGTTTACATGGTCTCTATCAGTTAACTGATTTCTAACAAGTCTAAACTACAGTTATTATATAAGCCTTTCCAGGCCTATATTAATATTTGAAGGTCCAATTCATGTCTAACATGTTACATTTAAAGTACAGACGAACTGGTTTGTCTGCCTAAGTGAACAGACCACAAATGATGTAAGGCCAATGATATTAACTATTGCTGATGGTTTTCTGTGAAAAAATTGCAAAAAAAAATTAGAGAAAGTATTATTAGACAGTATTATCTCAAGATCATCTGGACTTAAAACAAAATTATATACAGTTTTTTCCAGACGTGTACTTACCTTGGGGGCAAATACAGGCCACTTTCCCTCTCAATTCACAATATCCTAAACATGTACCGTTGATACATCGACCTCTGCAACATACACATGGTAAATAAATTAAGAATGAAAAGTCTTCAACTGTATTTATAAATCTCCTATGATATAGAAAAGAAAGCCTAACAATATGGAGAATATACATTTTTATCCCTTAGTCCACATAGTCAATCTGTTATCCAGTGAATTTACTTATGTAATATTTCAGCATATATGTTACTAATGTAATACACTAGTAAACTGGACCATAGTTTGCTGGCTGCAACAGTCAGAAATACTTTGTAATGTCACAATATGGATAATGATGTTTTGTCATGAGTTGAAAATGGTGCAACAAAATGGCTGCCTCCATCCCATTTTGTCCTTCACATTTCTACTTTAATACCTGTTCAAACATAATTTTTCTGCATAATGCAATAAAAATTATTTTCATTTCGTAATAGATTTTTTGAAACTTGTTTACATATTTTTTTTAATTTTTTAAACTTATTAAACTCATTTCATAAAACCTGATAGGGAAGGTCAACTTAATTCCTATACATATAACAACTTGTAATTTTTTCACATTTCATAACTATGATAGAGAAAGTCAGATTTTAATTTTCTCCCATGGCTGTTTTATGACTACATGTCAAATGCTGTCAGTATTTCAAATGCGAACAAGACCATCATTAATTATTATTTAAATACGGTAAACAAGGTTAATTCCACTGGGCGTTAATTGTTGCAATTTTTTATATACAAACAGTATGTGTGAAGGTTATTATCCCAATTAATGGATTTTCAACCATCTAATGTATACCATGATGATTCTCCACTTAGCCGCCCTGGGCAGCTTTCCGGTACATCCCAGTATTTTGATGTGTATACTACATCACAAATTCATATATGTGGGTGAAAGTATGTTATAAAAAGGGTTAACGATATTGAAATGATAAAAAGTTAGTTTAAAAATACTGAAAATAGGTAAAGAGATGTAACTCACTCATCCACACAGGAACTGTTATCTGCCTTGTCCTTTGGTTTGGGACATGTCATGTTAATCCCAATGTGTCTTGTTAAAGAAAAGTTTCACAGAAAGGTTTGTGTGTTCAGTAAAATCATTACTCATTCAGCTTGACCAGAAGTACAAATACTCAGTTCCATTATAGCATTAGAGACACTTTGTATATATAGTCAGTAATATTTGTTGGGGATTTAATTTTACTATATCAATAATTATCGAACATATTAGCCTGAAACATGAAAATGAGTAGCATGCAAACATTATAGCTGTGAATCAGCATCTGTAAAAGTTAGGTTCACAGGGATATCATTGCAAGGCATGCCAATACCAGGAACTCAAAAATTACGGGAAAATCTTGAAAAATTAGACCCATGAAAAACATTACAAAAATTATCTGATATTTTTGTTTAAATGTAATTTTATCAAAATAAAAAGGTTGAGACAGGCACACAAATCAGAATTTTGAAGTCACATTAGCAGAACTCCAAAACTTAACAAGTATAAAGTCATTTAGATACTTTACCAAGGGAGAAGTTCAAACATGGGTAAAAGGTAATGGTTGATAAACAAATGATGATTATGATGTCTGCTTGAGCGTTACCTGAACCATCCACAACAAAATTAGTGATTTCAGCTGACAGGTATTCATTTTCCTGCCAGGAGGATGAAAACAGAAACGAAAAACAGCAAAAAGATCATTTTCCAATGGTGGTTGTCACATATAGTTGACATGGTGCTATTCTTAATTTTGAGACACACTTTAGAAACAAGATCGTTGATTTAGTCGCAAATATTTCTATGGTTGTAGGAATAGTATAAAATTGAAAATTCCATCAAAAGCTATAAGCACAACCTGACCTAGAAATTAATGCAGATATAACATCCTGTGAAGTTACTGTAATTGTTTTATTTTCGACGTTTCTAATATTTGTAGTTTTACTGAAAGCATGAAACAAACAGGATGTACATTTTACACAAGTCGTGTGTTTTTTCAGTTATTTTGATATTTACAATTTTATTTTACCTTCTAAGTTCAGTTTCAAAAACAACAAAAAGAAAATCTTTAAAAATAACAAATATTACAGCATCTAGAATGGTTTACTGGAAAACTACGGAAACTGTGACAGATAGACGGACACAAGGATGAACAAAATTGTATTCCCCAACCAAAATCTTTGGATGAGTAAGAATAATATCCCTGCTGGATTTACTAGGACACCATTAAAGGATACTCGCAGTAGGCTGTTCCTTTACAGCTGATAGTGTCGTCTGGCATGTCATGGCACACTGTCCCTGATGGTGCCACTTTGCAGTTACTACGGCAACATGCAAAATTCCATGGACTGAAAAGAAAACAATGAAATGAATGACGTGACATGATCGGTTTCAGTATGTAATAATCACACTATAAAAAATATCTATTTTTCCGACAGAAATCAGGACAACAGCAGTGTACAATCATCTTCAGTATATCTTAAGACATTCAGGCACAGGTTTTTTTGTGATGATAACAATCTAGAAAAGCAGCTAGGTAGGTCCAAAAAGATTTAGGCCTGAATTTTTCATGAATTTGTATTTTAGTCTGAAAGTGTGCAATAACTTATATAGTCTGTTGGATCCTGTCTCTCTCCACACACAGACAACAGCGATAGCTTATTGTGTCCCCTTTTTTGAGGGCAGAACAAAGTCACATGACACATGATGTCAAAGCGCAAATTTTTTTCCAGTTTCAATATCTGTTCTCATTCATGATCAAAGTAATCAAATTCAAGTCTAAATTGAACAGAAATTTTATAGCAATAATTGAAGGAAAGGGATGATGACCCAGCCTTTCCATACAGTAGATGGCAAGACTGAATTATATCAATTTAATCATACTTGCAGTACTATTTGGCCTTCAAGTGTGTAATCAATGAACATGTGTTAAATGATTGTTCATATTATGAACCTGTTATATACATAATGGACAGAGTTCGGGGTCCAGTGTTGTGACAAGAACTGGATGTTAATTTCAAAATTTTGATTTATGATCAACAGCAGTCACTGTATGCTTTTTAATAAGAATTTTCTAATGTACTTTATATTTTTTCTATATGTAAACATACATTTATTCATTGCTAGTCCAGGCAGGTGATAAACTTTTGGCCATTGGACTTGTGTGTTAAAAAAACATATGAGAAATAACAGGCTTAACATCCTCCTATCATCTAGTTTAACTGCTTTTTCTGTTGAAAATGTCAACAAGATTCACATTTTTTTTTATATCATAGTCTGTTTTTTGTTTGTTTATGAGTACTGACATATGTACCTGTATGGAACTGTCTACTATATGTGATTGTGTATATTATATGCCTTGCCGAAATGTTACAAAAACAATGTTGTACTTCCAAAACTGCAAAACCAAAACAAGGTCATCATTTATACATGTATAATTACCACAAATGTTTTATCAAAAAGTTATTTCATAACATTCACAACTACCCTGACCATGAACAGTGGTAAACTCTGAATTGTAAGCCTTGGCTGTGGATGTTCCGCTGTATGGAACAATATCTAGTATTTCATTCAAGGAGAAAATTTCACTGTCATCAATCAAAATCTGGATCATTTGTGCAGTGTATAATTACCATATTATTCTTTACATATTAAACACGGTTGAAGTAATATGAGGTCGCATGTTAAATGTGACTAGTCACCTCATTAAATTTCTCATCCATGCGAAATAAGTACTTTCCAGTGCCAATAGCCAACTCATAGGACATTGTATCAGTTTTTTGATGAACAGTGTAGAAGTTTTCATCAAAATATTTTACATTGTGCCAAAAATCCTGGAAGATAATTATACTTATACACCTGTTTGCTAAACCCCAGAACTTATAGACTTAAATATTAATCCAAATAACTATTGGTAATTTTTCAAAATTCTTAATTTGATCTATAACTTCACAAACACTTCACAAACTGATTTTAAATCTATTTAAATATTTTTTTTTCATTGCATGTTTTGGGAATTTTAGTGCAATACAATGAAAAATAAATACATTGTATTACAGATATAAGAACCTTACATATATTTTAACGAGATCCCAACGTATGTTCTGTCTTCATTCAAATCTTACCAATACAAAACAAATATTCATATCATGCGACACCATTTATTAAAATCTGTAATCAGTCACCATCACATTTAACATCTCTATACCTACCTACAAACAGCATCATTCACCAGCTGACACTCTTTGTTGCAGCACTGGTCACCAAACACCCCTGCATCACACTCCTCACCTTCATCTATGCGACCATTCCCACAGAAAGAGAAGGATTTCCTCTTTGCTGCCAATTAAGTCATTTTGAATCTTTTATAATGAGTGACATACAAATAAAAACAAGAGGCCCATGGGCCTTAACGGTCATCTGACATAAAATATAAAAGATTTCAAATTTTGAACTTGAGAAGAAGTCGAAAATTTGTTTTAAAGATGGCGACCATGGGGGCCATGTTGGATTTCGGACCAACCCGAAATTAACAAACTTTGGTCATGATCATATAAGGATCATTTCAGGTAAGTTTCAGGTCAATGAGACATGTAGAACTTGAGAAGAAGTCGAAAATGTTTACAACCGACGACGTACGACGCCAAACAAAAGGCCATCGCAAATTAAATTTTTAGGTCATCTGACCGAAGGGGTCTGATGACCTAAAAATTTAATTTGGAAAATTGAACCACTATATAACAGATGATTATGATATGAAAACAGGAGCCCTTACACCCATACATGCTCAGTGTATTGTTAAAAGTAGAAATTTCTCGATGGTCATCTCCCATGCATATCAGTTTGAAAGTTTGATAAGTTTGCGAAAGTTTTCAAATATGACCTTTGACCCTTTAACCTTTACCAATGATCATCCTAACAAGATAAGGAGTAAGTGGTGATGTTACAATACATTGTGGTGAATATGAGTGGAATCTGTTGAGAAATTCTCAAGATATAACAAGGATTCAAAACAGGATGCAAACCAACGTAATGAGACAGGCAGACATGGATAACACTACATGCACCCCCTACCCCTAAAACGCAAGAAGCATAAAAAGACTAATGTTGTGAATAAACAAACAAATATAATGGAAGGACAGTTGTAGGGAAATACTGCTAAGAATAAAGCACCTTAACTAACCTAGGCATAATGTATTGTAACATTGGTAAAATATTAGCTGCAATATACAACATTTCTAGAGTTATCTTCTCTTTAGTACAACAGGTAGATTGGTGTGGTTTCCTGTTGCTAAACATCCTACTTTGGTCTGTTTGGGTGTTGGCGGCAAGCCAGTGTTCCCAGAGAAAAACCATTGATTTCTAGTCAGTACCTGGTGACTCCCCTATGTAGGCCTCAGACCCACAACCCAGAGGTGGAGTGTTAGTGATAAAGATGGTCAGATACCTAAACCACTCAGACTCTGTGACCCTTTATTTAGTGGAGCATGAGACAAGTAAAGCAGAGGTCCTGGGTTCAAACTGTATAGGTCTTGGAGTAAATAATGAACTCTGTTACAGTATGGTCTGAAGTCCAATGTGACTAGAGATAATAACGAATTACAGTGAGGTGATATCTGACACCAAACTGTTAACAAATTTGGAAACATTTATTGTCATACAGACTCAAATCACTTACCTGTGAAACAGTCCTTGGCTTTTGATTTCATAACCACATATATGTATCTTCTACTGCAGGGCGAGAAATACTGAGGAGACAAAAAAAATCCTCTGTGTTCATCAATACAACACACACTGTATATCAACACCTAATACTGAAATATAAATATGAAGCTGAAGGCACAGATCCTACATAACGTCTGTATGGCTAATATGTGAATATCAGATCCATAAACTCACAAAATTAATGTAGTTTATATCCTGTATATATTGAAAGCTATGTTGAGTGTCCCATATACTGTAAGCTGACCTCTATATTGTGTCCTACATATTGACCTTTATAACAAGTGTCCTATATACTGACCTCTATGCTAAATGTCTTACATAATGTCCACTATGTTATAATGCCTATATCCTGATTTCTTTGTTATGTGTTCGGTATTATACAGGACTTCTTTATCATATATCCTATGTACTAACTTATTTGTTTTGTGTCCTATATACTGACCTCTATGATATATGTCTGACACATCTAATGTACAGACCTCTATATTACGTCTCCTATATACTAAACACTTGGTGTCCTAATTATCTATATACAGACTTCTATATATGGTGTATATACTTACTTCTATATCATAAGTCCTACACAGGTATAGATACTGTGTTCTGTGTTGTGTCCTATATACTTACAATTACATTGTGTGTCCTTATGTGTCCTATATACTGACCTCAGTGTAATGTGTCTGTCCTATATTACTTCTGTGTTCTATATATACATGATGTGTCCTTTATACTGACCTTATGGTGTATATACTTACTTCTATATCTATATAATAACCTTTATGTGTCCTATATACACATGTTTTGTGTCCTATATACTGATACTGTGTTCTGTGTTGTGTCCTATATACTTACAATTACATTGTGTGTCCTTATGTGTCCTATATACTGACCTCAGTGTAATGTGTCCTATATAGTAACCTCTATGTGTCCTATATACTGACTTCTGTGTTATGTGTCCTATATACTGACCTCTATGTTATGTGTCCTATATACTGACCTCTATGTTATGTGTCCTATATAGTAACCTCTATGTGTCCTATATACTGACCTCTATGTTATGTGTCCTATATACTGACCTCTATGTTATGTGTCCTATATAGTAACCTATATGTGTCCTATATACTGAACTCTATGTTATGTGTCCTATATAGTAACCTCTATGTGTCCTATATAATGACCTCTATGTTATGTGTCCTATATACTGACCTCTATGTTATGTGTCCTATATAGTAACCTCTATGTGTCCTATATACTGACCTCTATGTTATGTGTCCTATATAGTAACCTCTATGTGTCCTATATGCTGATCTCTATGTTATGTGTCCTATATACTGACCTCTATGTTATGTGTCCTATATAGTGACCTGTATGTGTCCTATATACTTGACCTCTATGTTATGTGTCCTTTATACTGACCTCTATGTTATGTGTCCTATATACTGACCTCTATATTATGTGCCCTATATAGTAATCTCTATGTGTCCTATAAAGTATCCTCTATGTGTCCTATATACTGACTTCTGTGTTATGTGTCCTATATAGTGACCTCTATGTTATGTGTCCTTTATACTGACCTCTATGTTATGTGTCCTATATACTTACCTCTATGTTATGTGTCCTATATAGTAACCTATATGTGTCCTATATACTGACCTCTATGTTATGTGTCCTATATACTGACCTCTATGTGTCCTATATAGTAACCTCTAGGTGTCCTATATACTGACCTCTATGTTATGTTTCCTGTACACTGACCTTATTATTGGCCTCATACCCGCTGACAGAGTAGGGATACATGAGATAGTGACCACCTTCTTCATGTTTTGGTGTACATCGTAGACTTGCATCATGTTCACTCCCCCAACTGTGACCTAAAGTGAAATATTGTCATTAATAGTAAAACAAAATCTCCATCAGCCCTGTATTACAGCATACGTCTTTCTAACTAGGCCTAGTTACAATATGTTTCCACAAGCTTGGGGCCTTGTCAAATTTTACTGACAAGGAGAATCACCAATTTAGTAATTTAACTCTAGTATGACATCTGAAAGATTTCAGTGCAACATAAGTTATCTCAGCCAAAATAGGAAAAATGTGGTTAATTTGGAATTTGAATCTTCTCAAGAGAATAGAGAGTAACAAGAGAAAAATGAGTACACCAGCTGAAAATGATTCTATAAGTAAGAAAGATTTCTAACTCACCTAATTCTGGTTATCCAGATGAGGTAATCACATGGAAAAAACAAACGAGAATATGCGTTAGTAAAGTTTGAATATCATTTTACTTAAATCAGATGTAGTTGGATGCAGTAAGTATTTATAATATTATTCGTAATTATGGTATTCACTAAAGATGAATTGTCTTCATTTCAGATGATATGAATAGGTATAGATAATAATAAAACGCAGTCAGAACATTGATGTAAGTCGCCAAAATATTACAAAGTAACACAAGAGTCCTGACAAAAAATTTGCTACCAGCCAACTAACCAAAAGGATACAGAGTGCACAGCTATTCTGACTTCTGGACTTTTTAAACTGTTTTTTTTTCTTCCTTTTCTTTGTGGTTATCTTAAGTGGGTTATTTTTTTTAATTAAAAGGGAAAACACAATACATATAGAAAACTGACTTAAGAAGAGTTACAACTTTACATTGTGGCAACATCACCATACTTAACAATGAAATGTTTGTTCCACTATGTCACTCACACTTTACATTACCTACCAGATCAAAGAGATATCAAGAGAAATAAAATATGTTTAGTAAAAGAAGTGTACCATGAGCAGTGACCAGCGCTGCTTCAAGGGAGAGAACTCTGTTGCCCTGACTGTTAGCCGAGGTACTCCAGCCTGTGTTTAGAGTGGACAAATGGCCATCCACTGCGAAAGCTAAAACAAACAAATGCTGAGTTAGACCACTTTCATGTAAGCAGTTGAAACGACTGGACCACAAGAACAAGAGAAATGCCAGGCACAGATCAGGACCAGGGCTGGATAGCAGAATTTTGAAAAGCCCAACCATACTTGTCAAAAACTAACTGGCTGTATACCATAAGTCTTTGCATACAACAAGGTCAATGCTTCCACAAATTACGGAAAATTTGATGTTATTATAAACAAAATAAGATTAGATGTATTTTATTATTGGTAAATTGTTTCATGTTGGGCATGAAATTCTAAAACTCTACACTTTAACTTTACATATGACATTTTCAACATCCAGTAAAAGTTCATTTATTTATAGTGGAATAATTCCATGCAGAGTCATACGAATTTTGGAAAAACACCTCTACTATAGATAATATCTCATATTAATTTTCCCTAAATATGACTTCCAGGGAAAATACACATTCCTGTTGAGAACCCCGACCCAGGTCTTTGGCGTGATAATCAGCTGGCTCCATCAACTGAGCTAAAGAAGCATGCTCCATCAGCTGAGAAACACAGACCATATTTAACACAAGCCACACCACAACTTTTACATTATACTTACAAGGTGAACATATCCCTCCTGGCGTATTCTGTTTGTAAGACGCTATGTAGGCCAGACCAAGCACACCACGTCCAAACTTCTGATAGGTAAAAAGATGAGCTAGACAGTAACCCTGGAACTCTGTCCCTCTGCTGAAAACCTAAAGATCATACAAGTTATATACAAAATAAATATGTCTATCATATCTTTATACTGTGAGGTAATAAATGTTTATCTTTGTTCTAATGTGCCAGTAAGCACACAGATTTCACAAAGCAAAATTATGAAATATTCCACATCTAAAAACAATAATTTTTTCCATCATGATTATTATAAACATACATAACTTTTCAAATCTTAGTTCATTCTTCCTTTGTGGTAAAAGTAGTGTGATGAAATTTTTTCGTATCCACAATAACTGTTACAAAACATACAAACACTGCATTTTAGCGAAAACATATCTTAATGCAAAACTTTCTTTGCAATAAGTGCTAAAAGGAGATTAAATCTTCAATAGGATTTTGTTTACTGTAGGTAGTATCATAACAGAAATTACCTGCAGCAGACGGGTAGTGTTAAATTCCCTGTTGGGCATATTATAGTGGTCCCCTTTTCCATACGTATAGCCTTCATGGATCTTTAACTAACGTCAACAAAAAATACAAAGAAGCAGGTCTGTTAAACTAGTAACGGATTCAGTATACATATTCTTTTTCGTAAACAGAGTAGCCCAACTGTTAAATTAATTCTTATTATATCACAATATTATATCAAATTAATTGAAATGTTTATCTAAATCAAAGTTGACCAAACAATCAAACTGACACCATTAATGAATTATTTTGAAATATTCACATAACATGCAGGCATTGAATTCATTACAGCAACTCCAGTTGTATTCAAGTTTTTTAATAGATTAAAAACAGATAAACAATACAAGAATAATTAAATTACTTATTTCCCGGCAAGAGGTGAGAGCCCATACAGCTGTAGGCTTGTCTTCTCATCAAAAAGCACCTTATATTATCAGTTACAAACATGTGATGAAATTTTTTTTAACAATGTTTGTACATATGCTGAGAGTTTTTCTTACCTCTGCTATCTCAAATCCGAAATCAGACAACAACGAATTATCGTCTGGCCATTTTGTTTTTTTATATATTGTATTCACTTTGTTTAAAATGCTGATCTGGAAAAAGAATGACAATCAGAATTAATGTTTGAAGGTAAAACAATCCTGATTCTAGCGCAGATATATGTACTTCTATCAAAGCTGAAATCAACAGCACACACTACCTAAATCACATACCCTATAGGCCACTAAACCTCCATGTCTGATCATAATTGCTTTTACAAGACACCGAAGACTTATTCATCTAATGTTAAACTCAAATCATTGATAATTAAGGTTTTGATTTAGCACTGAATATTGATTTCTCAACTTTGGGCTGTTCCAGAATTACATGTATCAGAAGGGTGGGAGGCATTTCCATTACATTTCATGTGTGAAATAAATTAGTTTTAATATTCGATGGGTAGTAGGGTTTCAAAAATACATTTTAAATAGCACTTGGCCCTGAATACAACCAACTACAGATACTTCAATTTGGCATTGAACACTGTATGTTTTACAACTCAGCATGGCCTCACCTACCAGATAACTTGCTGTCCAGTGAATTTTGTTTTTCCCGATATTGGAGTGAAATGAGTAATCAGCAACGACATACAGACGACATGATTTATGATTTGAAATCATCGTGGATGTGTCTCTTTTTTTCCGGCTCTCAAAGTTTTCTAAACAAAAACAAACATGATATAGACCTTAGATAGTATTTGTGTATTAGGCACTTTAAAGAAAAATTCACCTGAGCATCATATCTGTCGTAAATATTCATAGTCAATATTTTCTTCACAATCAACCTTAGTGTTTTCATATTGCATTTTTTTATGTTTTTCTTCTTCTTCAAAACCACAAAACAACTGTTAATTGTAGCTCACACTGTGCTGTAATTTTAAACCAGAACTAAACCAAATTTTATTGATGGAAACTCAGCAATGATTGCAGTGTTATCATTATTAATCGCTATTAAAGTTTAACAGCATTTTTATTGATATCAAGTTATGTGTGATGGTCATTTGTCAAGTCCAATCTTCATACAAAACATCAATGTGTTCTGGCCACCTGATGGAGGAGAAATTTTCTGTATACCTAGTGGTGCTAATACTCTGCACCTACCTCCATTCAATTCAATTCTGTTTGCTTCTAAATCCTCATCTCTATCAACAGTGCTGTTTGTTCCATCACAAAATCTTTCCCTGAAAGGAAACACGGATTACAAAAACAAATCCATAATGGTGTCTTTTTTAATGATTGTTTTGTTAAATGTCTTCAGTTTGTATTCCTTCTGTCAGCTTCTATCTATTTATTGTTCCATGGACAAAATTTTGTGAAAAAAGAAGCAACCAAAAATCCTAAATACAAAATAATTGATTTCACTGTAGTATTATTAATGTTGTAACATACATTTAATTATTATATTTAATAGTTTGTATTCTTTATGAAGAAAATCCAGTACTTTCATCAACAGCCTTTCAAAAATGAGAGAAATTAATAAAGGACACTAAATTTAAGCATTACAAATGAGTAATACATTAATAATTCCTTTTCTCCTGGATGATAAAAGATAAGTATAGATAAAACACTCTTTCTAATTGTGAAATGGAAACAAATGGTAGGATTAGTAGTACTTGTAGCCAGTGTTGTCAGAGGGATGGTCCCACGTAAGATCCGACTTCCTGTAGGCAATGATACTGTGGTTACTGGATGGGGGAAGTACACGCCATGATGGCTGCAAAACAAGAACATTAAAAGTTTGAAGAAATATGTCTATATATATATAAATATATGTAGTTGATAAAATAAAAATATAATTCCTTGCGAAGGAAGAAATAGACAAAGTCAGAAAAACTTATGCACAGTGTTGTGTTTTTGTCAATTTTTTCAGAAATTAAGTCAATTCAATAGCAACTTGTATCACAAATCTTATTTCATAGGAAAAAATCTTTCTAATTATTTAAGGATAAAGGAGTGGCACAGTGGCTACACACATCCCTTTCAACTACATATCAGAGGTTCAATTTCTCAAATGGAGGTAAAAAGATGCCTTCTCCATAGGTTTTCCCTGGGCACTATGGTTTCCTTCCACAGGAAGACCCCTCATATGCTCCCATCCTGGGGATATCACATTTCTAAGGTTAACAAATCCTCAGATGAACCTTCAAAAAGGTCAATAATTGTATAATCATTAAGTAGATCTACCTCTATTACATAATCATCTTCGCTTGTACTAATACTAGCCATCAAAACATCATCCTCCCAATGAGCGGTGACATCAGATTCAGCATCACCTGTGCAAAGACAGAAATGGTTTATTTATAGCAAATTCTGTTTACCTATTCTTAAAAGGAAATGTACTACATGTAAATCTGTTTCTGCAAAATTCTTTTGGGGGAAAAGAGAAAATGATATTTTACTTCTGCATGATATATAGTTCCTGAATTATTTGTAAATGTTTTGTTCGAACAAAATGAAAATAAGTAATAAAAAAATTCTTTTGTTTTTTTAAATTAAATAATAAAAAAATTCTTTTGTTTTTTTAAATCCTAAATAACTAAGAGACATATTTCTGTAATCATATTGCTGGTAATTTTCAAGGATGAAATTTTTTGGGATTATCTTTTAATACAATTGAATTATATTCTAACTGATTAAAATTCATATCTTTATCCTGAATGTAAAACAACATCTTTGCTATCACATGGATATACTGTGAAAATAACTGCCTATAATGTGCTAAGCAATTCATAATGCAGGGCTCTCGATCTGCCAGATTTGGGGCCGATATTCGTCCCCATTCCCAATGCAAAATAGTATCCTTTTTTTCCAATTTAGACCCCAAGTTTTCCCAATTCTAAGGAAAACACTATTATTTTTCCCAATTCAAAGGGCCCCGGGCCCCGGTCGCAAAATGGGGTGTGAGAGCCCTGTAATAAGACCAAAGTCTATATTTATACAGAAATTAATTTGTACATTTTATAGACTTTAACCTTTGATGTCTGAGTCTTTGTATCAAACAGTCAACAGTTACCTGTTAATTTACCACTGAAAAACTGTGTGTAGTCAATGGGCTCTTTGCGTTTTTTCCCTTCACTGTCAACAACAGTAACTTTAAATCCTGGTTGTATGATGGTGGACAGGTGAAGATCAAGATGGAAGTCTCTGTGGATTACAATTATCATAGATACATAGTCACATATTGTATACAAATATAAGTTTTCTTTCGTAAACAACGGAGCTACATGTACAACAGTTCATTTTAATTGTCAGACACAACTAAAGATAAGGTTTGAATTTTACATGAGATAGTAATATAAAAAGTAAGTACTTATATCTTTTGAAAGGTGTCTGCTCCTAACACTACGTGACATTATATTCAGTTCAAACAAAGGGACCATGATAACTCAGTTTGTTAGAGCACTGACCTACTTATATATAACTCAAGTAAAGGTCTGAGAAATGTGGTTTAACATTCCCTTCATTTGGCAGTTTGTGTTTTGCAGGAATCTGTGCTAACACGATTGTGTCATAGGGCAAGACATTTTTCCCTAATTGCTCTGCATGGCATATAATGAAGTTAATTCAATGAGGTGGTCACCAACTTCCAAAATGAGATCCCTGCCTCAAAATGACTCCAGCTTTCTATGAGGCAATAATTCCAACAATCAGTCCATTATTCTACCAAGTATGTTAAAGTGATATTCTCTCTAGCCATTGATAGTTTGAACTTTGAAGGTAACCATCATTTTCATAATTACAATAAGGGCCATGAAATGAATCGTTAATTTTACTAAGGTGGCATTTCATGATAATTTTTTATTTCTTCTACTAACTGTTGAAATGGTTCAGGAACCACATACCTTCCAAGGGCGTAAAAGGAAACCTGATGCAAATGAGACTTAGGATTGGGGTCAATACTTCTTCGGGTTCGTAATCTGATGTCAGATATCTTCAGAGTTTCAAAATACTTCAGTCTCATATCATGTTCCCCTGTGATAAAACAAAATAACATAATTTGTGAAATGTCTTTTTATTAATCAATACAGTCTGTGCTGAAACAGTGACATATGACATCCACAGGTAACCTAATAGAAATTACTAATGATACTTAAATGACAATATATTTTTGGAAATTTGATTGGTGTGGCTTGTATATGGCCCCCGTCGCTCAGCTTCTAAAGTTCAATTTATATATATCACTCCAGGGATTCAAGGCTATTCCTGTTTGAGCAATAAACAGGCATGTGGTTTTACCTGCTCTTTCTTATACTCTGCAATCATAACTGTGACTATTTGTTCCAATTATTTCTTAAAAATCCTGCAACTAAGTTTATGTTCAGGTATCTGGCCTCAAGTGGCTGACATGTACATTTTTTGTTCAGCTATGATGTTCCCTGTGAAAAAGTTAATTAGACGTGTATTGAGTGGTTGATGGTCTATTGCCTTTACAGCGTATACAATAACCAAACAGGTAAAATTATTTTCTCTACTGAACTGAAGCTGCTGCACCAACAAGAATTTTTGAATTATCTCCCCTTGCATAAGGTAAGATGATTATACTTAATATTTCAACATAATGCTTAGATTCCGGTCATTATCCTAATTTCTATGGCATTTCGTTAGAAATATAAATGTGACATCGGGTATTGATCTATAATCACTTATACATGTATATTTTTGCGTGTAACGATGGACCTGAGACAAGTTTACATGACATACGGACTTGAGCATACTTGTAAAAAACTGACGGCGATCGATTATACCTGTGCTTATATTTGTAGAGGCAAATATAGCCATGAGAAATGCCAATATCCTCATGTCTCGTCATCTGTTCGTGTTTGTTGACAAACCAAATCAGCCCATTACAACAACACGGAAGTTGAACGGAAATTACCGCGCCTCAGCTGTAACTCTAACATCCGGTGAGACTAGTTACCGGAATCGGAAATAGGTACCTGAACATTATTAAACTCCGTCAATCAATAATCGATTCCGAAATACAATGTGCTGAGCTGAAATACCATTTTTTTTTTAAATCCGTGTATTTCCGCAATTATACCACTAAAGAAACTAGGATATATCAAGTGATTACGTGATGTAATTGTTACCTTCAGTTCTTTTCTGCTGTATCTTTCAAGTTTAAATTCCAGATATTGATCAATAGGCCTACCTCCCTAATCCACGCTCATTCGAAATCTTATTGATATTTTTGAAGGACTTTCAATTGTGATATACCTTTGTGTAGTCTTTCCGGACAACGAAGGTGGCGTGCACAATAATGAAATTTAAATGTCACACAATGAATATGATAAGGTATAAATAGTTTTAGTTCAAGGGCGTACTTAGGAGACAGTCTCAATCTCTTTTTTATAACTTCAACCAAGAAATTCGAATAAATTCGCTATGCTGTGTTTACAAACCAGTTTTCTCCAACAGCACACAACTTCTTTTCAAAATTGACACCAACAGAAAGTAGTAAAAGTTCTAATTTATTTTGTTACGTCCGTTGAGACACGATATTTTTTCGTATTTTCAAATCATAACTATATCTATTTTAACTATTTACAACAAAAATATCACCCTATATTGTGTACCACCCTCAGCCAAATCGCATTTTATAAAAAGTTGAGAGTGATTTTCTGTCTGACTCATATATTTCATTAAGACGCCATTTAAGTTCTATTTTGGCTATGAAAATGATCAAAAAGATTCGCTTTCCACCCGCTGACAAAATTATTCTAAGCCGGTCAGTGCGAAGTCCACACTAAGCACAACTGTACTTCAATGGTGGGACATCATAGACTTCCGCACTTATACCAATACGTTACATGTCAATCTTCGCAGTAAATTTGATAGGTGCTAATTAAATGACTGTATGTATCCTTTGTGTAAACGTATCCTTTTAATGAACACCAATCCACATAAATTCATAGTTATTTTTGCGGTTAGTTCAAAAGTTTTATAGGATTTTGTTAATAACCAATTGGCAACTGAATTTTCAAGTTTCTCGTAAGTCGAAAACGACTGGACATCACCCATCTGTATTGAATTTTAATGATATCTTATTGTATCAATGATATGTGTGACTCTATAATAAAATAGTGTATTGTATTGTACTGTGTTGTATTGTATTGTATTAGTAATTAGTAAAAATAAGTAATAAGTATGTAATGGACGCAGGTGGTCGAGTGGCGCAGTGATAATGCACTCGCTTTTCACCTAGCCGACCGGGGTTCGATTCCCGGAACGGACGTGAAAAGGTAAGGGGTCACCTGCCCGACCACGTGGGTTTTCCCCGGGTACTCCGGTTTCCTTCCACTATAAGACCCCTCGCGCGCTTCCATCCGGGCCAACAAGAGTGATTAGTATAAGTTGGTAAAACTTGTTTCGCAATTGTTGTAAAATATATAAAGTTTATATTAATGGACGCAGGCAAAACTAATGCCTCTATATCCATATCTAAAATTATATGATGACCAGGAGATGTTTCCTATAAAAATTCTAATATATAGTTATTACATATATATAGCCAATTAAAAGCTAAAAAGCACAAACAATTCATTATTTTCAAGTTGAAATGACCATTAAAATTTTCCTCTTTATATATCTGGGAAGGCGCACAGAAGACCGGCACCCAGTGGACAGGTAAATAACTACTGTCAGGAGAGGGGACATGAGTGACTTCCGACTTCTCAAAAGAAGAGTATCTTCAACATTGCCGTCACCAGCAATACTCAGCCGTCTGGGCGCAGTGTTATATAACTTTTATCTGTTTTCAATTTTTTATATTCGTCTTTTCACCTGATACCAAATACCAGACAAAAACTTCATGTTACTCCAATCAAGTTATTTTCTCGTATATAAAAAATATTGTGTCAATATCCGTAATCATCTCAAATTAAGTAAAATCATTTTAACAGCTTGACAGCTCTTCAGGCCAGGATGTCATAAGTTATCGATTTCTGATGAATGAAGGGAACGAAGAAAGGACATCGCAGCTAGCAGGAAGGGGGATGAATTTAGAAGTAAGTGTTGTGTATTCTTGTATCTCCTTTAGCCAGATTTATAACCCTTTCAATCTGAAAAAAAATAAGAAATTTCCATTTTCTGGTGATAAATTTCATCATATCTACAGGTAATGAGATGCAATGTGGTGCGTGTTGTTTTTTATTACTCTGTAAATTTATTTTTCAATTATTTATATCGCTATGTGAGAGTGTATTTTAAGGTATGTATGTAGCTTTAATGTAAAAGGTTTTAAAACACCTTTCTTAGCTTACACAGTTTCTCTATTAATGCACTAACATTAAATTTTTGGGTTACAAATCTATCAAAAAGTAACGAATTATTCACAATATTACAAGATTATAAAAAAACTAAGTAAAAACCCGATGATACTGGGCCGACAAGGTACAATGACATACATTGTTTTGACAGGGACTTATACATAGATAATCTAACTCCGTGATATTGATATGAAGTAAGGATAAGTTTTTGTGAAATTTAAATAAATTTAACTCTCATAAAATCATGATGTTGCAATAATCATAGGTTGGATAGCAAAGATATGATACAATTACATGTAGATTAAACTGAAACAGACACTCCTCCTCCTAACAATATTCTCCTGTCTATATCATAACGAAAATTAGGCAATTGTTTATTCTGCAAAGGGAAAAAATGGCGGGTAGTGTATTTACAACATATCACTGATATAGATGTACCACCAATACAAGTAAAGCTAAATAAATAAATTTTCAATTCGCCATTTTGTTAAATTCCATATGAGAGGAAAACGAATTTTTCGTACGTTTTTATTTCAAAAGTTAGTTGATCGATGATATTGATGAAAGGATATCTATAAAGCATTTATGTAGCGTTTAATGCTGCAAGTTATCCTTTTTGATAATCCGGAACAAGGGTGTATTCGGGATCAAGAGTTAGATGGAAGAATAAATATAAACTTCCGGTTCGTTGGCGCCAAATTTGCTGTGAAATGGACGGCAACAATGATTCTAGTTACGACCCGGCATCATTGCCGGATCTGTTACCGATGTATTACAAGAAACTTTTCCCGTACGGACCTTATTTCCGGTGGCTGAATTACGGAGGAGGTAATCACATCAGACATAACTGTCCCATTCAATCATTCAGATCAGCAGGTCATGTTTCGATCCAGAGCTGTTTCGGCTTAAAAATAACATACTTAGTTTTTTCTTAATATTGATATTTTTGTAAAATAGAAACATATATAATTAAAGCATATTAGTACGGGAATCGTATGTTTTAATATGAAAATTATTGCAATTTGATTTATTTTGGAGTCCGAGTGTCAGTTATAAGAACAGGGCAAAACATATTCCTGTCTAGCGCCTCTTTTCAGCTCTGCAGACAACGTATGTTAGAACATAATACCCAATGTCCACACTGTTGTTTATAAGGGTCAACTAAATTTGGGATTGGATTTTGTGTCTTCTTTCTAAACAACATTTTTCTTTGTGTCTTTGTTGAGACTGATTCTTGAACATTCGCACTTCTGAGAAAGGTTGACATATTTGCCCATTGCAAGACACTAGTGTTTAAAAATGATAGTTATAATTACTGTTATGTACTCTCTGATTAACTCCCTCGTTAATATGATTAACAAGTAATTCGACATTTTTAGTTATCAGTATCAACTCCGATGTCCCATTTGCCTGACTTCAGAAGAATATCTATATATTGTAGTGGTACTTGAGAGTTGCAGGTATCAGTTTCTGCACTGTTAGAATGAGGCTTAAAGCTTACAGGAAGCCACGCACAAATACATGCACTCAATACGTACACTCACCTTGAATACCTCTTTACATAAATCTATATTATTAGACTTTGCAACTTTCTTAATGTTTCATTTACACAGATATTAATTTTTTGGTGATTTCCTATTTTTGTTTTTTTCTATTTTCAGCCCCCAAAAGTTATTTCACAAACCGAGAATTTTCTTTCACATTAAAAGATGATGTATATATCCGCTACCAGTCTTTTGCCGACAAACAGGAGATGGAAAAAGAGATACAAAAACGATGTCCTTACAAAATAGATATTGGTGCCATATTTTCACACAGGGTAAGTAACAACTAGTAGTCATAAGAGTTTAAACAAAAAACACTATAGAGATATTTACCAATCAAAATTTCAAATAAATCAAATGGTTTTACAGTATGCTAGAATTGTAGAAGTTATAGTCCCATCCTCAGACTTTGAGTCAGAAGAAAAATGTTGATCCCTTTCGTAATATTAAATGTTTTCTCCCATATTAAACCCACCACACTGACTTTGAGCAGGAAGAAAACAATGTGTTTGTCCTTTTAGTATACAGCCGAAACTTATCTCGAAATTCAAGGGACTGGAAAATATTTTGACTTATCTGAATTTTGACTCAAACGAAGTGTATAAATAAGGTTGACAATATCAGTTTCCTGGCATTGATTACGGTTACGAAATAGGGCGACGATAACAGGCAAACAGCATAGTTTAATCTGTTATTTGAAATGGCAGTGAATAAACAAATATATCTATTTCTACTTTCTCCTTTTATTATTTATTCATCCAAACAACAAAACATGAAATAACAACTCCAATCATATACTCAGGACGTTCTGTCCAGCACACTTGTTCAATACCCTACTTGACCAAGCTTGCTTTTGATACACTACAAGAAACGATGTATGAAGCTACAGATCACATCAATATGAATTTATTAAGAATAAATAAACATATGAAAAACGTGGCACTACAAAGTTTTTACCTGTTACAGAAACCATTGTTCGAGCAATAGACTTCTCAAATCACGCACAGATATAGATTTAATCAATGAAAAATACTTTTAGCACTTTATTGTTCAACCAAACACTAAATCTGACAAAGTGCCCAATCAAAGTCTGTTATTGTAAACAAGCTCAAAATTAGTTTCTCTCGGAGTTGTAGCGATCTCATTTCGTCAAAAATTTGTACTGGTTTGACAGTTTTGTTTTTATCCTTCCTGAAGATGCAAGCAACCAAGCTAAATGTTTTTTCATGTTGTGGGTAAACACGCTACTTTTTTAATGTACAGGTAAGTCACTGCCACAGGATGGTGACACTACTTAAGAATTTTGTCAGAAGATGTGCTGATGTTTTGACAAAAATTAATTTCGAAACAACAAGAGACTTTTCTCTTGCTTTACAATTGAAGGTACTGACAAATCCCTTTGACTCAACCGAAATTTCAACTTAATGAAATTTGAGTCATCCGAACTAAAATTACAAAGATATAGAAGGAAAAAATTGGGACTTGAAAATTATTTCAACTCCAACAGAATTTCGAGACAACAAGTTTCAACTGTATTTGGTTGCTGGATGATAATGATAAAGTATTTCTTTTAAATGAAAACACTTTATAGAATGACAAAGCATTTCAATCAGATCTAAACTTCGAGGATATCTGGAAGATGAGCAGTTAAGTCTGATATGTAAATATTATAAAATCTCACAAGATTTAAAAGCATCTGAGTGAACTGATTTATTTGTTGGCATGTAAGACTTTACCTTCAAAATCTGTTAAAGTTGTTTCGTTATACATTCATGTAACATTAATAACACACATTGTGTAAATATTTGTATTGTAGCCTAAGGACCATAAGACAGTGAAGGCAGCAGCGTTCCAAGCTCAGGAGAAAGAGCTAGTTTTTGATATAGACATGACAGATTATGATGATGTCAGAGCTTGCTGTTCGTAAGTTACTTTCAGAATATTTTTTTAAGCTATTGTTATGTCAAAATAAAGTTTGAGGTTTGTGTACTGTAAGCATTATACATAAGTTATTTTGTTGTATTAATTGCCACTAATTACACCTATGTCTTTTTTCAGAGGGGCTGATATATGTGGTTTGTGTTGGCCCCTTATGCAAATTGCTATAAAGATCATTGACCGAGCTTTACGAGGTATGTGCTATATCAAAAGAAAAATTCTTAAGGCAGGTTTGGGGCCCATTTTTCCCCCAATCCAATTATTAGATTTCACTAAAGAATTGTAGTGAATAAACTTACATATGTTTAAGAAAATCTTGGTGGCAATGTCCCATGTACATTTTTTTGACAGTTATAGCTAATAGTTTTGTACTCACTTCAAGATTGTACACAGGACAGAAATAAAACATAAATATCATTATGAAATATTAAAATCTTCAGATTTCTTTTTTTCTCAAATTTAGGTTTTGTCTTGCTATTTTCCCATTTTCAAAGTCATGGGCTCCATTCCCAAAGTAGCCTGAAAAGACTTTTTTCGTTTTTTTTTTTTTTCAATCTGCCATCAAATTTCCACAAAGTTCATCATCTATATCACATGCTTTTTGGTGTTACTATGAAATTAAGTCTATTGGTTGTCCTTAATTCTCTTTTAGATGATTTTGGATTTAAACATATATTATGGGTGTATTCTGGTCGACGTGGTGTCCATTGTTGGGTTTGTGATGAAGTCGCCAGGAAACTTTCAGCTCAAGGACGTACAGCCATTGCAGAATATCTCAGTGTTGTTAAGGTATCTGAAATAGAGGCAAACAGTTGATAAAATTTCATTATTGTAAAAGTACAATGATATAATGCAAAAATACAGAAAATATATTTTCAATTTAGGTTTGTTACATTATAATAATCAGATTGGAATTTTCCCTCAGGAATATAAAATTAGGAAGATCTACATGATGAAACAGCACCTTATGTTGTAGGGCGGAGAACAGCAGACGAGGAAGGTGACCTTAGATGACCCCGTCCATCCCTCCATCAGACAGTCAATAGACATAGTACGGCAAAACTTTCATGACTACGCTATCAAAAAACAGGACTTTTTAGGAGACGGAGAAAAACAGAAGAAAGTGTTAGCTCTTGTACCTGATGAAGATATCCTTTCTTGTCAACAGTTGTCTTTTAAATACTCATGCAATTCAGTGTGTTTTATGGAAAATTTTATTTTCTATCGTTCAAAAGACCAGTAAATAGCACCGTTTCATATTAATTTAGAGTTATATGCAACAGAGTCGAACAATGAATAAAACTGCATCATACAGCTGTTTCGTCCTTTTGGTCTCATCAATGATGCAAAGGGACTGAATTTGAAGCCCATGAGATGACTTGAGAGAAATCCATAGTGGTCGGAAAAAAATGTCAAAAGCTGAAGTTATGTGAATCAAGGACAATTATGGTTTAAGGAAATGTTTAAAACAGATTTGAAATTACACAAACTTAATAGCTATAACTTTTGACAGGTACCTCAGACAGGAATTTGTTCGAGTTATAAGAAGTTATTTACGTCTCAATAGCCATTTGGAGTGACTAAGTGTTGCAAAGTTAGTTCTCCTATTGTTAACCTTAACCATTGGTACTGTTGAGATCTACATTGGAAGAAGACTTTGACAAGGGAAGCAACTCCAGTAACTGGTGGGCAATCATAGAAAAGCGCGAGAAAGATTGTGTGTCCAAGGTTAGTGCTGTTTCTATCAATAGTCAGACAGAAAATAAAACATTAGCAAAAACAGAACCCAAATGGTTTTGAGTTTCAAGGTGTGGTATATAACCTAAGGAAATCAATAATACAAAAAGCATCCGAGCCTTAATTAATAGTTTAATTACAGCAAATACAAACAAGAGATAAATTAACAATTAAAAATCTTAATGGCATGGACCAATAGGAGAAATCTTTATATGGCAAACAATGTGTGTTTATTTATACTGATCTGTGCACCCTTAACTGTGTTTCAGGGCTCCTTCAAAGCATCGCATCACATTGTGGAAGAGATAATGTTGCAGTATTGTTACCCACGTCTGGATGTTAATGTTAGTAAAGGTGTCAACCATCTCTTAAAAAGTCCTTTCTGCATACACCCTAAAACAGGTAAGTTTTAAACATTCCTCTCTGCTTAAACCCTAAAACAGGTAAGTTTTAAACATTCTTTTCTGCATACACCCTAAAACAGGTAAGTTTTAAACATTCCTTTCTGCTTAAACCATAAAACAGGTAAGTTTTAAACATTCTTTTCTGCATACACCCTAAAACAGGTAAGTTTTAAACATTCCTTTCTGCTTAAACCATAAAACAGGTAAGTTTTAAACAATCCTTTCTGCTTAAACCCTAAAACAGGTAAGTTTTAAACATTCCTTTCTGCTTAAACCATAAAACAGGTAAGTTTTAAACATTCTTTTCTGCATACACCCTAAAACAGGTAAGTTTTAAACATTCCTTTCTGCTTAAACCATAAAACAGGTAAGTTTTAAACAATCCTTTCTGCATACACCCTAAAACAGGTAAGTTTTAAACATTCCTTTCTGCATACACTCTGAAACAGGTAAGTTTTTAAATATTCCTCTCTGCATACACTCTGAAACAGGTAAGTTTTCCTAGCTATCTTCTTAACATTCCCCTGTGCATACAGCCTAAGGTTTCATATTTCACTGATAAATCTTGCTCCCAAAAATCCACTGGTACTATAATTCATGTCAATTTTTTAGCCGACCGTCATCTGATGGACATAATCCTTCCGTAAACATTTTTGTTATAAATAACAATTTCTTGAGAAGTATGAGATGGATCTTTCTAAATTTTTTTTTTTTTTTTGTTAAATATGTAGGTTTTCCTTGGTCCATAGTTGAGCCTGTTTGAATTTGGGTCCGATCAGAAAAACAAAATGGCCAACAGTGGCCATGATGGATTTTTACAATAAACTTTGTTATCACAATTTCTTGAGAAGCTCTCGTTGGATCTCTCAAATTTCCTATATAGATTATCCTTGGTTCCAAGTTTTGCTCATTTGATTTTTGGTCTGATCAAAAAAAACAAAATGGCTGACAGGTGGCCATCATGGATTTCACCAATTAGAGCTTATTATCACTATTTCTTGAGACCTACTGGATGGATCCCTCTCAGATTTCATATTTCCCCTTAGTCCCAAGCTATGCCCGTTTGATTTTGGGAATGATCAGTAAAATTATGGCTCCCAGGAGACCATTTTGGATTTGGCCGTTCAAGATTATTATCGGAAGGAATGTTCAAATTTCTTATCATTAAGAGCAAAAACACAAGAGAAAATAAAGGAAAAGACCCAACTTTTAAAGAACATATAAAGATCAAACAAAGGCTGGCACCAAGATCCCTCTGGAATTGCGTGTACCAGTTTATAATTTTGCGAACGTTTAAATTTTTGGATTTAGAATACCCATAAGTTAACCAAAACATTAAAATTACTGTTTCTCAGCCAATATCTTTGAAACGTGCTTGTTTCTGTTTTTAGGTAGAGTTTGTGTCCCTATAGACATTGACCAAGTGGAGGAGTTTGATCCGATGGCAGTCCCCACCATTAGGTTTGTATTTAAGATCAAACTTTTATTGCTGTGGTGAGTGTAGACAAAATTGCAAATACAATATATATCATTGAGTTGAATAGGAAATGAGACCATTTTGTACAATTATATTCCTGAAAATAAGTGTAATACAAAAAATGATTTTCATCACATGATTGCATATATAATACCTGATGCTTTTATCATTGTACAAAACTTAATTATCATGTGCCTCTCTCTCTCTCTCCCTCTTTCTCTCTCTCTCTCTCTCTCTCTCTCTCTGTAGCATGAATGTAAGTGAGTAAGAGTGTGTAGGTATGTGTACATTTAGAAACAAAAGACTTATGAATAGTGCATGGCCCTTATGTGCAAACATTTCTGATTGTAATGATACAATGATGTATGGGCCTTGTCTAAATGAGAGTAAAGGTGTGTGAATCACTTTCTCTATCAGTACCAGGTAAAATTTGAAAAATAAAAAATTACACAAAAAAACACATAGACTATGCGTGGTTAGATGCAAGGGTGAAAAATGAACTCCACAGTTATGGCACTGAGGATATTAAAGGTTTTGTGACATACTTTCAAGGAATTTTGTCAGATAAGGAGACCTTCTGACTTAAGCCCCCGAGGACCTATCCAGTATTCTCATACTAGTCCATCTAATGATCACATTGTTGCCATCTGCAGCCACGTCACTTTAAATAAATAAATGTCGCACATTCACCGATGGTATTGTGATGTAGCCATGGAGACTGAAGACATAGATCGAACATGACTTGTCTTCATGTTTGACATAAAAATGTCCATCTTCTGCAATATCTGCTTGGAAAATGATCTTGTAAAAAGGAGGTTCAACTTGTTTCCATTCTACACCTGGTTTATGAAACACAAACTTTTTTTATTTTTTTTTTTTTTTTTTTGAAAAATTCTCAGTCTCGTCTCATAAATTTACATATCACATGGGAACTATATCAGAGCTTCTGTTTAGGTAATTTGTTACAAGAGATAAACTATATGGAACACTGATATAATATACGTTTTAATTATTAAAGGTTTGAGTTCTGACTGCGTTTTGTGTTCCATTGTAGTCAGATTTTAGATGAGCTAAACCAGACCCAAACATCTGATGATACAGGGAAGAAAATCAAAGGTAGGACACTGCAGTTTAAAATTTTCTCTCAAAGGCACTTTTAGACAAGACTATGAAATAATAACCATTTAGATATTTATCATTAATTTTAGTACATCTTCAGGAGTACTTTGTGTCTGCGTAGTCATGTACCAGTGAAATAGCAAAATTTTTTTTTTTTTATCCTCACAAAAATATATGATTTAAAAGTAACTCAAAATTGACTATGTACAACTTTATTGTCTCACCTTCACAAAAATTTAAAAAAAGATGATGAAAAACAGCAAGAAGGAAAGAAAACAAAAATATTGCACAATACCAGAGAATGACAAAATCAGGACATTTTGTTGGTATATTTGTCAGTAAAATTTTAATAATCAAAAAAATTATGTCTGCAGAATATTCTTGATGTTTTCTTTTTGCAGATTACAAAAAAACATCTATGGGAGATTATCTAAGGATCTTTGAAAAGTTCCTGAAGGGTTTAGAGTCTACATGGTCGGGGAGAATTCTTAAACAGAGTGGTGTGTATACTTCTTTCTTTTATGTACAAGCAAATAGCACCTTTTGATACAAATATAGAGTGTTACTATATCATAATGCTATTTTGCCTTCCCAAGTCTCATCAGTGATAAGGGCCTAGATTTTGGAGCCATGAGAAAAATAAAAAATGATAGAATGAAAAGTTGAAATCTAGATTGGAAGGTGTAATAGCCCATAATTCAATAAATTTAGTAATTTTCATGTGATTTATAATTATAGAAGAATGTTAAATACATTCTTATATTCTGAATCATGCCACTGTTAGAATGAATCAAAACATGGCATGCAGATTATGACAAACCTTGAGAACTAAAAATCAACTAGCAATGGCTACAACATTAAGTGAACTTGTATGTAGAGATATTGTGTGGTCTAATGACATTTAGTGAACTTGTATGTAGATATATTGTGTGGTCTAGTGACATTTAGTAAACTTGTATATAGATATATTGTGTGGTCTAATGACATTTAGTAAACTTGTGTATAGAGATATTGTGGGGTCAGATGACAATCTAGACGATACTTCTTTTGGATTGTCAGTGAGGACTTTTATGTTTCACCAACACGTTGTGTTATGCTTATGAAACAAAACCTGTCATCAGCAAATCATGTTTACTCACCAGCTGCAGCCATATTTGACGTTTAGTAAACTTGTATATAGATATATTGTGTGGTCTAATGACATTTAGTAAACTTGTGTATAGAGATATTGTGTGGTCTGATGACATTTAGTAAACTTGTATATAGATATATTGTGTGGTCTAATGACATAGATATATTGTGTGAACTTGTATATAGAGATATTGTGTGGTCTAATGACATATAGTAAACTTGTATATAGAGATATTGTGTGGTCTAATGACATTTAGTAAACTTGTATATAGAGATATTGTGTGGTCTAATGACATTTAGTAAACTTGTATATAGAGATATTGTGTGGTCTAGTGACATATAGTAAACTTGTGTATAGAGAGACATTGTGTGATCAAAAAAGAGATGAAAATTATTACAGTTTATCCCCTACAGCTTCAACAGCCATCAAATTACTGTCAACCAACTGTTTTTTAGCCTGCAACTTCTTTTGTCCATTGTGCTATCAAAACAAAAACAGTTTTGAGCATTACACTGTAATATGGCCTGGTTAAGGAAACTTAATTGCTGCAAACTCGTTGTGCTATAGAAATTCTGTCAGTTGGCAGTCACACAAAAATGGTTGGTTTGAAATAACATTATATAACACCAGTACAAATTCTGTACACATTAGATAACATTTTGTTTTGATTTATTTTCCAGATGAAAACAAAGAGTTCTAATGACCGAGAGTGACCAAGATGTGATGTCAGTTTATCAAACAAAGACCTTGTCCATGTTACTATCTTCAGAACTTAATGTTTTGTACAGAAGTACCTCCCCAAGAATATTCCAGTTGCTCCTAGTATAAACATGTATAAATTGGGGCAATCAGATTTGTCTGCATTTTTACTCATTGACAAATAAGTACAATTATGAATTTTCATATCGTCGATAATTGCTTCTTGAACAACATACACAGAAGTTGTTAGCATAGTTCTGTTTGAGCACAGCAGTAAAATATACAGAATTTTGTTAACAATGATTGAGATAGAAGTGTTGGTAAAACACCCAACTAAGGATATGTCTGTGTTAAATGTTTAGTGTCCAGGAGCGAGGTGAATGGTTTTACTGGAACAATTTAATGTACAAAGTTTATTTGATAAGGTTCAAAGTTTGGAACCAACACCGAGGTGCAATGAAGTTGCAGCTAACGTCCCTAGCTGTCATTACTTCCACAGGTTTATTTAATGATAGAACAGTTTTCAGATTGTGTTTATGGTATGTATGAATGCTATCTAGGTGATATAAATTAAATGATATCCATCTGTTGTCACCAAGATTGCTTTCATATTTACTATAAATGCAATCTGGCAACCATTCCATAGTTAACTCTCTATATCAGATATTGTTTTGAAGTATTGTTCTGTCTATTTATCAAAACAAAATTTTCATTTTTCATGTTTAGTGGAAAAGCATTATGAAAATAAAAAATGTCTGAAAGGCCTGTCTTGAGCTGTAATTTGTGTGTAATCTGAGGTAATATGCAAAGTGTTGACAAAACGCAGATCAACATGGTGGCAACCTGAATTTGTATTATTGTCTTGTAGAGTCGTTGAGCAATTCATTTTAGGTCTGTTTTGCCTCTTTCATATATAGGTCTTTATAGCCCATGGGCCTCTTGTTTTCACCTGGAACAAATTAGATTACTTTGTGACTTCAATTTTGCCTCATGTTCTAGGGGTGTAGAGAGGGAAAGTTATTGTAACTGCTGAAGTATCAAGTATAAGTGAAATCTTATAAGAAATATAGATTCAATCACAAAGAGGCACTGTTCTTCCAACAATGTTACAAATAGTGTAAGACACAAAATGCTTATGGCTGTGCCAGTAAAATATCTATGTAAACAACAATAGTTTCTATCCATAGGTCGGATTCCTGCTAATTATCAATAAAATTCTATGGCTGGTACCAGTAAATGAAACCAAAAGTCCAGGTATATGATAAATGTCACTTGTAATAGCTGTTTTACCAATACCACGGATAGATACCCAACCAACTTCACATTTCTGTTGCAGTGCTAATTCTTGCTATTTGGCATCAACAGTTCTTAATGTGTAACAAAATGGAACTCTGTAGATGTAATGGAATGTAGACCAGTTGTTTTATAAATAAATATTTGTTGTTTCTGTTGTACTTTGTTGATGTGTTTTTTCTTTTTCATTGGAAAAGTCATAAAAGGTCCCTTATCATTGAGAAAGACATGTGAGATATCTTATCAGTGGAAAAGTCATAAAAGGTCCCTTATTGAGAAAGACGTGAGGTATCTTATCATTGGAAGACATAAGGTCACTTATCATCAAGAAAGACATATAGGGTCTTGTGTGTAGATTAGAGTGAAAGCTGTTGCATCTAACTTGGCGAATACTTGATATTATTTTCAGGGAGGGGGTAAAATCACCAAAAATGTATACTTATAAATTAGGTTAATAAAGATTATCAAAATCTGCTTCATTACTGCTGGGAAAAATTCAATCATTTTTGTTGTAAAGTCTTGATAAAATCACCAGAACCAGAGTCATCTAGGGGAAAAACACATTTATGGTATATGAACGTCTATGGGTTTGGCAGGTGTCCGCAGTCTTCTATGTCTGATTAATGATTCCTATAATTAGTGTTTTGTTTTTCCAGACCATTTTTTTTGGAGGTTGCCATGAGGAGAAACTTGGAATACCAGTGTCATATCATATTTGTATCCCCCATCATAAAAATATCCAGATACTTTTTCTGGCTATCATAAAAGTATACATTACTATATATGTATTTGTTCAAGCTGGATCCATATAGGAACAAAATAAGTGTATATATATATATATATACTGTAAACATACATGTATATGATGGCCAGGGGAAGATTTATCATATATATAGGGGGATACATATGTATCAATGACGGTCATCAAGAGATAAATAAAATCATGATGTTAGAATTGGCACTTGGGGTCTGGCCCCATCCCCAGGGACATTTCCATGTTATATCTTTGAAGCTGTTGAGGTCCCCACCCCATAACAATATATAGCAATGACGGGCATCAAGAGATCAACACATTCACTATGTAAGAAGTGGCCCAAACCCTCTGGACTTAAACTGTTTGTCCACTAGAGACTATTCTGATGACCATCATAAATGCACCCCACCCCCAAATATATCTGATAATTACTATTATCCCTATTTACTATTTTACTATACTATGCTTTATGCCTACTAGTAAGTAATTAATTTCTCCTAGAATCACTGGATAAGATTTTTTCTGGTTGTTGTATATAATCAATACTCTGAACAGCTGCCAAACAGCAGAATTCATTGATATTCTAGATCAATCTTCTGACATTTCCAGCTCCCTTCCCCTGTCCCTGTCCCTGCAAGCAGTAATAGTAAAGGTATATTATTGTAACCTTTGAATTTTAAAATGATATCTTATTCTTGTACATGGAAGTAATTACCTAACAAACAAGCAGTTAACCCTGCCAATATTGGCTGTCAAAAGACAATTAGGTAAGCCTTGCCCCACCTGGGTACTGCCTACAGGTATTATGTAACACCTGACCAAGTGTAATCAGTTAATTGGACACCTGTACAGGTACCCCTGATATATGTGACCAACAACTGAAGTATAAACAGTAAATTTGTACAACAGATCAAGTTATAGTACTGATCTCAAGGGGGATTCAAATACTATAGAAGGTTACTTTTCTGATGGGCAAAAAAGTATCCCCGGATACTTTCATAATGAGGGGTAAAGTATCCAGGTACTTTTATGATAGGGGATACAAATATGATGTGACATTGATGTAGCATGGTATTGTGAAGCATGGGGAAATGATGCGGGGTCAAAATGCCATAATGGTGAAATTAAAACCACCAACCCAACCCCAACCCCCCTTATGGTAAGGCCTTGGCCTAATTATCCATGGAAAATACCCCAACATATTATACTGGATAAAGCTGTGGCGCCGTTTTCACATGGACAATACCCTACATATTTATACTGGATAAAACCGTGACCTGATTATCCATGGACAATACCCCAACATTATCCATGGACAATACCCCAACATATTTATACTGGATAAAACCGTGACCTGATTATCCATGGACAATACCCCAACATATTTATACTGGGTAAAGCCTTGACCTAATTATCCATGGACAATACCCCAACATATTTATACTGGATAAAACCGTGACCTGATTATCCATGGAAAATACCTCAACATATTTATACTGGATGAAGTCTCCATCTAATTATCTGTGGATATTTTTATCTACGCATTGATGACGCCCACATACTCTTGCACAATTTAAGCATTCACTTATTAAGCACGGATAAAGCGTCAAAAATCACAACCATCATTAAGGCGTATGTGATGCCAGACCCGCGATGTATTTATGTATGATAGTGCTGCCATCTATCCAGACATGGATAATGCCACTAACTATTATCCGTGGATAAATCCTTTACCTATTGATGTCTTCATCTATCATACTTAAGTAAAGCCTCGCTTCGCCTTCACCTTTACAATTGTACATGTATATAGATTCTCGGACGATGTCTCCTTAATATGTTGCACTGTGAAGGATGCTTGAATCTGTCTTTTACAAAAAGATTGCGAGTGTTAGTTGGATTAGAAGGCATATTAGTTCAAGTTTAAGTTGTTACATTATGATGGCATCACTTCGTTCTTTCCTGTATTTTCCTCTAAGCTCCATCTTTAAATATAGCAGCACCGGAAAGTTATGATGGCTTTGAGATTTTTCAAGATCAATTCTGTGGACGGTTGATGGAGGAGAACGTTTACCATCTCATTCCATGTTGAATGATATATTTCACGATGCTGTAATAACTGTGAATGTGACTTGTATAGCAAGGCATATTATCTTACATCTTACTGATCGAATGTAACAAAAACACAGTCAATGCAATGTCGCACCCGGAAAGAAAACTACGACGAAACTTTAGTTAGCGCGATATTTGAGGGTGATTTTAAACAAAAATTACTCGTTATAAGCAAATGCCTCCCCTACCCCCATTCTCTCTCTCTCTCCCTCTCTCATTCTCTCTTCCTCCCTCTCTCTCTCCCTTCCTCTATCTCTTTCTGTCTCTCTCCCTCTCTCTCTCTCTCTCTCTCTCTCTCTTTCTCTCTCTCTCTCCCTTCTGTCTCCCTCCCTCCCTCTCCCCCCTCTCTCTCTCCCCTCTCTTCCTCCCCCTCTCTCTCTCCTCTCTCTCTTTGTATCTCCCTTCTCCCTCTCTATATACTTGATCACATCACGTCTCACCATGGCGGAATATATTGAAGAGAACTTAATTTCTGTGTGACCTATTTACATATATCACAAACATTATACAAAGAAAATTGACATCTGAATGTCAGGAACACTATATGAGATACACAGTATGATAATCTATCCATTGTATGACCCTGGTCAGTGAACTCGCTTTTCTCTCGTGAAACATCTCTGAAATGCAAGCCTGAATTATCGCACACTCTCCAGGAACATATAACGTTTTTGTTTCGTTGTTTGTCATTGACACTTTTCGGACTTATCTTGAGTAGACAATAATCATCATGTACATGTACATTACATTTCAACACACTTGTCTCCGATGTATTATGTATTATTTATTGTTTTCTTTTTGAAACTGGACAATTGACATAGGTTAGCTTTGAACATTTCAGAAAAAGCGCAAAAGGCCGAAGGAAGATAAATTTATATGTTCATTACCCCCCCCCCCCCCACCCAACAACACAAACCCCACCCTACCCCACCCCGGCTTCGATATCACAATCGTTTTCAATTTTACCATATCAAGAAACTAAGCTCCTTCGTACTTAACACATGATTTAACACAGCTATCATTACGCCCGAATGAAGTTTTTTTTCCCAAAGATTTTTCAGTACATGTACATAACGCAGGACACACACACACACACCCTCACACACACACAACACACACACCCTCACATACACACACACACACACACACACACACACACACACTTTAGTCATGAGGATGATGACAACATCATCATCATCATAAACATGTCTTTTTTATTACTGCAACTATCATCATCATCATCATCATCACCATCATTATTATTATCATTATTTTATATAACAATTAGACACCATTTACTTTCACAACATGACACATCCACAGGAGCTTTCGGTATATGTTGTACATATATAGTGAAATTTACCTTTTATGCTCACTCATACACTCTTACATTTAACTCATCCACTTTTACACCTCATTCATATACTCTTACATCTCACCTGTACACACTTACACCCCACTCAAATATATTTCACTGCACTGATACATTAAAAAGGAAATAGATAAGGAACAACAGACAGACTGACTGACAGACAGACAGACAAACAAGCAGACAGATAAATAGACAAATAGAAAAGGGATTTGAGAGGATAGATAAGAAAATGGAGGAAGGGAAAGGATGGTAGTTACTTTTAAGTTTTATATAGTGTGTGATAATAATAAGAGACCAAAAAACTATACATGGCACTTTGTCAGAGACTGACAGTTGCGTCTTTATATTTTGTCGAGTTTCTCCGCCGACGATTGGACCGTGTACTGTGTTTCAGCACATCACATGGTTATAATACATGTACAACTAAAATCGGAGTTGTAACGATATTTGTATTTCTTTGGTATATACAATCGGATTTAGATACAGACCTTAATTTACCTCTCTCCAATACATTCCCTCAACAAAGGGAAAGTATTGGAATGGTAAATTAAGATCTGTATTTTAATCAGGTTGTGGTAAATATGGAGGAATTGTTGTTAAGCGTTCGAAATTTTGTTAAGCTTGATTATTACAAGGCGTGTAGAAACAATATGCATTATGAAATTCCATTGTTAAACGACTTATTCATCCCATTGAAACGTTCTCTTTTTATTTTGTTTGTATGTTTTGCCTTTATTTGTTTTGTTTTGTTTTTAATGTATCATATAAGAAAGAGAGTGAGATGAATGAAAGTCTGACAATGCATAAAAAGTGACAGCTTTCGCAAATTTGGCGCGAAAAGTTTGTGTGCTGTCATTTTAACCAAATCACTACTCGCAGTGCCATAGAATACATATCTTTCCATGCGTCGTAAGGTTTACTACCATGCAAATAAAATTCATAGTCGCTTTCAATTTAAAAATATCATATCAGTCTTATATCTGTAAGAACATTAATAAATTATGAAATTTAAGAATATCAAGTTTAACGCAGAAAATAGTCCTCGTATAAGAACAATGTTATTGATTAGCTCGATCTCCCATTTTTGTGACGTTCCTGAAATATTTATCCAATCAAATTTGGTGTTACTTCTCCCTGTCGGGCACCCCAGACCGGATCACCTTTCTCCCGCCATCTTGGATTATCACGCAGCCCACATGGGGAAGTGGAGTGACCGGTCTCAAGAAAAAATACACCTATGATCGATGAGTTGTTTGAAGAGTGTTAAAAACGTCGTTGGAAAAGTGACCAAGTGAGCCATGGATCTTGTCAACATTCTCGAGAAGACTGTCTCGTCAGGTAAAGATGGATTTTTTGTTAAATTCCGACATAACCGGCACCGATTTTTGTGAAGTTTTGAGATGACTTTGTCTGCAATTTTTCAGTAAATTCGATTATACTAATTTCAACTTTCTGCTTATTTTATATTTTCAGATCAACAAGAACTTGAAGCAGCACAGAGATTTCTTGAGCAAGCATCGCAAACTAATTTGGTGTGTTCACTTTTCCCGTTGAATTGACCGGCACGTGTTTGATTGAGTATGATGACATGATGTCATCATTTAGGTTGTCATATCTCGATAAAACCGAATTTTTAAAAAAAAATATATGTATATCTTTGTTTGGAAACGATAAAAAGAATCTTAGTTGAATGAAGAAAAAACTCCTTTTAACCTACAACAGAACTCAGAATAGTAATTTTACCATTGCAGTAATTATTCAATGCATAAGCTTGATGGTGACTAGGATGTCAAGAAATAGGCAGATAACATGGATATTTAATCACCACGCGCGTGATATGATATTAGAGCTATTTGCCCTTTCCAGAGTTTAACCACTTAAGTTAAGGATTTTGTTTTGTGTATATAGTTTCAGATTTAGTTCGAATACTTGCAAGTTCAGTACAATCTAAGTAACGACCTCATAGATAATGAGAAAAGGGCAAAATCTAAAAGAATGCAGCTTTATGATTATAGAAACAGAAGAATCAGACTGACACAAGGCATGCATAAAGTATAATGCACCTCAGTCTAGGCACAGTACTATGATTTCATTTGTGAATATTTAGCAAATAGATGAATGAGTAGTGTTGAATTTATTAAAGTTTGAAATAAGTCAAATACCAAATAGCGGAATATTAGCATAGTCACAACATTTCATTCCAACTTAAGATATATTCTGTAAACTATAATGTATATAAGATTTAATGAAATTGAAACAGAATTGCATAAAGTTGCATGTTAATGTAAGTCATGGTCATGATGAAAAACAAAAGTTTATGATAGTTCTTATCTTTCATAGTTTGTAACCAAATTTACATCGTATTTTAAAAAGAAATATTTACTTGATGGCTTGATAAAAATATTTATTGAAAAAATCCTTCATCAATTAGATTTTCTAAAATTTGGCTATTTGAAATGAATTGATACATGTGTTGTGGGTAAATTAGCATATTATATTTTACCTTTTTTTTATGTTTCTAGTATTCTGTTGTAGTTTTCCTTTTTAGCAAAAATCCTGATACATTGTAATTACTAGTCACGATGTACCTCTCGACAAGAGAAAGTATCTCTAGCTAGATCAATGTTGATAACAATACTAGCAAGTGAGAGGTTTTAGGTCCAGTCTCTAGCAAAGGAATTAATATGATTAATGACCGACGTTGGTTTTAAAAATGTTAGGAGTAATATATTCTTTTGGATATACAGCTTCACAACATATAAAGATCTATCATAGTTTTATCTTTTGTTTAGCCTAATCTGCTGCAATCCCTGTCTGATGTCCTCAAAAATGGTGGAAATAGCGCAGTGGTTCGAATGCAGGCTGGTCTTCAGTTGAAGAATGCATTGTATTCCAAAGATCAGAATATTCGAGTCGAATACCAACAAAGATGGCTCCAGTTTCCAGAAGAAAGGAGGAATTTAGTCAAACAAAATGTTAGTTCAAAGTCTATATCTGCAATTACTTATAATTTCATCTTTCTTTGACATAAATATTGTTTTTTGATTAACTATATAGCTATATTTTTTGTGTGTGGAGGTGGTACTTAACTGCTTTTTATGTAATTTTTTCTATTCTGTAGAACTGTATTTTCTTCCAATGTGAAAATGAATTCTGTATGTGCATCCATTTTGGAAATATATTGATTGATAAAAGTTTGAGGGAAAAAAAAAGAAAATTTATCAGAAAAAGAAACTTTTAGATATTTGATTTGTAGGTACTTGCCTCTTTGGGTACGGAAAGCATCCGTCCAAGTTCTGCAGCCCAGTGTGTGGCCTATATTGCCTGTGCTGAGCTGCCTTCAGGGCTGTGGCCAGACCTCATCACAGTCCTTACAAGCAATGTGACTAACCCAGGAAGTACTGAGATCATGAAGGAGTCAGCATTAGAGGCCATTGGCTATATCTGTCAAGATATTGTGAGTAAAGTTGCTGTCACTTTTGTCACAAAACCGTCAGATGTATCAGTGAAAATATTGTCTTGTTGATATCAGTCATATTTATCATGCTCCTCTAAGGAAGGGCATATAGTCGCTGCTTTGTCCGTACATGTCATAATATTGTCTGGAGTATAACACAAAAAACTATCAGAGATATCAACATGAAACTTCATAGGTAGATAGATATAGACAAGGAGAAGTGCGTAGCACCAGAACCATCACTCTCTGTTGCCCTTTGTTATATTTTATACTTGAAAATTTTGTCCCAATTGGGGACCATAACCCATCCGACGGCCTTTGTAAGCTCTGGACCAATAAAAATCTCTAGTTGAATTACAAGGTGTTCTCTTAAATTTCTGTCAAGACATGTTTATCTCTTGGAAATCTGCCAGGTACATTTCATGAATGTTTTCTTTGATACTTGGAAAGTATTTAACCCTTTCTGTTTCATGCAGATTTTACAAGGATGATTGTCATAGATCTCATAGAATTATGGGAACAGAAGAAACTTCACTTAGTATTTCTAATCTCTCAAGGATGTATTAATCTTGACATAAATTCTCACTGTGTTTAGTTTAAAGATCATGAAGTAACTGAATTTTCCATTTGTTTGTTTGTTCAGGACCCTGACATTCTACAGACCCAATCCAACATCATTCTAACAGCTATTGTTCATGGTATGAAGAAGGAAGAACCAAGGTAAAGTCTGTTCAACTTTTACAACAGAATGTTTCTGATAAATTTATTTTGAATATTGGTTTTGTTCAGTAGATGGAAGAAAATTATGAAATTGTAATTTTGACCAAAGTTTTATGTAATTACAACCTTGATGCTCCGTGGAATGGTAAAATTGAAGACACAGGTAAAATAATTTGGTCTAGAGTGGGTTTCAGGAGAAAAAAAATGACCAATTACAGTCTGATACACTCTTAAAAGATTACTAAAGAGCGACACCCAACTTCAAATCCAGTACAACACACTATTATGCAACCTCAAGATTTATTTGATGTGCATCAAAGGATCAAACTAGTCTTGTCTTATCCACAAGGTGATGCACCTAGATCCTTCAATTTAATCATGAAATATTCATGGTTGCAGAGAGCAGTATTGAGCATAACTCCTGGAAGTATCTAGGATAACGTAATTGAAGAACATAGAATAAGATATTAGATTTGGGATGGTTATTAGTTTAAGTTAAATTCATTTTTGGCATCAATTGTAATTGATCAGTTATTGTACTTGGTTTCATAAAATAGCTTGACTCTTAAACATTAAATTTGGTTTTCAGCAACTATGTGAGATTAGCAGCTACCAATGCATTGCTGAATTCCTTGGAGTTTACTAAAGCCAATTTTGATAAAGAGGTATTGTATGTTTTTCCAAGTAAGAAGAGGTTGAGTATAAGCTTGCTAAAGCAAATGATATCTTCTTATTGTGATATTTGCAAGAGTGTTTACTTGAGACCGATGATGACAAATGCCTATTTGTGACACACAATATGATGTGTATTGATTAGTCTTACTGAGGTTGCAAGCTAAAACACATCCAGGAATTGGTCATTGTTGTTTAACTTTCTGTACTTTAAAGGTAGATTTGTCTTAAAATACATTTCGATATATAATATATATATATTTCGACTTTGAACTTGGTCCAGTGTTTATTTTCAAGCAGTAAACAAAGTGTAAATGAGCACAAAAGTTTATATACAGCAACTTAATTGACAGTAGTTTTAAAATACTTTTAATTTAATGGGACACTTTCTTTAAATAAAGTCTATATTGTTCTGAGTTATTTCTAATTTTAGTAACTGGAAGAGCAATCAGGTTTAATTATAGATGACCTTATAGTAGTGAAGGGGTAGTGATCAAATATAATCATTATTTTCAGTTTTTTAACCTCAATTGATGCGATGATCATTTGGAATTTTTTCATAATAAATCATTGGTACCTTTTAGCGAAAAAAAGTAAATTCATAATTTTCCCCTCAAAAAACGTGTTTGCTGGGGATTGTACATGTTTTTCCAAGTAAGAAGAGGTTGAGTATAAGCTTACTAAAGCAAATGATATCTTGATATTGTGATATTTGCAAGAGTGTTTGCTTGAGACCGATGATGACAAATGCCTATTTGTGACACACAATATGATGTGTATTGATTAGTCTTACTGAGGTTGCAAGCTGAATTATTTTGTAACCTCAATTGATGCAATGATCAGTTGTAATTTTTTTCATAATCAATCATTGGTACCTTTTTCTTGCCTTTTAGCAAAACAACTGAATTCATGATTTTCCCCCAAAACACGTGTTTGCTGGGGATATTAATTAGGTGTCCATCTGAGGAATTTTCTGGGCTGTATCTTCAAAACTGTGGAACTCAACTTCACAAAACTTGTTGTATATATTAAATTAGTGTCCTGGTTGTGTTTTTTCCAATAAGGACATTTCATTTTTTATATTTTTTCTGTTACCATGGAAATGGTAAAAACACAAAATTATTGTTAACTTTCCTTTCTGGGCTATAACTTCAAAATAACCACTCAACTCCACAAAACTTTCTTTATATAATAGTTTAGTGCCCTAGTAACAATATTCTGGATTGTAAGCTAAACCTTTTTAAATCAAAACATTTTTTTATTCAAATCGCTCTGCATCCATCGTCTGTTCGTCAACAATAATTATTATCACTATTGCTTGTGAAGTACTGAATGAGTCTTTCTCAAATTACATATGTAGGTTCCCCTTGGTTCCTAGTTGTGCCTGTTTGATTTCGGGACTGATAAAAAAAACTCAAATGGCTGACAGGCAACCATCATGGATTTTTTCAATGAAGTTTATCACTATTTCATGAAAAGTAAGAGATGGATCCCTCAAATTTCTTATGTAGGTTTCCCTTAGTCTCTAGTTGTGTCCATATAATTTTAGACTGATCAGAAAAACAAAATGTCTGACAGAGGGCCATCCTAGATTTTGACTTTGGAAGTTTGTTTTCACTATTTCTTGAGAACTTCTGTATAGATATCTCACAAATTCCATACATAGGTTCCTTGTGGTCCCTAGTTGGAGTCTGTCTAATTTTGGGACTAATCAGAAAAACAAAATGGCCAACAGGCAGCCATCTTGGATTTTGCCTTGTAAAGATTGCTTTTGCTATTTCTTAAGAAGTGCTGAATGGATATTGATCAAATTTCATACATATCTTCTCTTTGGTCTCGCCTTGTGTTCATTTGATTTTGGGACTGATGAGAAACCAAATGGCTTCCAGACAGCCATTTTGGATTCGGCAGGTAAAGATTATCATCACTATTTCTGCAAAGGAATGTTTTCAAATGTCTTATCATTAAGAGCAAATACAGAGAAGGGAAAAGAAGGGAAAAGATCCAACATTCAAAGAGTATATAAATATCAAACAATGGTGGGCACCAAGATTCCTCTGAGGTCTCGTGTTTCCTTGTGAGTTCTGTGAGTAACTTATGTACCGGTGCGGCTTATGTAAGGACAAAAAAAAATATTGGAGGGATGAAAAAGAAAAAGGAGCTGGTGGGGGGTTGGGGGGTAGGGGTAATTGTTCTACTACACCAGTACAAGACGGTATCCTCCTATAATATAGAGGCTGCTGGTTGGCCTTTTACTTTCTGTCATTGTGCGACTGCAACTACACAGTGCCTTTCATAAGCTTCTCACCATGTAAAACCTCTAACATTGTTGGAGTAGAGATGGTACTTAGTGCCTTTTTACAAACTACCTGCCTGTCATTTTTACAAACTACCTGTCTTACCATATAGTAAGAAACAGTTCATCTTTTATTCTGGTGTGGCTTATTTGTAAACCTTTTTTTTTTAAATTGGCTCTGCAGCTCATATACAGGTGCTGTTTATAGCCTGGAAAATAAGGTAAAAAAAATTCTGTTACCATGGAAATGGGTAACCCTCATCACAAATTTAAGATTTTCTGGACCTGTGCTCTGAAACTGTTCAAGATAATTGCTCAAAACCTTTTACACCTTTTAAGCTAGTAGTATCTTTTGCTATGGGGAAGTTCTCCATTTAAAACCTTTCTATTACCATGGAAACAGGACCAAATAAAAAAGAACAGCTTTTTCAGACCTGTTCTCCTAAATCGTTCAAGGTAATTATTAAATACTCAAAACTTTGTACAGGCATCAACCTACTACTTCGTAGAAGTTCTCAATTTCAATACTTAGTATGGAACAATTAAAGATGACCAGTAGAAATTAAACTTCTTGCAATATTAACATTAATGATTGTGTATCTTTCATTTAAACAGCAAGGTTACATTATCTTGTTGGGATTATAAAGATACCAATTGCTTATAAATATTCATTCTTATGTCAATTCTAGGAAAGCCAGTTATTTCAGGTTAGATTTGCCAAAAAAAATACTACTTCAAAGGAAAAACATTTATTTTCAGTGAATATTGAATACAGTTGATTATGTAATATAATGACTACATGGGACAGCCTCTCTGATTTTAACAATTATTGATTATGGATTTTGCTCAATTTCCCATCACTTCCTTACATGAACATCTTCATATATCTAGAAACCTGGCAAAAGTTTTGTACTGATGACAGCACCATCCTGTATTTAAGTTGTATTTCAGTTTGCTTGAGACCGATGATGACAAATGCCTATTTGTGACACACAATATGATGTGTATTGATTAGTCTTACTGAGGTTGCAAGCTGAAATATTTTCAGAATGGTACTTAACCAGGATTTAAAACAAGTTGGAATTACCTTCTGATCATATATCAATAGTGTTGAAACATTTCGTCAGCTAATAACTTTACATTCAACCATGATAGTACAAGAAAATTAAAATGTAGACAGGCACCTGAAATATTTTTGTGATTAATGAGAGGGGGTCATGAAAACAAATGAGCTTGTTGAGTTGTGAAATGTGATCCAACTAACTGCCAACTGTTGGTAAGAATGGATATGATGTTAGGTAAAGAGGAATCCATCAGTGGTAGCATCAATTACTGCTTTAATGTAATATTGGAATATCTAAGATGTCAAACATTAAAGGTGAAAATTGAACACATCTTAACAAGGACACTTCATCAATATCAGCTTCAGATGATTTGACGCAGCTTAAATGTTCTGGACTGGAATAAACCAATAATTTCATTATCAACAAATCGGTATTTTACTCTTTTTCGCCTTTTAACTTCGTAGGCAACAATGTGAACAAAATGAAATATTTCAAAAATTTTCATAATTATAAGATCAGATTTATTTTTAGACTCTGTTCCTATTTTGAATTTAATTTTACTTGCAGTCAGAGAGGCACTTCATCATGCAGGTTGTCTGTGAAGCTACTCAGTCAACAGATACAAGGGTAAGTGAACAATTCATAATTAACATACTTCACTAGATCAGTGATTAATCTTCATTTAAAACATGGGGACCTTTTCCACCGCAAAAAAAGAGAGCAAATAATTGGACATTCCCAATATATATAGTATGTTCAGTCTCCCAATTTTATGGGACAGTTTAGAAAAAAGTGTTTCATTTGTCTGGGGATTTAAACATGGATTCATTACTGCTAGAATTTAAAATGTGTTACCCTTAAAACGGAACTTTTTCTGAAAGCATGGGAGTATTATATGTATTTTTGCACTGCCCCAGTGTCCAATATGAATGGTGTGATATGAATTGTTTTTGTTACAGGTGAAAGTTGCAGCAATGCAGTGTCTGGTGAAAATTATGTCTCTCTACTATAGCTATATGGAACACTACATGGGACCTGCCTTATTTGCTGTAAGTTACAAATGTATAGTTTGTTCTTTCTGTTACATACAGAAGAAAACAAGCTTTTATCTAGATTTGAAAGTTACAGTCGCACATACAGGATTCTTTCACTGAAAAAAAAGTGCCATGTTCAACAGGGCTCCAAGAACACCTGAAGTACAGGTCGCCCAATGGCAACCTGTTGAAATTTTTACCCGCCATTTGAAATTTTAGGTCGCCATCAACCAAATTTTTGGTCGCCATTTTAGAAATCATTTATTGAAACTCTTGTCAAGTTTTACTTTATTTATTTGTAACATCAGTTGTTTTATTAATAAAAAATAAACCTCTTATAATGTACTTTTCTGGGGCTTACAAACCATCTTGAAATGTATGCATAATTTGTCTAATCAATTAAAAATATATATATAATGCGAAATTTTATTTTCATTAATTTTTTCAATTATTGTTGTTAAATTTCAGTTACAAATATCTATGTGTATGTTTACAATCTGCATGTGCATGTTCCAACTCCACTAGCTCAAGCAACTCTGTCTCAACTTTTCCCTCACTGATATAACGCACAACTGCCTCATTTTCTTTTACTGACGTATCTGTACTTGCATCTATTATTAAACTGAAATACATATTCTTTCTGAGGTTTTCAGTCAGTTCAGATTTCATTTCATCACTAATACAGTGAATCATTTCTACACGCTTCATATCATTTGCATAATTGTTATTGATTTCTAACCCATTCCTTCGTTGCATCTCCAGTAATGATTTAAATTTTATAAAAGGCATTTCTCTTTTGCAATAGTGTATGCAGTTATGAATTTAACAGACATGTCTTTCATTGCCTTCTCTTCTTTTTTTTTGTTCAATTCTCTGAAAGTTTGCCTGCACCGTAGCTCCTGTTTGTTTACTTTTGACAACAGAATCCCTCACAGAAATGTGCCTTTTGCTCGACCCATGAATTGTCAAACACTCCCTTTTAAATGACGATCATCCTGTACTGACGAAATCTGATTTACCAGCCAACTGTGGATACAACTGACATAGATGGCAAAACATTTTTCCATCTCTTACCTTAAGCCAAATGAATTCTTTCAGCCATTTTGCTGCTATTTTTCATTTCCCAGAATGACACGATTCTCTGTGGTCATCAGTAGTATTTTTTCTGTCTGGTCTTTATCTGAGGGTCGTCTTCGGGGGGTTTAGCCTTTTTACTTTCTCCAGAGCTAGATTTGAAGCCAAAATCGGCAAGCGTCCTCTTCGTCGCCATTTTGTTTTTTAACCGGAAAGCGTTGTAAACGTAGAGTCAAATCGGTCAACACTTATTTTTCCGAAAATTCCGGGGTTTTTTTGGTCGCCAAATGTCGACTGTGCATAAATTTTCAGTCGACATTTTGAATTTTTGGGTCGCAAATGTGACCATTTTAGTCGCAACTTGGAGCCCTGTTCAAAATCATCAATATTAAGGTTTTCCTGAGTTTTGAATTCAGCGGTTTACTCCATGGCTATAGGAATGTCATCCATAATATTTGGTTTAACAAGGGTCTTTATTTACATTTTCATGTTTAGATGTGTGTACTCTAGAATGAGAAAATTTTCATTAAAACTGGTTGTAACACAACACCACCATATGGTTACAATTAGTTTATTTCCCTTGCGTTGTGTTTACACATGTCTGCTTCTTCCTTTCTCTCCTGCTCAGTCTCTCTCCACAAGCTGTTTTCTCTCCTTCCATCACAAATATCCCATATACTAAAGTTGAGCATCTTTCCTTCCATCCTACCCATTGTGCATATTAAAAAGGCAGGTGCGACTAAGAGTACCAATTATCAACTCCCTGATCCACCTTGTGTATTGTTACTGATCTCCCTGCCCTGTCACAAATTATCCATCACCAGCAGTCGCTGGCTGACAGCTTGACAGCCAATGGTCCATGATTTCCCCCTACTAACAAACTTTGCAGCCGAACCTGTTCATCAATTTTTGTTGTTTTCCTATAACGACTTTTGTTCGTTCTATCGAACATACTGTTTGTACCCATACTTAACTGCTCTGATACTTGATATATTGTAGTTAATTAAATCAACATCATTCTAACTAATTATCATTCATTTTGTTACATACTCTGAAAGATAACTCTGAAATTCTTGGAACAAAATTAGGTTCAAATTTTTGGAAAATTCACGTATGTTACATACTAATAATTTAATGGTTGAAACTTTCTGATTTTAAAATGGACTGTAGTGGTTTAATTCTATCAATTGTACCCCTACATCAATCTAAAGCTAATGACTGTAACAAAGGGATTTATTTCATAGCTTTCAATAAGATCTGTTTTGAATTAACAATTTTGAAAGAATTTTATTAATTACAGATTACCATGGAGGCTATGAAGAGTGAAGTAGATGAGATTGCCCTTCAGGGGATAGAGTTCTGGTCGACGGTCTGTGATGAGGAGGTGGACTTATCCATTGAGTTGTCAGAGGTTATACAATATTTCAATATAATATTTAAATGTTAACATTTCACAATAAATGATCATGGGATGTAAATGACAGGGCCCTCACACCCAAGTTTAGGACTGGGGCCCAGGGCCCTTAGAATTGGGAAAAATAATGGTGTTTTCCTTAGAATTGGGAGAACTTGGGTTTAAATTGGGAAAAAAAGATACTATTTTGCATTGGGAATTAGGCCCCAAATCTGGCAAATCAAGAGCCCTGAATGATCATTGGATGGAAACGCTGTATCAAATTCCACTGAACAGTTTGGACTTTTTAGAAACATTGTTCCGTGTTTGATAGATCAAGGATCTTGCAGAAGTTTGTATCCAATTGCTTTTTATTGCCTTTTGATGAATTGAATGAAAGCTCTTTCATATCAGTATGATTGGAATTTTTGTGATTCATGTTTGTTGTTTAGGCGGCGGAGCAGGGACGACCACCAGAAAGAACAAGCAAGTTTTATGCCAAAGGTGCTCTTCAGTACCTTGCTCCAATTCTGCTTCAGTCTCTTACCAAGCAGGTAATGCATGTACGTATTACCAGTTCTTTTTTTAAACTAACTCTTTACTAAGTTAAGGGCTGTTCCAGAACATGCATTCTGCAAGGACATATGAAAATAAGTCTTGTATAAAAATTATGTCGAAAAAATAATTCTTTGAAAGCAACATCATCTATTTCTGATTTCTGTCATTTGAAGGGGCATATGGAACAGCCCTGAATTCGCTGAATTACATTTTTTATTGGGTTGCCAACATACATTATTGATGTGGCTAATATGTAGTCATTGTTAAACCCTATCCTGGCTTGTCTTTTGTGCCTTTGACAAAATGTTAGTCCAGTGAGATGTTAATCACAGAAATGATTTACAAAGTGGCTTTCTGTTCGAATTATTATCCCCATCTATGATGAATTGACAAATAAACCCGGTATAGAACTGGGTTTTTTTTCCAGTTGTCCTGTTCAAAGTAATACAACTTCTATTCCTATTTCTTCGGATAGAGAGTATTTTTGGTCATTTTATTTTTTGGTCATATACTTGGCAAACCAGCAGAAATACATGTCTTGCACATCATGAAATTCTAAACTTGTAGCGAATGATAAAAGTTACCCTTGTGATATTATCAATTAAATTACATACTTAGTGGTCTAACAGTTTACACACTTGTAATAAGCCATGTTCACTTACCCAACATGTGAATTTTTGAATTAATGAAAATCAGTTGTCACTTATCAAGATATATTGAACCTGGATTAGCAGCTTTTAGATTGCATATTTTAAATGTGTCCTGGGCACAGTGGCATGGTGGTTTGACAGAACATAACTTCATTTACTTGAATCATTCCAGGTCTACTGTTGAGGCAGTAAAATAATCTGTTATTTTTGTGTACACAAATTTCCCCATGGAAGAGTAGGAGTGCATAAGAAATTCTTTCCCATTTACAAATATTCACTATACAGTCTTCTAGTGACAGACAAGCAAAAAAATCTGTTACACAGTTTGCGATATGTCTGCATTTTTAATTTGTAGCTTGCTTTGGTTTTATAAACTGGAAACAACTTTCATTTGATTTAAAAGAAACATTTAAATATTTAGGGTAATAATATGAAAACTAATGTCAGCTTAATTATAAAAATTGTTTATAAAAGTTTGACCTGTTTCAAGCTCGTATATGTGAGATGTATTGTGAATGGCATTGATGATAGACAGGTGAGTGGCCCAGGTCTAGTTGACATTTTTTTTATTAAATCACATTGTTCCAGTTGTATCTGCTGTTGCTCACATGCTATTTTAAACTAATTTGTTCCAATAGTACTAATTCTTTCAATTAATGCTTTTGTTTTGAGTTAAATGGGTTTTCTTTTTCCAGGTGATATGTGGAAATACTCTTGTAAACATTATTTTCAAAAGTTCATTTTTTCCATACAACAGCATGCTGAAATAATTAGGTATAGACCTATAAGCATAAATCTATGAAAATGAGTCTTTATGAAGTTCAACTACCAGACTCTCCCCGCATTATACCCAGTGTCTATAATAGAATGTTTTAACATCAGAAATATAAAATTACCTGTAGATTTATTTCCTGACTTGAATTTTGCATGTTAATTTAGAAATAGAGGAGATCAAAGATAAACATCCTTAAAAACAATGTATAGAATGATGATGACATGTCGTAAAGAAATGAAATAACTTTTTAGATAGTTAAGACTTTAGATAGTTAAGACATACACAGTTCTATCAGGTATTCCCATTTTCACAGTAATTGAATTTTATCCTGTCACACATTGTGAAAAGCTTCTTGGTGACACTTTTGTTACAAATAATAATGAAATGTTGTATAAACTTCTTGGTGACTCAGTTGTGACAAGTAATAATGAAATGTGGTATAAACTTCTTGGTGACTCAGTTGTGACAAGTATTTAATTACTGCTTCCATACACATCATTTCAAATTTCTTATGTCCATGAATTACTGCTAAGCACTGAGAAGATTCTTTTCGAATCAGTGGTGAAAAAATATCCATGAATCACATAAACGCACTGATAGACTTCAGGCAGGGTTGGTATAGAATTACTGCTGTTAATCATTTGTTAAAGCAGAAAATCCTTTAGTGATTTTCAAATCTGATAAAAGTTTATTTTGCATGAATTTATGAAGATGATAAATGTAACCTAAGATCAAATGCTTTCATGAATATTCACAGTGAAATTTAATATTGATAATTGGTTGTCACAAGCAAAGAAAAATTCCCTTCTTCATTGAATGAATAGAACTCTTAAAATCCAAACATTTGGAGTGCAATAGTGACAGGTCTTAGAAGAGTAAGTTACCAAAATGATATACGAGGAGTATTAAAGGGGTTGTAGGGTAAGAAGGATTTAGAAGTTATAAACTGGGGATATTAAAGGGGTTGTAGGGTAAGAAGGATTTAGAAATTTGCCTTTGTGTTTGATGTAAAGTGACCTAAATTTGTAAAAGGTTGAAATTGATCTATGTACCCTTGTTTATGGCTCAATGCCTGTTTTGTAGGAGGAACTTGATGACGATGATGAATGGAACCCATGTAAAGCTGCTGGTGTGTGTCTGATGTTGATGGCCAACTGTTGTGAAGATGATATTGTTCCTCATATTCTACCGTTTGTAAATGACCACATTCGACACCCAGACTGGCGCTTTAGAGATGCTGCTGTTATGGCTTTCGGCAAGTTCTTTTTTATCTCTCGTAAACAGGTTTTACAAGAAACGTCATCGTTATGTTAATAGTTTATCACCTGTGGTACTGGCATGGCAGGTAGCCATGCTTTGACTCAAAGTAGAGAGATACGTTACAGGAAAAGGATAAGAAATTGGTGATGTTTCTACTTGCTGCATAATGTGGACCCGGCATGTATTACTTGCTGTAAAGAATGTCTGCATTATTAGCGTCGGGATTTGGTATTCTCAGCTAAAGATTAAAATGTTTCTTATTTTCGACGCTAAATTTTAGGGCTATCACAGGTACAAATGTTTGGGCCCCGGTACCCAAATTTTAATACTCAACCTGTACCTGGTTACCCAAATTTAATCTGATATTGTAATGAAACATAGTGTTACCTTGTTGAAAGGGCTTGTAACTTCGGGGAACCAATAAAAATAAACCATATACATTGTATGAACTCCTGTTTCACTGACAATATAATTGTATTCCTTGCTTTGTATCTTGCAACTGTGTTCTAATTTTTAATGATCTGGAGACGCATCGCATCGGGTCTAAAGTTGACAAAACGTGCCCGTTGAGCTTACCGCAAACATGGCATGATGGTGTTACTTCCACCTATGCAATAGGAAGTACAGTGGGATTGAGACATTACCGTATTTGACAAGAGTTATTGTTCTAGACATCATTGGAACAACACCAGCAAAAGTTTCAACCCAAAATCAAAACACATTAAAATATATAAATAAGAACGTTTAATTCAAACCATTAATTTTGGAATCCTCAAGTGTTATCCCGGGTAACTGGGTAAAGTACAGTATACAAGTCTGTTGTGTATACACAAATGTTTGACGGTTCCCGAACCGACATGCTGTTGTGAGAAAACTAAAGTACAACAATGTTCAATGTGGAAATGTAACAAGTAGATAAAATGTCATCCTTGGTGAATTAAAACAGAACAAATGAGTGAGATATTGTATTACTTTCATAATCTAAAAATGTAAACACAGACGGAAGACAGAATGTTTTCTATTTTGAGGGTATTGAGGTTACCCGGGTACACATTTTCGCACCCAGTTATATCTCAAACCCAACCCAAATAAGGGTACTCAGGTACTTGTTACAGCCCTACTAAATTTGAATTTAGTGCTTACACAAGTGCCTGTAGTAACCTTTTATTGTAATCTAGTTTCATATTTCTAATTCAATTTCTAATGTTTTTAGGCTCCATATTGGAAGGACCTGACCCAGCCAAGCTAAAACCTGTTGTGGAACAAGCAATGAGAATGCTTATTGAATTGTTAAAAGACTCCAGTGTTGTTGTACGTGATACTGCGGCATGGACCGTAGGTCGTGTTTGTGAAATGTTGCCTGATGCAGTTATCAACGAACAATGCCTAAACCCATTGTTAGTAGCTCTGGTGGAGGGGCTTACAGCAGAACCAAGAGTTTCTAGCAATATTTGTTGGGTAAGTAGAAGGAGCAAATTTACAGTATCCAGGGTTTTCTGTAAGAGCTGGTCGCCGGCCAATTTGACCGGCTACTTTGATCATTTGGCTGCCTAAACCAATCCAGTTCCGTAATAATGTTCCGTACACGACTACACGTACATGGCAGGCCAGCCTCCTACTTTCACTACACAGCCTACTACTAACAAAATTATGGAAAACCCTGGTATCCATGCAAAATAGTAATACTATTCTGACTTCCACATTTAACTTATTTCTAGAGTCACTAATACATTTTTGGCTCAAAATTGAAAAATAGATTTTCATATTATGGTTTTTGCTGATTTTGATTAATATTCTATTCGATTAATTCTATTGCAGAAATGCACCAAATGTGTCATATGTAATGGTGCTAGAACATCCAGTTTCTAAAGATATGTTTTATTTAGTCTTTTCTGGAAGAGTGATGTTGTGTCTTGTGATTGACAGGCATTTTCTAGTCTAGCTGAGGCAGCGTACGACACTGCTGCAGAGGCAGCTGATGAGGGAGCTGAACCCCAGACCTATTGCCTATCCACCTACTTTGAAACCATTGTAGAAAAACTAATAATTACAACAGATAGGTAAGCTGTACAGATTTGTTAATGGAGGTTATGAAAAGACAAGATGGTTCTTGTTTCTGAGGAAGCTGAGATTACATACTATACTGTTGTGGTTGTGTCCTAGAGCAACTTGTTACACCCCATGTTGCTCAGGGTAGTATTCAACGGGCCTTCTGCATGATGTTCACTGAGGTAGCCACTAGCCTCAAAATGATTTTATATAAATCTCGGTATGTTGTGCACTGTAGCCACTGAGCATATATGTGATTGCAGAGGGGTAAAAAATTATCAAACAGAGGAAAGGAGTTTACCGGTACGTCTTGGCCAAACTCTAAATAAGGATGTTTGGTTAAAAATACCAAAAAAAATTAGTTACAATAAAGAGTATGTGGTATGTTCTATGTATATGATGTAATTTATGTAATACTTGTGTCTTGATAAAGGGGCAGATTGCCTTGAAAATTTGACAATTCACTTATCAATACTGTTATTATTTCATTGATCATATATCTATTCTAGTAATAAGCATCAAACAAACGTTTGTTATGATCCAGTTTACATGGAAACTGACCCATTTGATTTAAATATCTCTGACAAAAACCCTAACAAACATTTTAGTTGAAATAACTATTTTTTTTACTTCAGGGCTGATGGAAACCAACACAATTTAAGAAATGCTGCATATGAAGCACTTATGGAAATGATCAAAAATAGTCCAAAGGTGAGTGGTTTTCATAAAAATGATTTTAAAAATAGTTGATTTTGATATACAGAAATATTTACATAGTCTATGAAAACTATTACAATATAAACATATGTCAAATAGTGACAGTTGCAGCAGCAAAGTTTGTATCAGGTAGCTATTAATAACCCTATATGACTTTCATTACCTTTTTTTGGTATGAATACAAATGTATTGGGCATGCTATGTTAACAGTGTAATATGATTACTTATGTTTTGTAAAATGATTTTTTTGTTTTCTTTTCAGGATTGCTATGCAATAGTACAGAAAACAACTTTAATTATTCTAGAAAAATTGAACCGAGTCCTTCAGATGGAGGTTTGTCTGGCATTATTACTTTTTTTTCTGCCACAACAGAAAAAACAAAATCAAAAGTTAAATTCAGGATTTGTAGTTCAAAAGGATTGCTTATATATTTGTACTTTTTCAGAGTCACAAAAATTTTGGGGTTTCTCTTGTGCTAAAATTGTTAGGATTTCTAATTTATATTCCTGTTTACACTTTTGAATTTCCAATTCCACTGAAGACAAGAATTAAATCTATTAAATCTAAGAGTGCATTGTGACAACTTTTTTTTTTTTTTTTTTTTGCAGAATATGATTCAGATGTCTGCAGATCGAGCTCAGTACAATGACTTGCAGTCACTTCTGTGTGCTACTCTACAAGTTAGTAACTTTAGCAGGTTATGCGCAACAGCATGATAATGAATTGTCCCCTGTACATCAAATAGAAGTTCTCATAACACAACCAGTCGAAGATTTGAGTGTGACATTACCAGGACGACATGGTCACCTTCATCAGACAAATGACCAGTATGGAGCATACTAGCACTCGCTTACATAGAAACGTGACAATTTAAATCTTCTACTGGTTGTGGTATAAGAACTTCCGTTTTGTTTACATTACCTACCTGAAGAAAATGTACTGAAAGGGACCCAATACATGCCCAGAGATAAGCTTTCAATCATTCTCTTTCAGTTCAGGAAAATGATAAAACCAAAATGATAATTTTTGGCACCATTGCAACACATGAGCTTATTCACTTGCTTTTCACAACATAACTACTTCTGGTCCTGGTTAGTGAAAAATATTTTTCCGACAAATTAATCGAAGTTTGGATCATTCTTTAACATATTACAGTTGTAGATTTGTTGAGATATACAGACACTGCCCACTGGTAAAATCTGACTAACCTTTAAGCAACCAGGGCCAGTTTGTCAATATCTTCATTAATAGTAGTCATATTTTTCTTTAAACTGTCAGATTGAAGAGATAAACCCCCATACATGGGTCGATAAAGACCTAGATCTGCTACATAGTGTAGCCCCCTTGTGAAGTGCTGGCACTGCTATAAACATTTTAAGTCCATTTCAGGTACATTTTGGTTTAGTTTTTGTAACAAGAAGTGTTAATGTTTTGTAGAGTGTTCTAAGGAAAGTAACCCCTGAGGATGCACCAAAGATCTCGGACCAGGTGATGACAGCCCTTCTCAGTATGTTTTCAAGTTCCGCAGGCAAAACAGGTGGTGTTCAGGAAGATGCTTTACTAGCTGTGTCCACACTCATTGAGGGTTAGTGTTCATTATAATGGAATGACATGGATCTCTGATCCAAAAATATCTAGAATTAATGTGATTTAGCTTTTGATAACAAGGATGTATTTGTAAAGAACAGATATTTTGAGATATGTATTTAGATATAATATCAAAATTTGCAGCCACATGGTATGTACTTTAGAGGAGAGAATTAAAATCTTCCCACCATCTGACCTAAATAGCCAAGAAGTTCACCAGATTTTATCTGGTGTCATGGATAAAAACAGGTTCTTAACCTCAGACTTTGGAACTTCTTCACACATCTTTGGTCACCTCAGACTTTCGAACTTCTTCACACATCTTCTGTCATGCTATATATGTCATTCTGTATTATTCTTTACAGTACTAGGAGATTACTTTATCAATTATATGGAAGCTTTCAAACCATTCCTGCTGATGAGTTTGAAGAACTTTGAAGAATATACAGTAAGTAGCTAAACTGATCAACTTTTTACTTCCTAACAATGGAATTGAATCTGATGCCAGGCTTTTCAGAACTTTCCATGATACAGCATGTTTTATCATGCTTGATATAAATCGTTCTTACTCATTGATAATATGTTTTGCCTTATTTTATGACCAAAAAGATTGTTTCGATATGCTTAAAATTGAGTTATTTTCCAAAAACAGAACTCCAATTTTTGAGCTTAGAAAAACTTGTAATTCTGACTTAATATTAACGATACAGCTAGTCAGCACTTAGATTCAGGTAGAAAAAATAAATAAGAAATATGGGTTGTCGTTATATATAAAGTAGTTATAAAGGGATGTGTCTGTGCATATGCTTGAAATTGCATATATACCTGTATTCTCACAGAAACATTTGTGTGGATCAGTGCTATAATAAAGCTTTAATTTTCAGGTGTGTTTAGCATCAGTAGGACTGGTTGGAGATCTGTGTCGGGCCCTAGGACCTAAAGTCTTGACTTACTGTGATGAAATTATGACCATGCTTTTGGAGAATCTAGGGGTAGGTGCTTCAGATTATTTTCAGTACCTAGATGTTTATTAGTTTTTCGACATGTACAAAATATGCTTTTAAATCATCTTTTGTTTTTCACATTCGTTGAAAATTATTTACATAAATGAAAACAGTTTTCTTAATGATTATCAAAATTTCTCAATTTACGAAACATTGTGACCAAAAATGAAAATCCTTTTCACAATAGCATTGTAGTTGATGAATACATATATAATTTACGTTGCTAGAATTCAACTGTCCACCGATCTGTGAAGCCCCAGATTTTATCAGCATTTGGGGATATTGCTTTAGCTATTGGTCCCAGTTTCAAGCCTTACCTGGAATATGTGCTAAACACTCTACAGCAAGCCTCACAAGCACACGTTGACAAGGTGAGGTCTTAAACATTACATATATATCTTTCATTAACACAGTTAATATCATCAGACTTGCACAACTAGACATAGTGTCACTCACTCATTGACAAAGCTTTAAATACCGAATAATCACAGCTCCAAGAAAAGTTGTCTGTTTTGTTTTTCTCTGCTTTTCTGAAGGTTATCCCCCAACATTGAAGTCTTTAATTTCTGAAATTGTTCAATATATATACTGTTGTGATTTAGAAATTCTCAAAGACAAAATTTTTTGAAAATGGAACAGTTGATATGCAGATTCACAAACAGCATGACACTTCTGGAATTTCAGGATGGATAAAAGGTTATTTTAAAACCTGTCATTACAAAGGCTTTAGCACTATGTAATGACAGCTTCCACAAAGTCAAAAAATTTTCAGACCCATCAATGTGACTATCTCGTGTGTTAATCTTGAATTTCCAAGATGTGTGTAATTGCTGTTTCAGACTGACTATGACATGATCGACTACCTAAACGAGTTACGTGAAGGATGTCTAGAAGCCTACACTGGAATAGTACAAGGTCTGAAAGGAGATGGAGAAACACCAAGTTGTAAGTGAAGATATCCTCTAACTTTGAGTTTGTTACAGCAGTCTCCTGCCAGTGTTCTGCTTACTTTCACAACTTTAAAGAGTCTGTCCTGTAGCTATAAATAGGTTCCTGTCAGTACCCATTAGCTTACTGTTACATAATGTAGAGTCCGTCCTGTAGCTATAAATAGGTTCCTGTCAGTACCCTTACTGTTACATAAAGTAGAGTCCATCCTGTAGCTATAAATAGGTTCCTGTCAGTACCCTTACTGTTACATAATGTAGAGTCAGTCCTGTAGCTATAAATAGGTTCCTGTCAGTACCCTTACTGTTACATAATGTAGAGTCCGTCCTGTAGCTATAAATAGGTTCCTGTCAGTACCCTTACTGTTACATAATGTAGAGTCAGTCCTGTAGCTATAAATAGGTTCCTGTCAGTACCCTTACTGTTACATAATGTAGAGTCAGTCCTTGCTATAAATAGGTTCCTGTCAGTACCCTTACTGTTACATAATGTAGAGTCAGTCCTGTAGCTATAAATAGGTTCCTGTCAGTACCCTTACTGTTACATAATGTAGAGTCCGTCCTGTAGCTATAAATAGGTTCCTGTCAGTACCCTTACTGTTACATAATGTAGAGTCAGTCCTTGCTATAAATAGGTTCCTGAAAAATAAAGTTAACATAAGTTTATAGTTTGGTTATTGCTTGTTTCAGCTGACATTGATCTAATCCAGGGTCAGGTTGGTCACATAATTTCCTTCATCGAACACATTGCTCTTGACGAAGATCACAGTGATGACAATATAGCAGCCAGCTGTGGGTTGATAGGGTAAGTTGTCCAGCCATGTTTTAGATGTATGGTTCTTGTGTACAGTGTAGCAGGAATGAGTGTAAAGTCAGGGTGTATTTCTTCATATAGGAATTGTGTTGCTTCCCATACTGGTGTAAGCCTATTCACTATTGGCATTGGAAATGTTTGTTCATTTGCACATTTCAAGAAATTACATTTACTTTGTTGAAAAAACTGTGAGCTGAAACATTGTGGTCTTATCAACCAAAAACGCCTGTTTGTGACACTTGGCAAGAATAGAACTCCTTGAATGTATGGTGCCTGTTTTTAAGTGAAACAGTGTTGCTATTGAAGAAGGGTTACACAATCACAAGAACAACACATTCTATAGAATTGGAATTTCATTCTTGTGTCACCATGTTGGATTCTATTCCATATGAAGATGATTTGTGTAAAACAATGTCAGCAGAAATGTGTTAAAAATGAAGGTTCAGTTGTTAACCAAATTATTCTTTGATGTAGTATGATAAAAGTGATTAGAGTAAGCTAATACTATACCCTGTGATCAGCTGGTTTATGTACAGTAACACACAGACAAATCAAAGTTGACATGACCAAATGAAATATTAGACTTATCTGATGGTTTGACTTAACCGTGTTTCTATGAACGGAGACATTATGCATCAAAGATTGACCCTATTTCATCAATTGATTACCGGATACGTGTCCCATAGAATGGCATGACAGTAATAAGTAATAGATAGATACATTGATTAATTATTCCCTCAGCCCTAACTATAAATATTAATTTATACAGGACAGCTTAATCAATATGTATCATCTTTACAAATTTTTTTATAGTACTTTGAGTTTAAGCTGTAAAGATTTGTTGCAAAGAATTTTCTTTTCTTAAACTCGTGATTAATATGTAAATATTGGGTAAAATTCTAGAAGAAAGAAGACAAAGATCAGAAATATTTATTCAAATGCATATGAATAAATTTCAAAATAATTGACAACAGTCAAATTTTATGAGGAATTTTTTCAGCTTCCATATAAACAAATAGATAATGCATAAATGTATAGATATAGAAATACAGTTCAAAGATGTAGTGATGACAATGAAATTAACTCTAACCACACTGTAAGAGCTTACACCGTAAAACAGAATGAGATAAAAACTTATCCAGTATATGTAGTTAATCATAAAGTGATATGTCAATGGCAATCTTAGTTATTGCTTGTTTTTTTCCTTTTGGTTTCCATTAGCCATGCACACAGAACACCGTAGATTGATGATTAACAGACTAGTGTGTTTTATATCGAGTTTGGTTGTCTGATTCTTTATAAATTCAAACTTTCATCTTTGCACTCGTATAAAAGCAGGGATTAATGTTCGATGGAAACTTACAATAGGGCTCAAATTATACTGACCAATCACACTCGTTCATTTTGACTGAAACCAGGAATTTTTTTTACCAGAGAAAAGGTGATGCATGAATGTTCAACTCCAAAGAAGGAAATTTAGGTGTAAATGTAGAAGGGATAGACCACAAAATGTTTGACACAAACTCATCATTTAACTCTGTGTTCAAATCATCCATGTTTAATTCACTAAGTTAAAGAAGAGAAAAAAATCAAGACTGAACAAAACATTTGACTCCTCTAATGTATTCGATTCAAGTATGTGTTCGACACAAACAAGTTCTACTCTAGTTGGAAGTTGAGATGTGAACTGTGTTAGACTGCTTTTTTCATACCTACTTTAAGAATACTGAATTGTTGGTTCAAAAATTTACTTTTGTAAAACCCCAAATATCCTTTTTAATGGAAGTTGAAGGGGATGGGGGGAGGAGGAATATGCCATACAAAACTTGTATTAAATCAGTACCCTTTGCCTTCAGAAACTGGTGGTATATTTCACCCCTAACAATTTAGATATGTAGGAAAGTGCTTGAAATCCTTGGATACAGGTGTTAAATTTCACCAATTCGGGTTTCTGTACCCTCATTTATAGTAACTGTGATTAAACAGGTATATCAGTTACTAATTGTTCCTTTCTTTCCTTAGTGACCTCTGTACAGCATTTGGTATGAAGATTCTTCAGTTGGTTGACAAGGAACCTATTACAGCCCTTTTGACTAAAGGACGTCGCTCTAAAGCCACCAAAGCAAAGACGCTGGCAACCTGGGCTACGAAAGAGATACGTAAACTGAAGAATGCCGCTTCATGGTAATGTTATTTTGATTGTTGCCGGATGCATGTTTTGGTGTGTGGTTTGCGCAAACCATATTATCTAGAACCAGTATTTGAGAGGTCACGTTGACCAAGTGGTCAAGGTGTCTGACCATCTTTATCACTAGTCCTTCAACTTCTGGTCGCAGGTTTCATGATTGTCAAATTTTGGGAATTTCACTTCAACAAAATATAGTTACAATTGAGAATGGGACCCATTATTGACCTAAAAAAATCCTTGCTACATGAATAACATTTTTAAAAAAAACTATGCAAGCCATAATTAGTTTTTGTTTTCTGTTATTTACAGAAGGTGACATGGAATAATCCTCTACTCCTATGTGACATTCGGATACCGTAAATGTCCGTTTTGACATCAGCTCGTCCAACGTGGCGAATTGCATTGAGTGAGAGAAGAGCGAGAGGAGAGAGAGAGAGTGTCCACTAATCTGGCTCTGGCTGAGCGCCTTGTTATCCGGGACTCCTGAGCCTCCCGATCTCCAATGGACAGCGGGCAGAGTTACAAACAATTCCACAGTGCCCTCACCAGGGCTCACACTTACTGAGGAAACTCTGGGGAACACACAGATCAAATTCCAGGGAACACACCTAGCGAGCAAACTCCACACAAAGAGGGAACTCCAGGGAAAATGTTAATTGAGGAAACTCTAGTGAACTTTGAGGACTTGCAGAAACCCTGAAAACGCAGTCTTTCATTACAAACTACAAGTGGGTTTCCTAACAATGTGATAAAGACCGGTATTGTGACAGTGTAACGTCACATTGTCGCAGTTGATCATGAATTTACTACATTTTGAACTATAGTTACTTGTATGTATTTCCTATTAAGTTATGAACAGTTTTCCATAATATATTTTGCCGAATGTTGTATTAACATGTGATATTTTTGCAAGCTCTAATGTTGGAGTTTTTCCTCTGAAAGATGTGGTGACACATTATTTCTCACATTGTGATATTTCTTTGTGTTTTGGAAGTCCTGATTTTGCATGCAATTACAGAGATTAAGTTTAAAATGTAGTTTTTTCATGGTCAACAGTGTCTATATACACAAAGACATCCACAGGAGAGAGTGTATCCGTGCCAAGATTTACTGAGTGCAGTACAGTCCTTACAAACCTACTAAATAAAATATCTATCACTTTTATCCTCTTCCTGACATTTCCGTATGACGTGAAATATTTCCTTTTTCGTATATTGTTTTTTTGGTTCCTTGTGTTTACAACTGATTATTTTGGCTGAATGCAATTCAATTAGTGATTTTATTTTATAAATGCACTTTTTTTGTAGATCTTTACAGTCAACTTTATGTGTCAGTTATCAGTTTTCATAATCATGACCAAAAAATTCACGATATCAACTTAATGACAAAAGGTTTGGATTTATTCTTAAGTGGTGCTACTGATAACTCCCTTTTTAAACACAAATGTCTGTGTTGAAATGGGTCAGAAAGAAATGAAACTTCGTCTCATTCACAGAATTTATTAGATTGTCATATTTGAGTGAAAGAGCCCACTTTCAAAACAGAATTTAAAACTCTAATAAATTGTTTCTAGTGATACGTTACATTCACATCATACTTGCATACATAAAGCCAAAATATGATTGTGTCAATTCCGTTTCCTTTTTTCTTTTTTTATTTGTTTTTGCCCCTAAACCTTGAGGACTGGCGCTGTATCTTACAGATTCCATTACTATAGTGTACAAGAGGCTCTATATATTTCTACATTAGTGCTTACGACGAGAAGTGCTAACATTTCTGGGTGTTACATTATTTTTTTGCCTATTTCATTTTGGTCATTTTGCAAAGCAGAATGACACCTAAATTTTATCATTGTCAAAAAAATCCAATTTAAAGCTCAGAAATATACAAGCTTTAGTAAATAATGCCTATGTTGTTGTCTTTTTTCCTCGAAACTGGGAACATTTGGTTGCCATCGTGCAGACTTTACTAAACTTGGGAACTAATTTCAAAGCATTTGAGAAGGAAGGTTCGGACTTGTTAACTGTTTGCCTGCTTGTGACGCTTCGGTTAAGTCACAATATGTTCGTGTGGTGTAATAGCCCATGGATTTTAGGATACACGGGAAGGAGATGGGGCATGACAAGAGAATGGTAAATTTCTAGAGAAATTCAGTCGTGCGTAAAATGTCACTGGGACTAAAACCATTGAAGTAGAAACACCTTTGGATAACGGTTTCAGTTAGAAGTAGTAGAGAAAGAAGTCTCCTTTAACAGAAGTTTCTGCTACCTTTTTTAGTACTGTCAAAACAAGGTTTTTGTGATAATTTTTACTAAGTGGAATTAATGTGTGAATTGTAAAGAACCCAAAGAGCATTTGATCAAAACATAATACTCTTCTTAAATAATTTAATTTCTTTATCAATGATATTTGATTTTTACAAGCCCGTTGAACATTTTGACGGAACGTATGGCAGTGTTTGCTCTTTCTATTTAACTTGTATGTCTGGATTCAACTGATCTTTCTCGTTATGACATTAAGTGATGCTTATCCAGAATGTCATTTGGATTCACGTGTTTTCATAATGTTGCTCTTAGATTTCCTCTCGGGTTTCATTCAACTTGTTATTCTTAATAACTGACCAAGTAGTTTTTTCCTACACGGGGCTATGATTCAACAGTTTAAAACGAGATAGGCTTTATAAGCATTACGAGAAATGTTATCCTTAATGATACGATGAACTTGCAATTTTTAGAAGAGTTGTTGTCCTTTTTTAAACATTTTGTCCAGATATCTCCACCTTCAGTTTTTAATCATTTGAAAAAAATCTATAGACTTAAAAACCACAACCTGAGATTGTTTTTATGAAGAAAGTCAACTATATTTCAAAAAGTTTGTCACTCTTTTAATATTGTCCAGATTTCTTTTAAATTTTCCACCCGTCGATTTCAAAACGCGTATGGTTTAAATTATGACCAGAACACATATTTATTTTACTCGTAGCCATTTCCATATTTGTATCTCTTTGGCATAGGACGGTATATAATGTTCCATCCTATGTCACTCTTGTTTCACCCTGTACGCTACCACACCCCATTCTAAACCGAATCAACGCCTTCGATCTCATTTGAAAGCTTTCTATCTAAGAAAGTTGAACGATATACAAATACATATGGTGATTATCTCTACTGAAGTGTATTTCAGGGAGGAAAAAACGAGAAGCATACGGAGACAAAATCATGATAAATACCTATATCGTCGAAAACCTGTTGGCAGCACGTGAATAAATTATGATTTCTTAATATGAACAAAAAAATTTGCCTGGTATAATGCAACATTTTCGAGTTTAGCCAAAAAGTCTTCCTTATTTCATGAAATTAGCAAAGTCTCGCAAAAATTGAAACTTCCAAGACCAGTTTCCTGACACAAAACATCAAATGTATACATCAAAATCTACCTTATCACTTAGAATATAGAGTAAAACTGAACAACATTGTTTTGGTTAAGATCAAATCTACCTTATCTAGAATATAGAGTAAAACCTTCCATTAAGGTTAGATAAGATATATCTTGTCTAGAGTGTAAAACGTTTAAACTTTACATCATAGGTTAAAATAAGATAAACTCTACCTTATCGTGTAGAACATAGAATAAAATATAGCAGCTTTGCTTTACATACAAGGACAAAACCTGACCAGGTCAAGTAATAAGAAGCGCCATTCGCGCGATACTGTACCACATCAAGATATTTACTTTTCTAGAAATGGTAGACATCGTGTCGGCACGCGAAAAGAAAGACGGCGTCAAAATGTACAACAGGAATCTGGAAAATGGAATTAAAACTTCACTGAATTAAATGCAATAAGCACGATAATCTTCTAGCCCGGGTAAAATTGTATGGTGGGTGTTCAAGGTTGTCTGGTAGGTATCCCATATTTTCACGTCCGGTTGTAAAAATGGAATCTTGACGCATATATCAAAATATGAAAGAAGTCGGTACATAAGCAATTTACTTCAATACCCACAGCCATGATTTTAATATTCGAACAGGAAATTTAATTCAGAAATGCGTTACAGCCAATGTGTCGTTCGTATACAAATGATTCTTGGCCCTTCGTGTGAGTGTCTGTAGGGAACAAAATGTTTCGTGTTTATAATTTCTTGTCTTAGGAGAAGTGTCAACTGGTTTTGTTTGCCCTGACAAAGTGGGTTGCAAGTTCAATCGGGGGCCGCTTCGGGAGCTGAAATCCTTCTTTATTTTCTTTTTTTTTTTTAAATAAACATTTTTTATTATATATACGACGAGGTGTTCCATGAGAGAAGCGTCTTCTGGTTCACTTACAACATCCGCAATGTAAATCTGTCGATGCAAATGAGTAATGTCACGTTCTCAAATGAGAACAAGGTATACAACAACGGAACCAACAGGCAAAATAATGAACATTAAACACGTCAAACTTCATATCGCCAAAAAAGAAGTATGATTATTCTCAATAATAGGAGTATGACGACCTCAAGACCACTCCATACTTTTAATTAATCTGTATCTTGTGAAACCCTGTGTTAAGAGTTTGCCAGTTGACATCTTTCACGGAATCCGTTATATCGGGAGCCTTGAATATTCCATTAACTGCGACACCAATACGCCGTAGGTTAAAGATGAAGGGATATTGCTATCCAGAAATAGAAAATTCGCAATAGGTAAGTTGAAATTATCGCGCTTATACAACCAGGCGGAAAGTTGTCCATGTTGGTTTCGTTGAAAGAGAAGATCAAGATGAGCGACTGGTTTAGAAGAGTCTGTCGTAGCCTTGATTTCCACTTCTGATTGGAATATATGATAGACGTAAATAATGCGCTTGATATTTAAGGACAAGGTGTCACCAATACACCTGAAAGTGAACCTAACGGACTTGGCAAGGTCTCTGTGACCTGTTTGGATAAACTTTCGATAAAATACGCCTCGTATGAAAATCAAACAAGTCAGCTAACAAGGGTATGATTAGTTCCCCAATGATCAGTATGTCAATAATCTCGACGAAGATGTTAAATAGAAACATCGTCTAATTTGACTTTTTCCTCTGTATTCGTTGATGGGGCTTATTTTTACGCGAATTACGCCTCGATGTAGTTTACGTTTGTTCCACCGTTCACTTGTTTGTAAAAGAATACTCCCATAACGAGAAGGAAGTCGTTTTTTCAGTTTAGACTAAGGAACAGTGGTGTATAGTGAGGAAAAAATCATTTAGATGAAATGTTTCTTAGACTGTTTCTCAAATATCATTTACTATGAATAAACAAAATATTTTAAAGCTTCCCAAAGGGAGATAATGAACACTAAAAAAGTCATATACATGTACAAGTAACCGATCATGATTGACAGATTTGTAGTTAATTTCATCTCAAACACAGGTATTGAATTAAGGAGAAATTGGTAACAGTGACAATCACTTGAAAGCAAAGAAATGTGTTTGTAGATATGCATTCGTACCTCGTATAATCACTATCACCTTTTTCAAATGTCCATGTTTAACTGGAGTAATGTTTCGTTAAAACATTATATTTAAATCAGAAATACATGTGTGGTTCATTGCAAGTGTGACAGCGTACTAACAGAATTATCCTCAGAAACATATGAAGGCAATACATAAACGAACTGATGTGTACATAACCAGGCGATGTTGGCATAATTATCTCCAAACCAGCATATGAAGTATTATATAAAATAGTGAAGTTTGAGAAAATTACACTGACAAGAAAAAAATTCCACACATAATATACACATTTTTGCTTCGCTGCTCTGAATTTTCTAGTCTTGCACCTTTCTGATGTCAACACAATTTTGTCAAACACTTTACAATTCAGTATATATCAAATGTACTACATTAATCTGGGAACTGAGAATAGCTAGAATGGTCAAGCACACACAATGACTTCTAAAAGCATTCCATTTAAGTTTAATGAAAACATACAGTCTGGTTTTTGGAAACTTACTAGCAAATGAAGCGAAAGTCTACATGCAATGATATTGTGTCAACATAACATAATATATGGATCAAAACCTATCTGTAAAATAGTTTATATAGGAATAACACTGGTCTCATTTTAGACAAAAATTACATTCGATTTACATCCAGCAGTGAAAAAAAAATATCAACTACAAATAAAGTTTTGAAGCATGCAACTACATGTATAAAAGATTACATAATTTATTGTATATCACAGTAATGGGTCTTTTATTTCAATTATAACTCAAGCATGACGACCAGATTTGAATAGTCAAGCTACATGACCTTGAACTTGGGGTGTCGAGATTGGCACACCTGGGATCGTGAAGCAGTTGATATATATATACTGTTTCACCAAATGTGTCAGCTGTTCAACCTCGAGCTTCAGTTCTATTAATGTAGGATTCTTATAACTATCCGTCCTTTGAGCTGCTGCGACAACCTGTATATGGTTATTTTGTCTCCGTCCTAGCTGTGCTTGAGTTAGAGTTGTCATGATGTCATTCGGTGCTCCAGCGCCTACAAATAGACGTAATTTATCTGGCACTCCACTGATAAACTTCCTTAATGTTTCATAATTAGGTTTACCAAGCATACTTTATTTTTCCTTTGCATTGGAGTGGAAATCTTCTATTGGCTGAACTACCAGTTTGAGGTTATAAACATTTTTTATTTCAAGGAAAATGGTTCGGATTTGGCTTACGTTGAGAAAATTACGATTTTTAAACTCTGACAAATTTTTTCCTCAAGATTTGTACTGCAAGGTATTGAATCAAGAAAAGGCTAGACTATGTAAATACAAATCGAAGGTAGTGACATTTCATGTATCAAGCTTAGAGTAATTTAATTTGAAAAAAAAAAGAAAATTGTGACAGAAATTTTGCTGTGTTCTCGTGGGGGTACCGCACGTGATATTGTTGAAAAATCACCTACATGTATTTCATCATTGTCCATATGAAATATGGCATGTGGATCACATAAGAGATTGTCTCTAACTAACCTTTTAAATGAGTTTTCAGTCTGTATTGCAACTGGAGTACGCGGGCTGTTGATTACAACAGGACCGGGGAGGACGTAATTCTGTTGTTAATATGACAGGGAATGGTTCCGATGTATCAGGGGTGTCCTGTATAACGGGTGGGGTATCACACTTGTTCGTGATAATAGCTAGTGATTGGGTACTCCAGACTCCTCATTATAAAGTCCGTTAACCGCTCAATTAAAAAAAAGAAGACTAGAGTTAATTGCCCAGTTCTGTAACTGTCAGATTTTTGTGGTTTTCTGTCATATATGTACTATGTATATATTTCACAATATCATTATTATCTATAGTCCTTCTGGAACAGATAATCTTATTCTCCGTGTGTTTTATTTCAAAAGTCTTTGTGTAAATACTTCTTTAGTTTAAATTTGTCTTAGTTTCAACGAATTAGAGTTTGAAATGAGAATATGTTGACATATCGGTATTTTCTTTGTTGTATTCAGTATTTATTGATTAATAAAACCTAAGTACATTTGTATATTTCGAACCGTGTCTGAAATGGAAATGATTGAAATATGGCATGCAAATTACGGTAAACATCGAAGACTAAAACTCAACCAACATTATCTACCACGTGCAATGTCGAAGATGGTAACAAAAGACACACAAGACTTGATAAACTCTTCGACAAATTTATCCTGGTGTGAAAATAAAACCAGATCTGATAAAAGAGGGGCAAAGTTTTTTTTTTTGTTTATTTGGACTGTTTTTTTGCCCCACAAAATTCAAGAATTGTTTAAAACTATTGATTTGTATCGCCATTGAACGTGCATGAAAGGAAAACTCGTTTCTGGAAAATTTAGGCCTTCCTTCAGTTCGGAAACGGGAATGGAATGCGATTGGATAATTTTTTTAAAAAATGTTGCTTTTACAGAGAATGGTGTTGAACCCTTTTGGAGTTCTTTACTGTCCATATGTAAATAACTGCACTTTACAAGTAAACAATATTACATGAAGACTGTAACCCTGATTTGATAGTTCTAGTAGTTAGAAGCTTTAATAAATGCTTGGTCACACAAATACACGAGACAGCACATTGAATACAAAACAAAAAGTTCGACATCACTGTTTACATCGATATTGCGTCCTCGTCTTTTTTTTTCATCTTCATTCTATGGAGATTGTGTGATTTTTGTTCCTTAGAAAGGTTTATGCATTACTCTTGTTATTAGGGGGTAGGAATATTATTCCGGTGGTTTAGAACTACAATGTGCATTGTTGACGTTATCGCAAAAAAAAAAAAAAAAAACGCTGTTGCCCTAATAACGAGAAAATACATTTCGCGCCCTCTCCACGGCAACAGCCGTGAGAACCAATACAGTGACGTAACGTCAACGTAGTGATATGTAACAGTTTTTAGTTTGTGTTCAATATTCACATCAAGTAAACGGAGGATCGTTCATCGAGATAATGAGATCTACTTTTGTATCTGTCCTAAGTAAACACTCTTATTTAACATATTAATTCGACGCTGGCAATAAATACATAAAAATAATGTTTTACAATTTTTTTTTGACGAATTCTAAAAGTTTTCTCATCCAATAACTGTCTTCACAGAAATGGAAATTGAGAATATGCTATCATCATTGCCAGTTATAATTACGACAAGGTAGTCATGTTTATAAAACCAACAATAATCTACAGTCGAAACTTTTCTCTCGAAATCCAAGGGACCGTGGAAAATATTTCGACTTATTGGTATTTCGACTTAAAAAAGAAGTGTATAATTTTAAGTAATGATATCAGTTTCCTGACGTCGATTACGGTTGAACGATAGCGGCTAACAGCGTCGTTTAACCTGTCATCTGAAATGGCAGTAAATAAATAAATATATCCTACTTTCTACTTTTATTGTATATTCATCCAAATAACAAATTCTGTAATTACAACTCCAATCAAATTCAAAATCCGTTCTCACGTCGTTTCGTCTAGCACACGTGTACAATACCCATACTGACCCAGCACATATACATCATATATTTTACGGAATGACAAAAAAAAAAAAAAAAAACGGAACTGAAATTTGCTTTTGATACGGTACAAGAAACGTTATATGAAGCTACAGATCATATCAATATGACTTTATTATGGATCAATAAACGTATGAAAAACGCGACACCAGACAGATTTTACCTATTACAGTAAACATTGTACAAGCACTGGGCTTTACTAATCACACACAGATATAGACTATCATCAATGAAAAATACTTTCAGCACTTCATTGTCCAAATACTAAATTTGACAAAGTGCCAAATCACTATCCTTTAATTAGCAAGCTCAAAATTGGTTTCTTTCGGAATTGTTAGGATCAAATTTCGTCAAAAAGTTCACACTGGTCAGTCGGTTTCGTTGTCATCCTTCCTGAAGATGCACGCAACCAAGCTAAATGTTTTCATGTTTTGTGTAAACGCGCTACTTTTTTAACGTACAGGTAAGTCACTGCTACAGGATAGTGACACTAATTAAGAAGCCAGCCGCTAATTGGATAATTAAGCTGGTAAATAATCGCCAGAGACCACGTGTTGTATGTACAATGGACCGATACGCCGTAATTAGTCATGTGTTACACACTGGTGACTTTCTACTCTGTGCAGGTATTGGCAGATTTCATCAGAAGACGTGCCGATGTTTTGACAAAAATTAATTTCAAGACAACGAATGACTTTTCCCTTGCTTTACAATTGAAGGGACTGAAAAAATCGACTCAACCGAAATTTCGACTCAATGAAATTCGAGTCATCCGATCTAAAATTGCAAAGATATAGAAGGGGGAAAATCGGAACTCAAACGGAATTTCGACTCAAGCGGTTTCGAGGCAACGAGTTTCAACTATATTGTACAAACGCACTCGCGTAATGCAAGACTTTCAGAATACAGGTTTTTGCCGATTTAGTTTATTGCAACTGTGGCTTTCTACACATACGGGATGATAATTAAATGTTTTCGATTATTTGATTTTTTTTATTAATCTTTTACCAGCTCCTTGATATAACCTTCTCCTTGCTCACAGTTCCCACCACTTTCTTTGCCCCCTTGTCCTGTGTTCCCATTGTCATGCATTCCTTACAAACATTTTATATCTATGTCAGGGCGATGTTCCACTGAGAAGGGTGAAGGTTAGCTGTTCCAAATTCATGAGAAATGTCAATCTGGTGTAAACTGAACGATAAGGCGTTTATATCGGTCGGTAGAGTAGGCGTGCGGTGTTTTGAAGAATCAGCAGACATTGCAGTCAGTCAGACCCAAGGAGCATGGCGTTATTGTGTGTCGTTGCGTTAACCCTGGCGATTCTAGGAGCCGGTAATTATTTCATCTTTCATTTCCCATATCCTCATTATGTATTTTATGTAATTTAATTCTTTATCTGGAATTCATGCATTCCTGTCGAATTTTGCGTGAGTGGATATACTCGTAGAAAAGGCAGTTTTGTGTTTGAGATCGTCAATAAAAGCCTTTAAAAGCACATTTCACACGTCATGTCACTGAATATAGTAATATGTATTGGGTTGAATGACGTACCGCTTGGTTCCATTGTTATCACTATTAACTTGCCACGTATCACTATGTTCTGGTACAACAGTCTGCCTGTCTCCTACTAAAGGACACGAAAATGGCCAAATAAACCACAAGGGTTTGTCGTGCCAGCCATCCACGGGAGTAGTGGGTGAGAGTGACACAGTAAATCGCTTCTTTCTTCTAGTGGGAGATGGGAGAAGGGAGGAGGGAGGGAGGGGTGTTAAAAATCTGTTTGCCTCGTACTGCAGAGTACCAAATACATCTGGTGTGCGATCTATAGAATTATGCCAACCATCCACAGGGCAGTGGGGCGAAAGCAACCAAAGAAATCTCATGTCATGTACTCTGGGAGAGGGAACCTGAATAAACAACTTTGTTTGTTGCGCCATCTACTGCCATGGGGAGGAGGTCGGGTGATGGGGCATGGAAGTTACCGAACATATATACTGCTATTGTCCATAAACGATGCTTTCTACTAACACAGATGCTCAAGGCACAAGTCAGCTCCCAGTAGCGGCATTTTCAAGGGGGCAAACCACACATTTACATCTTGTTCAGGGAGAAACTCTAAATTACAACAAAATTATTACGTCCGTGCACACCGACGTGGATAATAGCGGCGTCTTCCATGCCGCACAAACGGTAAGTACATGTATCTTTATGATAACTATGATAAAGAGTATCAAATCTATTTTTGAGGAAAACGCCTTCTTTTCAACCTGTTTCCCTACATGACACCTCTGACTACCTTTCTACTGATCGCGATACCATGAAATACGTCCCCTAATAACTATAGGATTCGCATATCGCATGACAATGCCTTTCACAGGTAAGGAACTGTAAACTTATTTATTTTGACGTAATAAGGCTTTAGCGCTATATCAATAAGCGCAATGCTGAATTAGTGAATAAGCCAAAATTGCTTAATAATATTAACGGTCTACAGAAACTGTACTGAGTCGATCGTATTAAAGAGTAGCGTCTCACGCACAAAATTAGCGTTGCACATGATATCTGCTAAAACATGCACGCTTACGCTAAGAATCCTGCAAATCATTTCATAAAGTCAGAAAATTGATTTACTTGATTTTATTCGCTTATTCTTCCGGAACACCTGGTCTTACTCACCTTGTACTTTTTCAGGAGTCTCCGTTTAAATATTACCTTTGTTTATATTTTACCCTAGTTTTATTGAATTTAGGTTTGGATTTCAATGATGTTGACATGTTGGTATTTTTTTGTTGTTTCTTATTCTATGTAGCGGGTGAGATTCTAATTATTTTAAGTCATTGCGAAAATAGAACTAAGCTTTAAAGGTTCAATCGTATGAGTTACTGTAAACCATATATTTTCGCGGGGATGAAATTTCGTGGTTTGACAAATATATATTATCTTGTTTGCCACCCTTTAAGTGATGGACACAAACCATGCCCGATTATGTAAAATACAACAAATGAAAATGAAATCAAATACCACCATAACAATAGAATCTTAATTCAAATACGATTTTGCAAGGGGTTAATATACACCAAAGGAGGATATACACGTAGATCCTAAAAAAAAAGACCAAAGTGAATTAGACCATGTGTTTTCGAAGAGTAAGCGTCCTCTGCTTCATTGACGGCATTCGCAATAACAAATCAACTGTCTGCATTTCTTGTGATCTAGAGAAGAAGGTAAATTGAAATCAGCATGCTTATACATCTTGGTGGAGAGCTGTCGATGTTCATTTCAGCGAATCATGGTGAAAAGCATGTAATGACTTTGATTTCCACTTTTGGGGAAATATACAGAAGATATGGTCAATAAATTTCATAGACAAGACATATTTCTGTTCCAGAATGTCTTGTCTACTAATGGTAGATCTCTTGTGTGATTTATATACATATGTTTTGTGTCGTTGAGGGTCTCTACGCCTTCCACTTCTACTCACTGACCCGCGAGAACTCCGAGTTGTGGGTTGAGCTGTACAAAAACACACAGTTGATATGCTCAGCTTATGCTCACAACCCAAGTTCGAGCGGGTATGCCGACGCCGGAAACAGTGCCTTACTGAACCTCAACTCCGGTGACACTGTGTACGTTAAGGCACATGACGCGTACGATAACTCGCTTTATGGTGCAAGTGACGAGATCTATACCACATTTACAGGAGTACTCATTGATTCTGGATTTTTTGGTGAGTTTTTAAAATAGATCGATCATAATAATTATCATACAAAGTGATATGTGACTATATGAAGTATTATTTACTGAGAAGAACTACAGACCCAATCTGGTTCACCAATCAGCTCTCTTTATTCTATTTTGGTATACCGTATAGACTTTAAATTCTCTACTGTTTGTTTAGAATTTCGACACATCTTATTGTTGAAGTTGACACGTGTCCACGGGATCGAAAAGCAGACAACATTATATGAATTATCTCCATATATGGCTACAGTATGGTTCTCCGTGACCTTATCTATTAGGATAATGAACACAGAAATATAAGTATATATTTAAAGCGACATTACCTAATTCATGATATTGGCAGACTTATTTGTTATAAATGTACCAATTTTAAATCCCAAAAATATATTCATCAACACTTCTTAATTTCTCGTTATAACTTTCAGGCTATTCCATTAGAATTACAAAAATGATACAAAATGGTTATTCCTATAACCATATCTGAAGTTTAAAAAAAAAAAACACGCAAAGAAATTGCGCTTGTACAGTCCACTTACCTCTTGCCTGAATGAAGTCAATCGTCTGGTGTACTATGATATTTGCACCATCCTCACAAAAACACAATAACGTCACCCCTAGGCGTAAACGTACACACAACACGGGGAAATTTCAGTCGAATATTCCATGATCAAACGGTCACAAGGCGAGAACATTTTTGGATTTGTGAGAATGCACTCGGACCTCAATGTCTCCTCTCAATACAGCGTTTCTCTACTGAACGTAAAATTTGTTGTATAAATTATAAATTGACGTGCTGTGTTTATATACGACTATTATTGCTGCTTTGCACAATGGAAAAAAGCAAAACGTTCATTTCAAATGGCAGTATTGTATAACATTAGATATTATGATACACACACACTATTAGCATGCATGGTGCTGTTTAACTTAAAATTCAATGCAGTGTATAAAGGTAACCTATTGAGAGGTGTTCAAGTTTAAAAGAACCAACTACGTAGCAATATTTTCGCAATAAAAATAAAAGGAAAAATAAAGCTGAAACGTGGGAAGATATTGAAGCTAATGGGTTCTGGTGTAGTGGATCTCTTTTACATACGTTCAATATACGTTACCTTTCTCACCATACATAATGATATCTAAAATTTTTTTTTTATAATTTTTTATTTTTCAAGATTTTACACGTTGAACAGGACAAATACACTCACACCCTCTCACACATCCAACCACAGGTGCACATATAGTCATTGCGTGTCAAACAAGTACACTCCATTCAAAAGAATCATCAACATCATTATCAACATTCAAAAATGCATGTGATCATTACTACTACTATTATTATTATTATTATTATCACCATACATGATAATCCTCATATATCACAATCAATATTATTATGTTACACACTAAATAATGCATCATCATCATCATCATCATCATCATCATCATCATCATCATCATCATCATCATCATCATCATCACATCATCATTATCATCATCATCATCATCATCATCATCATCATTTCAACATATATTTCACATATATATCACAATCAATATTACTATCATGATTATTGTACATACTAAATAATGCATCATCATCATCCACATTCAACAATTCATTATCATCATCAAATCAAGATTCATACTTTCATAACCATTATGAAACCTTATGATTCATAAATATCACAGTAAACTTTTGTTTGAAATGCACCCATGCACACATGCATAAACACACACACAACCATAAATTGACATCAACATACAGAAATGAGGAAATGAAATAGAACTTTATTAGGGATAAGAAATTTAGAGAAAGAAATTGAAGAAAATGAAGAAATAGTAAAGTGGATTGTTGGGTGAGATGGTAAGATAGGTTAGAGTAATTTAATGTTTTTCTTTCTTTATATCTGATTACTCGGTATGGTCAAGGACTGTTATGTATATAATTATAAAAAATTATAGAAAAAAAAAGAAAAACTAGTAATGCGATGGGTAATAGATCAAAGTGTGTAGATCAAAACTGTATTAATTTTTCCCATTTTTTCCATTCATTCTCAAATTTACGTTTTACTTTATCATCCTTACCATTAGCTATATATTTTTGTATCATATAATTATCTTTGATTGTATTAATTAGTGCATGCAAGTTTAGTGAACGGTGTAAGCATCTCATTTTATAAATATACTGTTTGATAATAATTATAATCTCATTGTCTACTCTGTTACTCGGAAGGAAGTTTTGATGTAGGAGACCAAGAATGAAAGTTTGCTTGTTTACTGAGAAAGGGATAAATAGAGCTTCTAGCAAAATATCAAGACTTTGTAATAGTCTTTGTACTTCCTGACATTCCCACAGCAGATGACTGATTGTTTCGTGCTCAGAGTTACACAACACACAAAGAGGGGAGATAACTATTCTAATTTTAAAAAGAAGGGAATTTGTTGCTAATGCATGGTGGATTACCCTATACTGGAACCACTGGAACTTTGTATTTTTTGTTACATGGAATGGCATTAAATAGTACTTATCCCAAGTTTGTTTATCTATATTATCAAATATACTATTCCATTTTTTGGTACCCGATGGTAACACGTTACATTTAATTAGAGTATTATAAAACCTTTTTGACCCTTTTTTGTCTTGAAGAAAGATACGTAAGGTGATTGGTATGCAAGGATAGATTATAGAGGGGTTAGAGATAGTATCTGATGATATCTAAAATTATTAAAAGCAATTATTGGAACGAGTACGGAAACCTGATGTGATTATCACAATTTACAAAATGTAATACCCGATATTACTTTGCTGTCTGATTACTTTAGGATTCTTAAAATAGTGTGTATTAAAACGAATGGATTGAAACACCGCGTTAAGAATTTTTCCTGTGGTATATATAAAATACAAAAGTAGGATTTCAACACGTCTTCAAAACGAAACCAAGTGTGATTTTCCTGGCAAGTCTGTGTTGTCACGTGAACAAAGCTCCCGAAACTAGTGCTCTTTTTGTCCCTGTATTCCTAATCGATTTTAATAATTCGGACGTGCAAAGTCCGTTAGTGTTTCTGTGTAGACTTGTCGTTTGTCTGTATTATTTATCAATTTATTTCCGTTTATGTGCATGATCTTAATCTATATGCGTGGTTCCAACAGGCTTTTTAATCCGTTTATAGGATTTTTAATTAGTTAGCGTAAATTGCATCCGGTCGATATGTTGTATGATCTAAGGACACTAAGTATGGATGTCATTCACATTAGTTTATATAAACATATTTAATATAACCTCGAAAAATTGAAAAATATAAATGCAAGAGTATAAGGGAAGTAACTCCATCTTATCTTATACACGCATTATATAACTTTCATGTAAACTATTATGTCATATACCTAACGAAAGAAATAAACTACAAGTCAACATATACATGTATATATCTATCAAACTTCTACTTCCTGGTTAGTTATCTATATCTTCGATATATTCATTGCCGACGAAAACAATCCGTGTTCCTAAAATTTAAAATATTAGACAGTTTAGTCAGTAATGGCAAATATCTTTCACGAGTGAGGTTAATATTTTCGTATCCTTCACGAGTTCAAAGCACGAGTGAAGATGACAAAATGCTAGCAACAGTAGAGAAACTTGGATAGATTTCATATTGAAACCATTTTAAAATATTTTTGACATTTCTGTAAAAAGAATAACCGTTTCATCACTTTGATATTTCTCTACATCTGTTGTAGAGCCGAAAAATGTGTTTAACTTATCATACAGCTCTTTCGCCTTTCAAGGACTCGTGAATGATGCCATGGTCCTACATTTTGAAACATAGAAGGCGACTGAGTAAAATTGAACGACAGAAATGTCACAATCATATTTAACGACATTCGTGATGAATCTAACAAAATATTTGGTTAAGTTTTTTACATTTAATTTAAATAAACAAACTTTATTTCATTTTACAGCAATTTCGAAACAAGTTTTTTCTAACTTAAAATTTAAATCACAAAAAAATAACTAGTTAAGTTTTGGGTTCGGCAATATATGGACGAAATTGTTTAAAGCTTCACTGGTAAACAGGGAAAAATAGCTATTTCTAGAACAGTGCGGACACGTATATCAAACCGTATCGTGCTTAACGTTTAGTCTTATATTTAATTTTTCAATTCTCAAATTTAGACCCTTAGTATCACCGACCAGAAGGACGAGACAGCTTTATGATACGGATTAATCCATTGTTTGGCTCTACTGTCTCTAACTTTAAATGTGTATTGAAAGGTAATATTCACTTGTGTGTCTTTTGTACAATCTTTTATCAGAGCACGAAGGCTTCAACAAGAATGCGCCACATGGATTTTCAGTTGGTCTCAGTGTTAACCAGACTATCAATGACGGAGGCAAAGTCGCATATAATGTCGACTTCAACAATAACGCAACCCTGGCTGGATATAACTTCACCTCACACGACTTCATAGCTCCATATGAGGGCCTTTATATCTTCCATCTCCACGCCCTGTCTCTGGCCGATAAGGTATGTCTTCTCAATATCAAAACCCTTTGTTACAAACTGATTTTTTCCCCAAAAGGTGGAAATGTTTCAAATTAAAAGACAGCCATGCTACTCCGAACTAAAAGGGTTGAAGATTGTATTTAATTGATAATTGATTTATACTAAAAGAAACAGAGGTTGTTCAATCGTTTGTCGAATATGGATCTATTTCACTCTCGTTTTAAAACATTATACGATTGTGAAATAAAACGCTCGCTTTGCAGTGAAAAAAAGCGAAAATCAAGTCACAATTCTTATACACATTACGACATCAATTAGGAATGTATAGCATATACGTGTATCTGTTGAAAATATCAAACAAGGATGTGTCCATATGTGAATTGTAAAATGAGTTAATCAATGTATTTTTTTTTCTTCTTTTTTTTTCTATTTTATTTTTAATTTTCCCATATTTCATATTTTTTTCTTCAAACGTGTTTTCGCATATTTCATAATTTTCTTTAATCATTTAATCTTAGGGACATGAATTATTTTCAATTCCAAATTCAATGCCGTATTTAGAGACGAGGCCAGTTCTATTTTTGAAAATTTAACCCAAACAAATTATTTTCAAAGTTTTTGTCTCAATAACAAAAATCTTGTAAGTTTTATTAACTAATGTGTATTACCTGTGTAATGAAACAAATTTTCCCTTTGTAATATGACAAGTTTTCCCTTTTTAATATTATAAGCTTTTCCTTTGTAACATGCCAAATGTTCCCTTTGTTATATGACAAGATTTTCTTTTGTAATATGACAAGTTTTCGTTTGTAATATGACAAGTTTTCCCTTTGTAATATGACAAGTTTTCCCTTTTTAATATTACAAGCTTTTCCTTTGTAACATGACAAGTTTTCCCCTTGTAATATGACAAGTTTTCCCTTTGTAATATGACAAGTTTTCGTTTGTAATATGACAAGTTTTCCCTTTGTTATGTGACAAGTTTTCCCTTTGTTATGTGACAAGTTTTCCCTTTTTGATATTACAAGCTTTTCTTTTGTAATATGACAAGTTTTTCTTTTGTAACATGACAAGTTTTCGTTTGTAATATGACAAGTTTTCCCTTTGTTATGTGACAAGTTTTCCCTTTGTTATGTGACAAGTTTTCCCTTTTTGATATTACAAGCTTTTCTTTTGTAATATGACAAGTTTTTCTTTTGTAACATTACAAGTTTTCCCTTTTTAATATTACAAGCTTTTCCTTTGTAACATGACAAGTTTTCCCTTTGTCATGTGACAAGTTTTTCTTTTGTAATATGACAAGTTTTCCCTTTGTGATATGACAAGTTTTTCTTTTGTAATATGACAAGTTTTCCTTTTGTAATATGACAAGTTTTCCCTTTGTAATATGACAAGTTTTCCCTTTGTGATATGACAAGTTTTTCTTTTGTAATATGACAAGTTTTCCTTTTGTAATATGACAAGTTTTCCCTTTGTTATGTGACAAGTTTTCCCTTTGTTATGTGACAAGTTTTCCCTTTGTGATATGACAAGTTTTTCTTTTGTAATATGACAAGTTTTCCTTTTGTAATATGACAAGTTTTCCCTTTGTAATATGACAAGTTTTCCCTTTGTGATATGACAAGTTTTTCTTTTGTAATATGACAAGTTTTTCGTTTGTAATATGACAAGTTTTCCCTTTGTTATGTGACAAGTTTTCCCTTTGTTATGTGACAAGTTTTCCCTTTTTGATATTACAAGCTTTTCTTTTGTAATATGACAAGTTTTTCTTTTGTAACATTACAAGTTTTCCCTTTTTAATATTACAAGCTTTTCCTTTGTAACATGACAAGTTTTCCCTTTGTTATATGACAAGTTTTTTTTTGTAATATGCAAGTTTTCCCTTTGTCATGTGACAAGTTTTTCTTTTGTAATATGACAAGTTTTCCCTTTGTGATATGACAAGTTTTTCTTTTGTAATATGACAAGTTTTCCTTTTGTAATATGACAAGTTTTCCCTTTGTAATATGACAAGTTTTCCCTTTGTGATATGACAAGTTTTTCTTTTGTAATATGACAAGTTTTCCTTTTGTAATATGACAAGTTTTCCCTTTGTAATATGACAAGTTTTCCCTTTGTAATATGACAAGTTTTTCTTTTGTAATATGACAAGTTTTCCCTTTGTGATATGACAAGTTTTCCCTTTGTAATATGACAAGTTTTTCTTTTGTAATATGACAAGTTTTCCCTTTGTTATATGACAAGTTTTTGTTTGTAATATGACAAGTTTTCCCTTTGTTATATGACAAGTTTTCCCTTTGTTATATGACAAGTTTTCCCTTTGTAATATGACAAGTTTTTCTTTTGTAATATGACAAGTTTTCCTTTTGTAATATGACAAGTTTTCCCTTTGTAATATGACAAGTTGTAATATGACAAGTTTTCCCTTTGTCCGATATCTCACCAGTTAATTAAATCTCTGACATACTTAAAGGTCAAGGGTCATGAAGGCAACATTGGCATTGTAACTTCGATAGATTTTGTGTGTAATTTAAGCTGAACTTGTTCGGGTGGTTGCACGTGGTACATTATGTTATAAACTCACATTAAGAAATGTTAAAAAAGAACATACTAAAACACTATCGAAGTGTGAAGTGTATGATAATAATGCAAGCGATAAGAATTGACAGGATAAAATGTAATGTTTCTACATACATTAGTACTGTGAACAGTGAGTAGCATAATGGAACTCCTTTTGCAGGAAGTTTACCTGGAGCTGTTTAAGAACAGCCAGTATGTCCTGTCTGCGTATGCCTACACGACCAACGAATGGGGAGATGCTGGGAATTCTGTCATCCTTCATCTCAATCAGGGCGATGACATCACCATCAAAGCTCGACCCCAGTACGACGTACAGCTCTTCGGAGACGTGTCGCAGATTTACTGTACTTTCTCAGGAGCCCTTCTGTCCATGACAGTACCAGGAAACAATGTCGTGTCAGGCGGTAAAGTATTATAGACCACAGTTCGACATTCAAATCCAAACAAATCTTTAGTCAAGAGAAGATGATCTGCAAAAGTGACAAAGAATAGAAATTAACTGGCATGTCTTTCTCGCTGAATGACAATATATCGATATTTATTGATGTCTGTCCCTAATGAATGACAATATATCGATATTTATTGATGTCTGTGCCTGTTGAGTGACAATATATCGATATTTATTGATGTCTGTTCCTGTTGAATGACAATATATCGGTATTTATTGATGTCTGTCCCTAATGAATGACAATATATCGATATTAATTGATGTCGGTTCTTGTTGAATGACAATATATCGGTATTTATTGATGTCTGTTCTTGTTGAATGACAATATATCGATATTCATTGATGTTTGTTCTTGTTGAATGACAATATATCGATATTTATTGATGTCTATTCCTATTGAATGACAATATATCGATATTTATTGATGTCTGTCCCTGTTGAATGACAATATATCGGTATTTATTGATGTCTGTTCCCGTTAAATGACAATATATCGGTATTTATTGATGTCTGTTCCTGTTGAATGACAATATATCGGTATTTATTGATGTCTGTTCCTGTTGAATGACAATATATCGATATCTATTGATGTCTGTTCCTGTTGAATGACAATATATCGGTATTTATTGATGTCTGTTCCCGTTAAATGACAATATATCGGTATTTATTGATGTCTCTTCTTGTTGAATGACAATATATCGATATTTATTGATGTCTGTTCCTGCTGAATGACAATATATCGATATTTATTGATGTCTGTTCCTGTTGAATGACAATATATCGATATTTATTGATGTCTGTTCCTGTTGAATGACAATATATCGATATTAATTGATGTCTGTTCTTGTTGAATGACAATATATCGGTATTTATTGATGTCTGTTCCTGCTGAATGACAATATATCGATATTTATTGCTGTCAGTTCTGGTTGAATGACAATATATCGGTATTTATTGATGTCTGTTCTTGTTGAATGACAATATATCGGTATTTATTGATGTTTGTTCTTGTTGAATGACAATATATCGGTATTTATTGATGTCTGTTCCTGTTGAATGACAATATATCGATATTTATTGATGTCTGTTCCCGTTAAATGACAATATATCGGTATTTATTGATGTCTTTCTGGTTGAATGACAATATATCGATATTTATTGATGTCTGTTCCTGTTGAATGACAATATATCGATATTTATTGATGTCTGTTCTTGTTGAATGACAATATATCGATATCTATTGATGTCTGTTCCTGTTGAATGACAATATATCGGTATTTATTGATGTCTGTTCCTGTTGAATGACAATATATCGATATTAATTGATGTCTGTTCTTGTTGAATGACAATATATCGGTATTTATTGATGTCTGTTCCTGTTGAATCACAATATATAAGTATCTATTGATGTCTGTTCCTGTTGAATGACAATATACCGATATTTATTGATGTCTGTTCCTGTTGAATGACAATATATCGATATTTATTGATGTCTGTTCCTGCTGAATGACAATATATCGATATTTATTGCTGTCAGTTCTGGTTGAATGACAATATATCGATATTTATTGATGTTTTTTCCTGTTGAATGACAATATATCGATATTTATTGCTGTCAGTTCTGGTTGAATGACAATATATCGGTATTTATTGATGTCTGTTCCTGCTGAATGACAATATATCGATATTTATTGCTGTCAGTTCTGGTTGAATGACAATATATCGGTATTTATTGATGTCTGTTCTTGTTGAATGACAATATATCGGTATTTATTGATGTTTGTTCTTGTTGAATGACAATATATCGGTATTTATTGATGTCTGTTCCTGTTGAATGACAATATATCGATATTTATTGATGTCTGTTCCCGTTAAATGACAATATATCGGTATTTATTGATGTCTGTTCCTGTTGAATGACAATATATCGGTATTTATTGATGTCTGTTCCTGTTCAATGACAATATATCGATATTTATTGATGTCTGTTCCCGTTAAATGACAATATATCGGTATTTATTGGTGTCTGTTCCTGTTGAATGACAATATATCGGTATTTATTGATGTCTGTTCTTGTTGAATGACAATATACCGATATTTATTTATGTCTGTTCCTGTTGAATGACAATACATCGATATTTATTGATGTCTGTTCCTGTTGAATGACAATATATCGATATTTATTGATGTCTGTTCGTGTTGAATGACAATATATCGGTATTTATTGATGTCTGTTCCTGTTGAATGACAATATATCGGTATTTATTGATGTCTGTTCTTGTTGAATGACAATATACCGATATTTATTGATGTCTGTTCCCGTTAAATGACAATATATCGGTATTTATTGATGTCTGTTCCTGTTGAATGACAATATATCGATATTTATTGATGTCAGTTCTTGTTGAATGACAAAATATCGATAGTCAATAATCACTGACATGTCTTTTCCCGCGGAATGACAAAAAAAGCGACAGTCGTGAATGTGACAGTTACGCTATTTTTATTAATGAAATGAGAAAAGTCAATTTTTGAAAGCTATTACAGTTACATGTTTACTGTATTAAGATAATTGAGAAATAATAGCAACGGGCGTCTGTGTATGCATGATAGTAATATAACATTGACTTAAAATAGTATTCCGACTAGTTTTCTTGTACTCGGTCAAGAAACAGTTTTTTAAATATGTTTTCATTTTGTTTTGATACATTATAGCAAATACTAGGTAACAACTGTCGTCCTAGTTAACATCTCTACCTCTCACACACTAATTAAGATGACTTTCTCGTGCACCACTAAATTGACACATATTGCCAATCTTTTTATTTGTTAAGATCACATAAACGGCATTTTCCTTCGTTGAACAGGTTTTAGCGAAGTGGCTTTCTCTGTAGGCTTATCGCACAACGTCAATATCAGCGCTTATTCTGTAGTAACATGGGATAGATTGTTTACCAACTATGGCAGTGGCTTTGACATGAACACGGGAAAATTCACAGCCCAGGTCAGCGGAATCTATGTATTTCACTTCCACGGATTATCACAGACTGGAGAAGAACTATATCTTGAGCTATACCACAACTTCCAGTACATTGTGTCTGCTTACGCGTACGACGCGAATTCCTACGCGGCCGGAAGTAATGCGGTCACCCTGACTCTCATGTCAGGTGATGAAGTCTATGTTGGAGTTCAGAGCCAGGCAGTGCTGTACGGAGGGTATGATGAGATATACTGCTCATTTTCCGGATACCTACTTGCCCCACTTGCCCAGTCTCAGCCAATTGTCGGTTAAATTGTTATTGTCATCTCTTTCTTATGATAAAAAGCTTAATTACATACGTTTGTTAGTATTGTTATTTAAAATATCATATATCAACGACTTGAATAAATATAATGCAAACAGCACTGGTGACATGACAAAATAATATCATCTACAATCATAATTCAAATCTATATTTGATTTGGATTGATATACCTCCGCACATTTCCAGGAAATGTATTGCCTATTTTCATCGCCATATTGTTTTTTCGTCTACCATTCAGATATGAAGCTTTTCAACTCGTCATTCGTCATTTTGCATTTTCGATTTGTAGAGTTAGCAGAAAAAGAAAATGGCCGAAGGGCGGCCATCTTATATTTTTATAGTTATTAACATTTCTTCACTTTGTTTGATGAATCTTTTACAGGTTTAGTTATAATTCCCGTGGCTTCTTAGTTTTCGTGTTCAATATTTTGAAAGATTGATAAAATCAGAGTATCCATTTTAACTAAAGGATCTGAAGGGGCACTTACCGATATAAAAAATGTCCATTGTTTATTGGTGTTAATAGTTCATCTGCTGGTATAATTAAGAACACATAAGAGAAATGTGAGAAAACGAGAGAAAATATTCAAACCTAAAAATCCCACGATGGCAGACACCATGATACTTGTGGAATCTCTTTGTTATCTCCTACATTTCCAAGGAGAGTTAGATTTGTGCCAATAACAGCCATGTAAGTTAAAGCGTTAAATGTAAAAAAAAAAACAAAACAAAAAAAAAAAAAAAAAAAAAAAAAAACCCCTCTGATATTGTAATGCTGACACATTAAAAAGAGGATATTCACAAACGAATTACCAAAGCAAATACATGATAACCATATTTATTTCTAAACTGTATTGTATATAGGGTTTCAATTGCACCTACGATTTGACATCATTTACTTCCCTGCAATAAGAAGAACACGCTGATGTATGAACTAAAGACGGAGGATTAAAAGTGTTTTGGAAAAGTGTAAACAGCTCCTGCTTCATTGACGACACCCAACATGTGAATTTTGGTTTTACACAAAAATGTCAAGCTCTCAAAATACTAACAGCAACGGCATCACCCGGTATAATAACGAGCCTCAAACACATCTTATACCATATCGCAGAGGGAAATAGAATATTGGTGACGACAACACAACCTCCTCCAATAGTCTGTATCAATCTATATTTCCAGAAACTTTATGATGAAATTCAAATGTACAGTTGACTTTATCGATATATAATCACATTATTTTAGAGTTGTCTCCCGCTTACCGTAATGGCCAGCTCTGGATTTGTTTTCATTAGTCTTATAATTTCATAAATGCATAATAAATATTCTTTTTGTTCGACTTATAAACCTGATGGCACAGGCTTCTCAAGATTTTAAATGGTTTGTTGAGAAATCAGTAATTTCTCTGCTTCTTGTACGGAACATGTTATGGAGAAGATGTTACACCAGACTAGGATTCAAAACAGTTTGACAACAAACATTATTTCTTCACAAATAATTGAGAATACATTTAAGAGCAGACAAGTTTAATTATATATTCTATCGTGTGTGTTTAGAAGATCATTATCGATTTCTCTTCACGTGTAATTGACAATACGTTTGAGAAAAGACTTGAGATTTAAATTGAGTTGGTCTTGTTTATACAGGCTATGTACTTTCCGCGTTAACTCTGTTCATCTGAGGTAATACACTCAACAATGAACGTTTAACAGCAGGGAAATGTTCAAGTTTAGGTCGATGATGTAATGTAAGACTCATTAACAGCCATCTTGACGTAACTGACCTGTATTTACGACTATCACTGAAGTACATGTCTGCTTTATTTCCGTGTTTAGATGCGGTAAGTGTTATTTAAGGCCTTGCGTTACTGGGTAATAACTGAAAACTTAATTGTTCAGTTTCACTCGAATGCGATATCAGCTCCCCTAAATAGAATGCCTCTCACGTTATCAAGTAAATTTTCTTCACTTGCCTTTAAAGTACAATTTGTTTATATCAATGTGTACATGTACCACTGACAACATACATGTTTCCACGAAACAAACTACAGTACAGTTCGTTATGTAAAAGGTGGAGTTTTGTGTTAACCTAATTGTGCTATTCAGCCCAAGTACTGATGACATCTTCACATGGTGAAGCAATAGTTAAGTAAAAATAAAACTGTCTTGTATTGAATTATCTTTCAGAAACGAATAAATCCCTTATTATCGTCATTAATACAATCAGACGTTTAAAATTTAAAATTAAAAAGAGAGAGAGAGAGAGAGAAAAAAATTAGATATATCCGTCAACCAAAGATAATTTGGGATTGTTTTGTGTTATTATCTTTGTCAAAGGGTTGCTCAGAATCTTGAAATAATATTCAATTTCCACTTGCAGAATCCGTGGAATCTGAAACGAAATTTAAGTTTATTGTAAAGATTAAAATTAAAGGTCTACTTATATTTTTATTGCAATTCCCAGTGGGGTTAGGCAGGTCTTTGAAATATTGGTCTTACATTTGTTTAAAATTTGAATTGAAATTACGGCTCTTGAAACGAATCATACAGCTATATGGAGAGGTGCATTGATTTGTAGACAATTTGCTGAAGGTTATAAAACCCTTGTTCAGTGTAGTATGTTGTCTTTAAATGACAATGAATTTGATGACTACACTTCTCCCAATTTCGCCAGAATGGACGTTTGACGCTAAGATGTACGACAATCGAACTATTCGTTCCTAGATGATACATTTACACGAACATAAATAATACAATACTGTACGTTATTTATCAAATGTAGTTCCCCAGGTTTTGGACATTGATTGTCCTCTCTCGCCTCCCACGTTTTAAACAGTGAAGGTCTTATCATCGCTGACTAGTCCCTGAAGGATGAATATATATATACATATATATATATAATTCAGTTTTGCTTATCATGTAGATAAGATACAGTTCTAGATAAGTTTTGTACTGAACGTTAAAGGACTTGTTCACGATACAAGGGGTTAGGTCATACTATGGTGGCTGATTCGGGACATCGTAATATCGCTTCGTTTAATGGGAAGCGAGATTGCGATATCACGATAGAACGATGCGATACTATGATAGCACGATACGATACTACGATAGCACGATGCGAGACCACGATAGCGCATCGTGTTATCGTGATATTGCATCGTGATATCGCATCGTGATATCGTGATATCGCAATCTCGCTTCCCATTAAACGAAGCGATATTACGATGTCCCGAATCAGCCACCATATCTTTATATTGTGTTTATATTCTGCGCTAATTTTAATTTAAAAAACAATTAAGAGGGCCATAGTCTTCTTCACTACTTCCGTGAGATTGAAATGCTTTATTTCACCTAGTTAAATTGGTAAATCTTCGAAAAATTGATCATTTGAATAAAAATAATAATAAAAAATTGGGAAAAATATACTTTACTGTGGTAAAAGAAGGAGGCAGTAGAGTGTCATTCTCTCAAAGCTAGTCGTGTTGTTAAAATCGCAGTTAGAGTTTACACTATTGTTTTTGACAAAGGAAGACAAAAGTTGCTGAATAAGCATGGCCTTGATCTGTGTCGTTATCAAATAAAAGTGTTTTACTTTTATAGCTCATATCTAAATATAGCGTCACAACATAAGGTCGTGAGAACGAGGCTCTGAGTACCGCTGTAACGACAAGGTTCTCAGTGCTTATGAAATTGGTCTTGAGTTAAAGGGATATTTCGCCCAAGTTGCAAAATTTCTGGCTGTTCTGTACATTTTTTCAGAACTCATTCCAATGACTTTTAAAACTATTGTTAGCGTCAATATATCGCTCCTGTGGTCAGTTTGGACAGGCGAAGTTGGTGGGAATATTCCCAACCAATATAGATTTAACCGTCTCAGTAAAGCGCCTCAGGAAATCCGGAATCACGGAATCCTGGATTTTATGCAGAGTATTGAGTAAATACAATAGTGTGTATAGTGTTCTCTAAAATTTCTGCTGAGGAGGCAGTTTTATTACTTCATTAGGCTTGTATTCTGACAAATTAATGATTTACACAATTATGTCATTCTGTTCAGCTAATAACAACTCAAAATCTCTTAGGACGCAATCAGGGTCGCGCGAACGCTTGTTTATCGATCTAGCTAGATATATAACGAATTTTGGCAAATCAAATATCATTTGTTATTTAAATGGTAACTAATGTGTATGATTTCCATAGAAAGATTAGGAGATGATTTGGTACAATTTTCTTCAGAAGCATCACGCGAAATCCTAACTTGTGCGTAATATCTCTTGAAGGGTAGCACATTGTTATTAGCGATATAAATAGCAAAGAGCTTCGGTAGTGGTCGCGACATGTAGGTGTCTATATATTGACAGCAAACAGCTGTGTAGTGTACAGTATCCAGAAGTTATTGTATAAGTATGGTGGCTGATTCGGGACATCGTAATATCGCTTCGTTTAATGGGAAGCGATATTGCGATATCACGATATCACGATGCGATACCACGATAGCAAGAAGCGATAACACGATAGCGCGATGCGAGACCATGAAAGTGCGATGCGATCTGGTGATATCGAATCGTGATATCGAATCGTGCTATCGTGATATCGCATCGTGCTATCGTAATATCGCAATTTCGCTTCCCATTAAACGAAGCGATATTACGATGTCCCGAATCAGCCACCATATATAAGTCTTTTCTTAAGAGGGTGTTGGTTTCAAAAGTCTCGTTTGTTCGAGTTTAAGATAACTCAGTTTTGTTATAAACTGTATATACTAGTCATCGTCATAAGTATTTGATCTAGAGAAATACTCTGTTAAATTGCATATATTTGGTGTGTGTATATTTCAGTGACTTCCAGTATATAAGTAGGGAGTAACGCTTATTTCAATATCTGTATACATTCGGTACTGAAGGATGTTTAGCTATTAGCCACCATTAAACTAATAAAGAGACCAAAGTGTAGCCTGGTAAAGGTCTCTGTCAGCACGTTACAAAACCCGAACC